TTAATGCCAACAACTGATGTTTATTATAAACATCAGTTGTTGGCAATAAATACATCATCCAGGGGTTAAAGCAAAAAAAAAAGATTTGACTGAAAATTCTCTCATGGAAATATAATGAATTACAGATCAAACGAATTCTTCAAAGATATACATTTAAACTGGTGTATTTTGATGTGAAATTACAACCAGTGGATCAAGCAACTTGTCAACTCTTTGACAAAATATTAGTGAGAGTAGTTCATCTGCATCATTGGCTTTACTTGAGGCGAGATGAGGCGTTGTCCTTTGGCTCTGTCCTCGTCAAAATATCGCAAAAGGACATTCAAAATTCTGTCCACATTTGTTTGTGGACACTCAATGTTTAAGAAAAAGGTTTCCCTATCAACTTGGTGCTAGTGCACAGCGCAGTTTTATCAACTGCAAATGATTAATGATAATTAAATCTACCAGCGGTAGTGATGGTTCTGAACGACAGGTTATTTTCTGCGATAAAGCCACAGATAGTTTTAGGTCACAGACACAGTCCACCAGAGCAAGCCTAGTCTCAGTTGTCGCTGAATCTGATGCACCAGGTAAAGAAGTGTGGGAAAGTGCACGGACAGCTGCCAAGTGCGCAGTTTTGAGCTGGTGGTGAATCCAAAGCTGTTTTCTCATTACTCCCATATAAAAAAATAATAATAGCGAAGTACGAACAAGCACCGGACACCTTTATCTTTTTGCACCATGAAGCAACAGAATCCCATCGTCTCCACCTCATCCAGCCATGCCCACCTCCATTTATTTTTCACTCCGTTATCAACAGCAACTTATACAGCTCCTTCTTCCATAAACAACGAGTGGGGCGGCTGTGGCTGTAAAGTGCCAAACTGCCGTTGTGTCCTTAGGCAAGACACTTCACCCCCATTGCCTAGAATGAGTCTGGTGTGTGTGTGTGAATGGTTGGTGGTGGTCGGAGGGGCCGATGGCACATACTGGTTGCCTCGCTTCTGTCAGTGTGCCCCAGGGCAGCTGTGGCTACAGTAGTAGTTTATCACCACCGTGTATGGAGTGAATGAATAATGACACATGTGAAGCGTCTGAGTGTCCAAAAAAGCGCTATATAAAACCGATGCATTATTATTATTATCATTATTATCCATGATTGTGATTGTGCGTGCATGCTAGGCTAGCTTTGATGAATGAATATAAGACCTGCTAACACACACCTTTCTTCAGCGAGTTTCTTCCGTTCGCTCTCGTTGATTGGCTCTTTTTATCACGCAGTTTTGCATGCGGATCGCCACCAAGATATTATCAAAAGCTCACCAAGACATGCTTGTCCCCATTCCCAGTCACAGCAAAGTACATATTGTACATTCCGTTAAATAAAAAAGCATTGCGTTTGGTAAACGTTAGTTATGTCCTACCTTTCCTCTGATAACGCGCCCAGTTTACCGGTCCGCGGGCTGCTGGCTGTTATTGCTCCGTTCGGGATTACATTTTCCTTGTCCTCTTCTCCTTTTCAAAAGCTCCGTGCACTTTTCAGAAACTATCACCTCCGTGTTACCATCGCTAACTTGGCTACGTCCCATTGCCTTGAATCATTTACTGAGCGCTCATGTAGCTAGCCACGGCACGTTCAAGGCCCACTCGTTACTTTTTATTTCTATATACATATAAATACAATTATATTCAAATTATTAATATATATCTAGATATATACAACAGATTCACACGTATTACTATATATTTTGTTATAATTAACCATTTCATTGTGTGTATTATATTATTATTATATATTTTGTTTCTTTTTCAGACCAATTTCATTTGACGGAAATCCGTCACTTAGACGGAACTCTTTAATCCCTGCGCTATACACATGCAATCCTTTCATACAATTGGTAGAACACACTTGAACCTTTTTTCAAATGACAGCAATCATTATTTATTTATATATATATTAAAAAAAAAAAAAAAAAAAAAAAAGTGTTTTTTTTTTTTTTTTCCTCACGCCGGAAAACTTTAAGCCCTGCTCTTGTGTATATATGTAATCAGTCGTTTCTAACGGGTATTTTTCCAAGTAAAATGAAAACTGCCAAAGTTATACCCATATTTAAAAACGGTGACAGGCAGCAGTTAACAAATTATAGACCAATCTCTATACTCTCACAGTTTTCAAAAATACTGGAAAAACTATTCGTCAAACGACTTGATTGTTTTGTAGACAAGCATAACTTGTTGAGTGAACATCAGTACGGTTTCAGATCCAATAGGTCCACCTCAATGGCTGTCATGGAACTAGTGGAAAACATAGCTACATCTTTTGAGAACAGTGAGTATGCTGTGGGAGTCTTCATAGACCTAAGCAAGGCTTTTGACACAATAGATCATTCATTGCTTTTAAATAAATTGGAAAGGTATGGGGTTCGGGGCTTAGCGCACACTTGGCTAAAAAGTTATTTAAGTGATAGAAGTCAGTATGTCAAAATCAATAATATCAGCTCAATGGAAGCAAAAATAACCCACGGTGTTCCTCAGGGCTCCGTATTAGGACCCAAATTATTTATTTTGTACATAAATGAAATCTGTGAAGTTCTTAATAAATCACGATGCATCTTATTTGCTGATGATACCAGTCTGTATTGTTCTGGAAAAGATCTTGGGCTGCTTCTAAATACAGTAGGAAGTGAACTCAAGATATTAAAAACATGGTTTGATGTAAACAAACTTTCCATAAATCTGCATAAAACTAAATATATTATCTTTGGAAAAAGGGAAATAATAAAGACCCCATGTAAAATCAGTATTGGAGAGGTAGACATTGAAAGGGTGTATGAAACAAAGTTTTTAGGAATCAATATTGATCATAAGTTAAACTGGAAAGTGCATATAAACACTCTAAAGACTAAAATTTCTAAACTCATTGCTATACTGTGTAAAATTAAAACTTCTGTAAATCAAAATGCGTTATATATACTTTACAATTCCCTCATCCTTCCATACCTCAGCTACTGTGTGGAATTATGGGGGAATACCTACAAAACTAATATAAAACCTATCTTTATCTTACAAAAGAAAGCCATTAGAGTGATCAGTCATGCCGAATACCTTTCCCCAACAAATCCACTATTTATTAGACATAATATTCTAAAATTGTATGATCTTGTTGATGTTTACACTGCAGCTGTGTTATACAAGGCTCACAACTTCATGCTTCCTCACTGTTTGCAAAAGATGTTTCATACTAGAGAATGTAGCTACAGCCTCAGAGGAACTGATCTGCTTCAGAAACCCAGAGCAAAGAGTAATACTAAGAGGACATGTGTATCAGTCAAAGGAGTTGATCTATGGAACAGTCTATCTGTTCAACTTAAGGGCTCAAGAACTATTAAAGCATTCAAAAAAAAGTATAAGTCAAATATTATGGAGAAGTATAGGACAATTGAATTGGACTATGCTTAATAACTCGTGTTTATGGAAGTTCATGTTTTGTGCTTCATGTTACCATCGTTGGTATATGAGAATCTGTATATTGTGTCACCTATAATTTTGATCATGTATAACATTATTTTGATTTGTTGAAGCGCAATTTTTTGGTGCCTCATGTTACCATCGTTGGTATATGAGAAACTGTATGTTGTGTCATTTACAATTTTGATCATGTATAACATAATTTTGATTTGTTCAAGTGCAAGTTTTTGGTGCTTCATGTTGCCGTCGTTAGTATATGAGAAACTGTATAATTTGTCATCTTTGGACGTATTTTCACATTGTATTAGGGGTTAGGCAGTATAAGTTTCGACTTCAGCCTAAACCCTTTCGGTCAGGTATTGTTTCGCACAAGGTCCTTTATGGACACATTTTGGTTCTTTTTTTCATTTTATTTTTATTTTCTTGTTGTAAAAAGCAAATGTGAGCTCTGTATCCGTGTGACCCGAGGTCAGGTGTACATATTGACCGAAGAAAAAAATAAACTAACTAACTAACTAACTAACCCTCAGTGTAGGAAGGAGCGCTACCGCAGGGCCTTTATCCCCACCGCTGTCAGACTGTACAATAAGTCACTTTAAATTATCACTGTGTGAAAACCTGCACTACTATTGACACTGTTTTCCAATTGACACTTGTCACTTTTGTTGTACATAATTATTGTCACTTTTATTGTACATATATATCCTGCATGTAACATGTTTGCACATTTCCTCCTTTTGCACAATCTGAGTGTCTCTATCCATGTAAATTTCTCCTCTGTGAGATAAATAAAGCTTATCTTATTGTTCTCTTATCTTATAGACACGCAGACAGGACCATAGGACAATCCCCAACTTGTTGCAAGTCCAGGTCAACCCGCGTCTCCTACCTATGCGCAACCAAAACTCAAGAAATTAAAGCTCGGGTACCTAATTTTCCTCTTGCATTAAAAATGCATGTTGGTTGCGCGTAGATATTTATACTGCGCGATTTAATAATATACTGCATAATGATAGAATAGTACTGGCATTGTCTAATACATATATAATGTACAGTAACTTATAAAGAGAAAGACACAAAAAAGAAGGGGAAAAGTTACATAAAACAAATTCAATTCATTGAATGAATAAATACATTCTTGATTTTCATCTAATTAATGAGTGTTGTGTGTTTGCTTAGAGCCAAAGTAACTTTTTTTTTATCTTTTACTACATAGTGACTAAAATAAGTGTGTGCCATAACAGAGAAATTCAAATTTAACATGTTATATTTGATTGTGATGATTCTATATAGAAAGTCTATCTTTAAACTTGTTTTTCTCAAAATTCCGTTTCATAAAACCATGTTAATAAGCTGACTTCAGTTAATGATAACATTTGTTACAGACATGCTATAAAAAAACAAGGAAAACCGATTTAGAAGATGTCTCCAACCATTCCATCCCCTGAACTAATTTTATATCTTCCGGTCAATCTGAAATAATCACAACCTATTGCCGGCTCCAAATCTAAACTGAGCGGCAGAGACACATTAGTGTTTAGATTTCTTACAGTCGGCTCTGGTCTTCGTCAGGTTGTAGTCCGCTCTCAGAGACCGGATTGTTTTGACCACGGTCATAACAAACTCCATCTCACGGTCAATTTCTTCACTGTGCCAGCAGAACTGCGACAAAGCAGACAGACCATCAGCAAATCCTTTTAACTTCAATAACCTTTCACTTTGTATTTCTATTGAGGAATATTTTTTTGTAAATATTTTTCTTAAATAAAGAAACTCGTCCAGTCTGTTCAACAAAATCTTTACTCAACTCAAGCAAATTTGGCGAACAAATAGCAGTAAGTTTAAGACACCTGAAGCTACTTTATGTGCCGCACATGTCATTATTCTTATACGGTGGTGAGGCAACTAATCTGTGCCGTTTGTCCCTCTGACCACCAAGTGTCTTTTCCTAAGGACAAAACAGCTGCAGATTTAAAAGCACTAAAAGCAGTCTACAAAAATACAGCAGGAATGTTTCGTCAACAAACCCTACACAGGACCATGACTTTGACATCAACTTCCCTGGCATCAGCTGTGGCCATGTGGCAAAAGGAGATTTTGATTAAACTTTGTGACATTTGAGGTGTCTGCTGCTCACCTCCAGGGAGCACGGATACGCCGTCACGCAGACGCTGGGCGGGTCGTGCTGTGGCTGTCGCCTCGGTAACCTCTGGAAAAGCTCCTCGGTGACAAAGGGCATGATTGGAGCGAGCAGCCGCAGAGCCACCTCCAGACAAGTGTAGAGAGTCTGTCTGCAGACGGAGACCTCGCTGCAGCCGTCCACTTTACTGAACACTGGCTTCACACTCTCCTACAGCACAGGCGCAACGGATGAGAAGCTTTCAAACACCACATACAGCAAGTAATTACCCTTTACAGGAACTGCCAACGAAGGCCGTGTAAAAATATAGATTCAAGAGTTTCAGAGCGATGAAACATGAGCATTGTTATCATAGTCATTATCTTTTAAAAAGTTATGTTTTCATGATTAATCTCATGACTTTTTTAGAAGATGTTACTTATTGCATTCCTGAACATTTAGAGGTCTACACATCGGGCTTATAACGAAAATGTTTGACTGCAATATTTACATTTAATTGAAAACACAAATTGGGGTTGTTTGATTTTGTTATACCTCACGCAGAAACCCGAAAACAGGTAACTATTTGTATTTATAGTTAGATTTGGTTGGGACAGTGCTTGTTAATGAACACACGTCTCCGGATTGTAGCCATGGGTAATTTGCATCTGATGTCCTACAGTTGCACTCACAAACACACACTCAGTCAACCTGAACTAATGTATGTGTTTTTAGTGGTGGGGGAAACCGGAAACCTACACAGACACAGGGAGAACATGCAAATTCCACACATAAAGGCCCTGGAGGTGGAGTTGAACCTAAGACCTTCTCGCTGTAAAGCATAAGCGCAAACCACTGAGTCAGATAAATATACTCCTTATATTAGTGTTTTATATTTGTCATATTATTGGAGATACTGTATGAATAGTTTTAAACAGTAAGATGTTGAACTGCTATGGATGTGCAGACGTGTTTGTATTATTACCAGGTAGACGTCACAGAGCTCATACAGCCAGAAGTTGTAGATGGCCGTGGTGATGGCGGGAAAGTCATAAGTCCTGAATCCTTCATCACAGAGAGCGACAGCTGCACTGAGCCTAGACAGAATCCACCGGTCGGACACGCTCTCCTGGCCACACAACTGCAGCGGAAAACACATTTGTTACAGACAGACACGCCACACTACACCTAATTATGATCAGTATACAGCAAATCCGTTGTGGTGCCTTTCATAAGTTGTTCTTGATACGGATTTGTGTTTTTGATGATTTTAAAATATTTGCAGCAGGCCAAGCTTTCTCCTAATTGTTGATGTGCTTTTTCACTACGTGCAGAGACCAAGCGACGTTTGACCGTGATGGTGCGCCAACACAGGCCTAATCACATTAGCGGTGCCCTCCGGTTTCTCAGTCCTTAAAAGGCTGTCACTTAATCTTAATCATCTTATTCTAGGTAATACAACTGGAGCAGCTTTTACAACATATTAGCACTGAGACAAAATACATAATTTCTTAACTACATGGAAAAAGTAAAGCTCGACAGTGTGCCCAGACTATTACGTCAAATAATTAGGTTGTTGCAACTGTCTGCATCCAATGGTAAACATTTGATTGCAAACTTGTCCGGAAGAATGCATTCCCAAAATGGATTTAAGGATTTACATTCAAGCCGTGCAATGCTGCTCCATCTCACTTGGATTTCCTCTCAAAAAAAAAAAAGCTATCAAAACTTGTGTTCTGTTCAAAAATAAGAAACCACGGCCTTGATTTAGTAAGATGCTTATTTCTCAGCTAACTTTCAGACTTTTAATTATCGTCCCAACAGCTTTCGCCAGTGTTGACAAGTTTCACTTACGGAAAAAACTTAGAACAAAAATGTGTCAAATTCCCATATTTCTCATTTGAAGCTAAAAACAGCCAGAAATGCCATGAAAACAAGTCAAATATACAAACATAGGCTTTGACAGGCACTTAATGCACAAGATAATCCCAAGACAAAGACGGAAATATCGTCTTTCTTCGCAGTCGTCTCACCTGGGCTTTCTCCGACGGTACAAAGTTGTCTCCGAGTGTTTTCATGGCAAACTTCACAGCGTTCCACAGCTTGTTGCAGAAGTGGCGGTAACCAAGGATACGGTTCACATCCAGGTTTATGTCTCTGCCTGAGGAGTGGAAACTGAAATTAATAGTGAACAGAATATTAAAGTGTGTTTATATGAGTGATGAGATGGACAGTTGAAATCCTGCGATAGTTTGCAATGTCGCCTTGAGCCAACCAACATTAGTTATCATGATCATTGGAAAAAAGTGTGTCTAAAAAAAGCTGCTTTTTTTATAACAAAGGGAGAGATCACGACTTCATAAATCATCACCACGATTCTCGTCCTCAAACTGTATTCCAATAATACAGCATTGTACCAAGGAAGTTGGAACCAAAGATTTTTTGTTGTGTACATTTGCCAAGGTTCCTTTTCTGTTGTCAACAAAGTGAATAAAAACATAAATCGAAATGAAGTGAGGTCTAATTGGTAGAAACTTGGGAGATTTATAAAATGTCAGGATTGGGTTTGATTTAGGACAGTAGATTTTTCTACATGTTTTAAAAATATAATAATATATTCCATTTTCAAGTACTCAGGAGCAGTGTTTTCAACCAGTGTGACTTGTTACTGTGGCTTTGAATATTATCCAATGTAACCTGTTTTTGGTTATTCTTTTAATGGGAAAGGTTATGGAACACTGCTCAAGTATGTGTATGTTAAAGGGCCACCGGATAATAACACAAATATAAAATAGGCCTTTAATAATTACATAGGCCTAGGTTATAGGTCTTTGAAAACAATTTTGCAATGTACGTTTAATATATTTTTCATAATGTACGAAATGTGTAATTATGAAGACACACAGTAAATTAAATGTGAGGATATAATGAAGAGAAAAGTGACCTTGGCTGGTATAAGCACAGAGGGCAAAGCGGAGAGCATCTGTCCCACACTCTGGGATTCCACTGGGGTAGTCAGACTTCTGCCCCTGTTTGGCCTTCTCCACCTCCACTGGGTCCAGGTTACTGTCTTTCAGCTGAGCATGAAGACCCTGAGATATGTGGGGAAACATGCACAAACATCAAGTTTAGTGTGAAGTCTGACCTGCCTATTATGTACTGAGGACCCCTTTCATATCTGTATATTAGTATTATTCCTAAACATAATCTAAAGAACTGAATGCATTACAAAATCAAAAAAAAAACCTTGTCTTCTTTTTTTGATCTGAAGGGACTCCAAAAATGGCACAGATGCAATTGCCGCTGCCCTGTCTTCATTTCTCAACATTAGCATTTATTATTAATGTTTCTAGTTTTTTCAAGATTATTTCAATGTTACAATCATCTGCTAATTTAGCAATCTGTAATTCAATTCAATTAATTTATTGTAAAGCCCTAATCACAACAGCAGTTATGTCCAAGGACTTAAAAAAACTGTTGATTTCACCAACACAGATCAGAGAATCAAATAGTTCAAACACAAGAAATGCAATGATAAAACACACAGAGAGCCATTGGTCTATAAGGGGCCAATGACCAATGTCCATAAATGTTGATAAATGTCTATATATGTTGTTGAATATTGAGAGTCCTGGATCATCACTGTAAGAAATTAGCTGAACTTAGTCTGTGAGTGTCGTGCACCCATGACGTCCAGCACCACGCAGTCACAGTATTAACATTTCAATCCAATTGTGCATTATACATCAGCCAAATCCAATCGTTTTGCAGATGTAATCCTCTGTCGTTCAAATCAATTATGCAAAAGCGCTGTTTACTCCCAGCCTTTTACTGCCCTCTAGTGGACATGTCACTCCTAACCTGACCACACGGCTTCACGCCAGCTGAAAGTGGAGAGATTGATGGACTCAATAAAATGTTGTTGGAAGAAAAGGAGGTTTAATAAAGCGCACATACGAAAATGAGTCTGAAGGGAGATGCGAGGATGTAGTGACCGCGTAATCCAAATGAGAAAGGACGGACTGAGCTGTGTGTTGTGAGGCTTAAAATTGTGATTAGGCCGTTTTACCTCCAGAGAAATCCCTGTAATGACATCCAGCGGGTCGATAACGTTGCCCAGAGACTTGCTCATTTTCCGTCCGTGGGCGTCCCTCACCACGGCATGCAAATAAACCTACACAAAAGGAAACGTTAGTCATGGGCAATGGAAAGATTGTGATTTTACAAGACGATGGGGAAAATGGATAATCTACAGGTATTAATGGGGGAAGTGAAATTTGAGCCGTGTTAAAAAGGCCCAATCAAAAGTGTCCACAATTTTGAGAGACGTTTGAACAAAGTTTGACTAAATTGTATTCAGCCTTTTATACAGCTCCATGAAAATATAGTGGAAAGTCAGTCTGACCTTTCCCGGCAGGTGACGCATCTCTTTTCCAGTTTGTAAAAAGGGGCCATGAACGAGTGGGTAGCAAGTCATAATTTGTATGAAAGATTAAAATTGGCCTTTTACACTGTGTAAGCCAAAAATAATGGATTCTAAACCATTGGTATCAGTGATGAATCGAGGTCGACTGTAAATATCCAGCATCCAACATCTTTTGTATTTCTGGTTATTTTTTGTGTATTTACTTTTCCATGACCAAAAAGGCGATGGCCACATATGGTCAACAGATGATTTTTTATTTTATTTTTTTAAATAACAGGGTTTACTTTTGAATGCGCTGGAAACGGCAGCAAGTCCTAAGTAGTTGTTGTTTTGTGCTTTACAATTGCAATTTTTCTTGCTTTATCATCTGTAAATGTTACTGCGTACAGTGTTCAGGGTTTAACAGTGATCAAGACCAGGACAGAAAGGCTTTGCGGACCGAAAAAAGCAGATCAATCAGTAGTGAAAAATGCTAACAAAGGATCCAGCATTTTACTCTGGACCAGAGCAGAGAAAATGGTCCGAACCAAGCGGCGACTCCACCTCTGCTGCTGTAGCCTAAAGTGTTGTTGCATTTTATAACTATTGTTAGCTACTTTTAGAATTATCTATTTGTTTTGTTTGTATGTATGTATGCATGTGTTTCTGCTGCTACTGGACACTTGAAATTCTCCTATGGGGATCAACATGTATTTATACGGCCAAAACTCAATATTTTAGCCGATTGTGAAAAGGCCCTTAATGGTTGAACTAATGCTTAAAATGTTAATTAACATGGCAACGTTCATACATGCATCTTACCTCATTCATGAGTCTTACCTCTTTGAAGGGGAGTTTTCCCGTGAGTTTTAGGCCCATCATAACCATGCGAGCCACCCAGAAAAACAAGATGTCGTGTCCAGTCTCCAGCAGAGTCCCAGGGTAGAAAACGTTCAGGTCCTTTGTCTAAAACATCACCAAAAGACATTTACAATCTACGTTTTTTACTTAGATCTGAAAATGCGAAATTGAATACGTCCATAATAGTGGATGTAAAAAATACTATAAAGCACTATTCTTTCCAAATGTTAAAAAAAATGCTTCTAATTTTACACTTTCTACTCTACACCGATCTATTCGCCTTCAGTCTCCAAAATTGAATATATTCCCTTGCAAATAAAAAAGAACCGTAAAAACCTATTCAACTGCAAAAGCGAAGTGACAGTTAAAATGGAACTAAATTATGAGCACATGGAATATTCATGTATGCAAATACAAGGGTACGCTGCCCTTAGACTTATTTTACCTCGTTAGGCCATCCGAAGATGGAGAAAGGGAAAATACCCGAAGAGAACCAAGTGTCCAGAACGTCCTCATCTAAAGTCCAGGTCAAAAACACATATCAGTAATTATGAAAACAAAGAAGACTGACCTTAACATGCATTTACAACTCTACCTTGTCTGAGAGTGATTTTATCAGTGGTCACATTGAAGCGTTTGGCTGCCTTCTCCCTGGCCTCTTCTTCCGTTCGCCCACTCACCCAGTACTGGCCGTCCATGTCCTTGTGTAGACCATGTTTTAACTTTATATTGAACAAAAGCTATGTAAAACTAAAGGACCAAAAGACAAGGCTGCTCACCTCTCCTTGTTTAACAGAAGGGTCATTGACGGTCACAAAGTAAGCAGGAATTCTGTGACCCCACCACAGCTGTCGAGAGATGCACCAGTCTCTGAAGGGGAACAGGACATATGTTTACGCGGTGTGTGGACTTATGTCCACACACCGCTACAGCAGAATATTCACCCGTGGCCCAATAGTTTTTACAAAAAGGGCCACATATCGACTACATTGTGCACAAGATTCCAAAATACTGTAATAAGAAATCATTGCATATTTATTCAACCTAAAATCACAAGAGCAGATTTGAACAGATTAAAGCTGGGGCACCTCACTTTAAGTAACTAATTTTGTTAGTCCCAACAGAAAGTTACATTTCATTTTAAGCAAACATGAAATAAAAACGCTTTGATGCTTTGGGCTGAAAGCTGCTTAGCTGAGTGAGGGAGGTGAATAATCTGAATAGAAATATCTGATATAGGCCAACAAATATGCATGATGTGAAAATTAGTCATAGAAGCATCATTTTGGCTGTAAATGTAAAATTAGTCAACATCAATGGTATCTAAATGTGAGACGATTATAATAACCTGATGTTGTCCATCCAGTTGAACCAGGTCTTGAGGTGGTGATCTGGGATGATTTTGAGGCGTCCTTCTCTCACGGAGTCTGCAGCCTGTTTTCCCATGTCTGCACAGCTTACGTACCACTGAGGCTTCAGAAGAGGCTCCACGATGTCTTTTGATCGACTTAACACATAGAAGACGAGAAGAAAATTAACTCTTAAAATTGAAAACTTGTGTCTCTATGGCTTTTAAAAGGTCATACCTGCAGACTGGTACAACCATGGGATTGTCTTTGATTTCTTTAAATTGACCCCTGTCCTTCAAAGCCTGAATCACCTCCTTCCTGGCCTCAAAGCGCTTCATGCCCTGGAAAAACAGCAGACCAATGGGAGGAAGAAAAATACATGGAAGACTTAGATAAACTGAACACACTTTCTGCAATACTAAAAAACATTGGGCCTCATTCACGAACGGTTCTTAGGAACAGATTTGTACGTAAATCCTACTTACGAGGTTTTTACGAAGAAAGTGGCATTCACGAATTTTTCTCGTAACCAGAATTTCTCTTGGGCAAGTACAAATCCTACGAGTCCTCAGGAGCACTCGTACGCATTCAGTGCCGACATGTTCACACGCCGGGGTTGTCCTCTTTGGTGAAGTTTAATAAAAATACAACATTCCAGTGATATGTCCGTCATATCGATGTATTTATTTCCACTGGACTTCCGCAGTGGAAGTGTGTAGACGTGTTCCTTGGTGCTCCGCTGCTTGCTTCGCTTTGTAATCTCTTTTAATCGCTTTATTTACATTTACAAAAAAGAGCAGCCTGGATGCTACGGTACTTAACAACTATCGTCCCATCTCAAATCTGCCATTTATGGGGAAAGTCCTTGAAAAAGTTGTCTACCTACAGCTTACTAGATTTCTTATAATTAACAACTCATTTGATATGTTTCAGTCCGGCTTTAGACCCCACCACAGCACTGAGACTGCTCTTGTCAAGGTTACAAACGATATCCGGCTGAACACTGCCGCAGGCAAAGTCTCAATCTTAATCTTGTTAGATCTGAGTGCTGCCTTTGACACCGTCGACCATGAGATCCTCTTACAGAGACTAGAGGACTGGGTTGGAGTCGCTGGCACCGCCCTAAGTTGGTTTAGGTCTTACCTTGAAGACAGGAAGTACTTTGTGGAGATTGGAGACTGTCTCAGATCATATGGCCCTGACCTGTGGAGTACCACAGGGGTCGATCCTGGGACCTCTTCTGTTCAATCTCTACATGCTGCCGTTAGGTCAGTTAATACGCAGAAACAAAGTGTCCTATCACAACTATGCAGACGACACTCAGATCTATGTCTCACTGACTGCAGGAGAACATGGACCAGTGGACTCACTCCTTCACTGTATCCAACAGATCAGTGAGTGGATGCAAAACAACTTCCTTCAGCTAAACGCAGACAAAACTGAAATGATTGTCTTTGGTCCCCAGAAACAAAGAGAGAGCGTCATCTGTCACCTACAGTCTCTCTCCCTAAAACCTTCAAACAAGGTCAGAAATCTAGGGGTAATACTGGACTCAGACTTAAATTTTAATAGCCACATCAAATCAGTAACATCAGCAGCTTTTTACCACCTAAAAAACATTGCCAGGATCAAAAACATAGTGTCTAAAGCAGACCTGGAGATTCTTATCCATGCATTTGTCTCCAGTAGGTTAGACTACTGCAATGGCCTGCTCACAGGTCTGTCCAAACAGGCTGTAAAACAGCTGCAGTACATTCAAAATGCAGCAGCTCGAGTCCTGACTAGAACCAGGAAGTACGACCACATTAGTCCAGTTCTCAGGTCTATGCACTGGCTTCCTGTGGCTCAGAGAATAGACTTTAAAACAGCTCTGCTTGTGTACAAGTCTCTCCATGGCCTCGCACCAAACTATATTAGTGACATGTTAGTCCCATATGAACCAGCCCGGACTCTGAGGAGCACAGGGACTGGACTCCTGTTAGTGTCCAGAGTCAGAACTAAACATGGGGAGGCTGCTTTTCAGATTCATGCTGCTAAAATCTGGAACAGTCTTCCTGAAGATGTGAGACAGGCCTCCTCTCTGACAATGTTTAAGACAAGGTTGAAAACAGTTCTGTTTAGCTGTGTATACAACTGAGGGATTTTATATTTTTATCTTTTTTTTTAATGTACTGTGATTATTTATGATTTTAATGCTTTCTTGTTCTGTTCAGCACTTTGAATTGCCTTGTGTATGAATTGTGCTATACAAATAAACTTGCCTTGCCTAGTAATCTTTATTAGTAATCTTTATTTATATACCGCCTTTTTCACTGCAGATCTGGCCTACTTTTTAATTCATTTTGAAATGAAATGTGCCAACGCTTTATCAAATACATTGGAAATCTTGCCGTGTATTAGTGACCCCTTCCTATTTATAGGGGGCATTTCTTTATCCACGGGCCACAGAACAACGGCATATATACTGCTGCTGCAGGAGGTTACTGGGTCCGCGCTGAGTCTCTGCACTGGTCTCTCCCATGGATCTATACTGGTCTGCACTGGTCTCTCCCATGGATCTAGACGGGTCTGCACTGGTCTCTCCCATGGATCTAGACGGGTCTGCACTGGTCTCTCCATACGGGTCAGTGCTGCATGCTCCTGGATCCACACGGGTCCGCGCTGGTCTCTCAAGTCTGGTCTATGCGGTCTCTCTTCGGTCCGCGCTGGTCTCTGCGCACCGGTCTCTCCAGTCAGGTCACTACAGTCTATGCGGTCTCTCCTGTCCGCGCTGGTTTCTGTGTGCTGGTCACTCCAGTCTCTCCTCGGGTCTGCATTGGTCTCAGCGCTGGTCCGTGCTGGATCTCCTCCCAGGGTCCAAAATATTTTGAGATTAATCTCAAAACATTTTGAGATTCATCTTTAAAATAATACATAATATATTTTTAAATTAAACTCATAACATTTTGAGATTAATCTCATCATATTCTTAGATTAATCTCATAATTTTGCTAGTTCGACTTTATTCTCATAATATTTCAACTTTTAAGTCAACATTTTATAACTTTATTCTCAGTCTGGCAAAAGAAGAAAAAAGGGTGACTCTTTTGCTCCGTGTAACTCTTTGCTTTAGGCCTGTTGCTGTTTCCTCTGCCGTCTGCACACGGCCCTGCAGTCCCTTTTATGGGCATTAATGGGCGGTAACTTATGCTAAGTACCTATGCTAATGAAGCACCTGGCACGCGCGCTGTACTTACGAGGAAATGGGATTCATCAATCTAAGAGAACAGCTGCGAACAATTCAGCGGCTTACGAGTGCGTTGATGAATCCCACGTAGGGACTTCTTAGAAATCTACTTAAGGACAACTTGAGAAGAAATTTGAGAAGTTTCTTACGAAGTTATTCGTGAATGAGGCCCATTGTTTTAAAAGACCAGTTAAAGCCAATCACAGATTGAATAATATTCAATAGTTCAAGACTTCAGGTCAGATGAAGGATCGTAAATCTCTGAAAGGACCAGTAGATACAAAGGTTTGACATTGCTGGAGAAACGCACAGTCGGAGGTTATACAATGATAATGAGCACTGTACCAGGAAGGGATGGGGCACGTTGATGAGCAGCCCATTTTCATCCAAAATGTTGATGAAGGCCAGATTGTGCCGCACTCCAATATCGTAATCGTTATGGTCATGAGCAGGGGTGATTTTAACAGCACCTAAGCGGCAAATATGCAATTAAAACAGGAAAATTATCTTAACAACCTTGTCCTATTGAAACTTGTCCGTCATGCTAGCACCACCAACCTGTTCCAAAATTCATGTCCACAAAGTCGTCAAACACAATTGGCATCTTGCGGTCGCAAAATGGATGGAGGACGGTTTTGCCCTTGAGATGCTGATACCTGGGGTCGTCTGGGTGCACAGCCACAGCGGTATCTCCAAGCATGGTCTCAATACGAGTGGTGGCAACGATCACCTCCTCGTCTGAAATTGGACAAAAAACAGTGAAAGAATACATAAGATAGACTTTATTGATCTCACACTGGAGAAATGTACATATCACATTTGGCATAGATAGTGTGCAACATGTTAAAAGATTAAAATGGTATACGTATGCATACATTCAAAAAAGGGGGAAAGTAAGGCCACATAAGAAGACCCACATGGGATTGCACTGCAAAATTGTAATACCTGCTTGAGAATAAAATTCTGGATTCTTTTTGATTAGTAGAGTTTAATTTGCCTAGAATACCTCAGCGGTTTTAAGCAACTGGTTGTCCAAATGAGGCAACTATTCTCTTAGCAAAAAGGCCTAATTAGAAAATGGTCTGAAACACTGTCAAAACTACTAGTAAAACATTTTCATCAGGTAAATAAAACTCAATTACATATAAATATATGGTATCCAATCAAATTGCCAAGAGTGACACTGTACCTGATCCATCTATTTTGTAGGCAAAAGACACGAGAACTCCAAACTCCACCTTCTCCTTGTATCCGGGCACAGGCAACAGCGTTCTGCCAGTCAGCTCCTTCTTATCCACCTACAAGAACATTTTGTTGATATTACACTAGCACATGACTAGACATACTTTACTGTTGTGTTGCCACAGCTGCCCTCACTAGTGGAGGTGAGGCAGATCAAGCACCAACACAGTTTCAGAGTAAATCGTAAATATCTTCAGCTTGCCTCAATGTCGGAGATGGCAGAGTTGAGTGTGCAGGACCAGTTGACGAGCCTCTTGCTCCGATAGATTACCCCTTCTTCATGCATACGGATAAATGCTTCTTGTACGGCATAGGAAAGTTTCTAGGCAAAGTCAAAATATTACTTTTACCACTTTAAAAATGTAATAAAAAAGGTTAAGTTTAAGGAACAAAATAGAAAAAAAAAATTGAGGTAAACCTTACAGGGTCCATTGTGAAACAGGCTCTGTCCCAATCCAGTGAAGACCCAAGTTTCTTGAGCTGGTGGTAGATCCTGTCTCCCTTCCTAAAAGACCATCCTTAAGTCAATTTCTTAGTTATCTCATATGAAACCCTTTAGACTCTGAAACTTTATAATAGATTGAAGACTACTTAAAATAAATAACAGAAATAAAAGAAAAAAACTTGTTTATACTTATATCTTAAAAGATTACAAGATTATAGCTGTAACAACTATGGAGTCAATTTTACAATAAAAGGCAGCATATACTAGTTATACTCTAGTTTAAAACCAGTACAAAATGGATGTGAGAATTTAAGTCTCCTTTGGGTCTGCATAGCTTCACTCACTCGTTCTTCCACTTCCAAACTTCCTGGATGAAGTTTTCTCGGCCAAGGTCGTGGCGGCTCTGTCCCCTCTCCCTCATGAGCTTCTTCTCCACCACCACCTGTGTCGCAATGCCGGCGTGATCACAGCCGGGGTTCCACAGGGTCGTCTCTCCTTTCATTCTGTGCCTAAACAAGAAATTAAGCTGCATTTAAAAAAAGGTTTCTAATACATATACATTTTTTCATATGATATGAACATGCCATAAAATAATTTTCAATCATCATCCATTCCTTTAAAAACATGAAAATACAATTGTATCTATCTAAGTATCTATCTAATAGCAACTGCAAGTAATCAATTATAGAAAAGCTTCTAATTTTGTAACGGTAAAGAATTTATCAGGTTTTTGAATGATGCAGATTGAAACATGCTGTGAAGAGATTTTCTGACTCAAACACTGCTGTAATCACTGCAGAATGAAATGGCCGTCACATGGGCTGACCTTTTTTGATTCCAATAACTAATAGAAAGAATAATTGGACTAAGAATAATAAACTATTAACAAGGCAAAATACTTAATTACTACAGCCCCTCACATCCTGGAATAATTCATCTTGCAGCCCAAGGTTAGCACAATGCAAAAAACAACAGATAAAAGAAAACAAGTTTAAAATATATGACACAACAGTACCATCTGGTGAGACAGTCCTGAATAGCGTTTGTCAGAGCGTGGCCCAGGTGAAGAGATCCAGTCACATTTGGAGGAGGGATACACATCATGAAAGTACCGCGAGGGTTCGGTTCGGAAATATCCTTCCTCTGCAGAAGAAACAAATATAAAAACACGGGGCAGTGTAAAGAGAAAAAACACATTTCTAGTTAAAAAAAATATGAAACGCATAACATTTTCTGAATGAGCACAAGACAATAGGTACATCACTAATCGCTTTGGTCGCATTTAGTACTATATAGTTATTTTGTAATTGACTTTTGTATTAAACGTGTAACTTTCATACCCCAAATTCAGGCTTGAAGAATCCCTGCTTCTCCCACCACGAATACCAGGCGGCCTCCACATACTGAGGGCTGTAGGACTCTGGGAGAGGACTGACCACATCTATGAAAAAGAAAACAATTGCTCTCCAGATTATTGAATATAAATGAGTTGAAGGACATCAACTTTTCTGGTGGGTGGAACGCAATCTTCTTTTGTTTAGTGCAACTTGAAAACGATTAATTAAGGTGGTACAATTATTTAATTTAACAAATAGATCATTTTATTAGTAACCCAAATCAGGACCAAATCAGTTATGTTACCCTTTTTCTCCCCAGGCTGAGTTGGGACAGTGTACGAGATTACGCCGATTTCCTTCTTCTCAGGCTTGGCTTTTTTCTGCATAACAAATTAATGTATCCATCAATCAATAAATTAATAATAACGAATCAACACATTTTTAACCATGTCTACCTCTGTTGGCGGCTGGGTTTTTTTCTTGGCCTCCATTTCTTTTTTCTGTTGAAACTTCTGCAGCTTCTCAAGTTTTTTGGCCTCCTTCTTCAGCTGAGCGTCCGTCTTTGGTGGTCCTAGAATCAACAGAATACAATTTTAATTAATATGGTCTTTATTTGAGGGTCTAACATTCTGAATGAAGCATGAGCCGTGTTTGAATAATAAATAAAGATGGAATAATAAAAGGTCTTTCAGAAATTATGTTTACCATTGGTTGTGGCTGCATCAGTATCACCAGCTGGATTAGCATTGTCAGCATTAGCATCAGCTGTGTTTGTTTTGAGAGTGACTGGACCCATCTTCTCACACAGAGTTACCTTTCCCAGAACCTTCACAAACTGAGGCTGATTGATGCAAGTCGTGAACCATCTTGTGACATTAGTCAAAACTTTACGGTCTTGTGGCTCCAGCACCTGAATGCAAAAAGAGCAGGATGAGTCACAATACAGAAGAAAACCTTAATGGTTCAGGATAAAAATAAACAGAATCATTTTTTTTTAACATACATATTTAAATGGAAGAAGAACAGCACAGGCCACTGCCACATCAGCCAAAGTGATGCCCTCTCCCACTAAATAGGTTTTAGGTTCCAGAGCTTGGTTCAGCATTTTCAGAACACGCATCATCTCGGCACGAGAACTTTGTTGCAGCTAAAAAGTCATTTAACAGAAGAACAAGAAAAAAACAGCAGTCAGATACACCAAATGAAACATAATGGAATCTTGAACAACTTTCACATAGTAAAGGCCTAAGCACACAATCTCGGCATTGGGCTATGAGGAGTCAGTCCTCAAAGGACACTGGAGTCTCACGGAGGAAATTTTGTGCTTGTGCATGCAATGTTTGAGGACTGAAGTGATATTCCAAAAAGAAATGACCTTATAAGATTATTCCTTTGATTTTATATATATATATATATATATATATATATATATATATATAGAGCAGCAAGATTAGGAGGGTTCCTCTGGGCTGCTCTGATAGTCAAGTTCATGTTGGTTTGGACTTCAGTTCCTGCAACACTTTGCGTTACACTTTGTGTGAGCAGAAACGAGCGTATTGGTGTGTAAAAGCCTTAAGAGACACAAAATATCTTAATTACAAAAATCATTACTAAAGCCAATTTAGATTCAACATTTGTGGATTTTATGTATGCGTCTCGCGTTAAAATTCATGTAGTACATGCCCGCAAATGCAGCTGCAATAATCACAAAATGTTTTTTGAAAAAAAATTCACATTTACATATTGTGAGAAGAAAATATATTTGCAAGCTTACTACTCATTGAATTACCTTTTTATCCGTTCCCATGACACCGAGAAGTGGGAAGACCACTGCACACGCGACAGGAGTCAATTCATTGTCAGCGAAGCTGAGCCACTGCCACACCAGGCTCTGCTGTTTACTGTCTCCACCAACACGTTTACCCTGAGAGGCCAAGTACCAGGCAACAGCGTTAGACCCATTCAGAACTGTTGAACCCTCGGAAGCGCCCAGGACCAGAGCTGGTCTGGAGCGGGCGTTCAGGGAGGCTGGCGGGTCTTCTCTGATGACGCGTGGCTTGACAGACGGACAGAACTCTGCAGCAATCAGAGCAAGGAGACTCCGGAAGTCTTCAGGGTGAGGTGATGCATACAGTGTAGCCATCCTGGAAGAGCCAAAAGACATTGAAACATCTGCTTTTGAACAGCTACTCCTCAAAATCACTTAAAATATATGATGATGTGATACAACATTTTTATATTTCCATTCAATAATAAGGTTTAAGGGATTTTAGGTCATGTTGAAAAAAACAGCCAACCATCAACCATCTGTTTTGCATAATTTATCAGGGCTTTAATTCAGGTTTAACAGTAGACAGCTGGTTAATTCGAATAAGCACAACATGGGGCTAAACTAGATAGTAGACCTATATACTTCTGCGTGTCTTGTCAAAACTTCCTTGATTGTAACTAGTTGCTAAATCTGTAACATTCATATTGGCATTATAATATTTAGGATCAACTGGGTTTGTGTGTTTGTTGTCTAACATGCCATGTTGTACATAGTTAATTAGTTTCTGAAATATATAGCAGAGAAACTGATAAACCTGATTTAGCCACCTGTCACGACAGGGCAACTCGATCGAGCTACTTACTTAGCCACTATAATTGGAAGAAAGAGGGTAAGTTTGAATGAGTAAAGCGAACCAAAAACTCGTCTATATAACACGCCTTAAACTGTTGTATTAGTTCCCATTATAGTATGGAATTAACTTTATAATGGTAGGAAAGAGCAGCACAAACCTCTGAATGAAAACGCGTCAGCTTAGCCGTGCACTACCACATGAGCCTGGGCCCCGCCTCCTCCCGACTGATGCAACAAAAACTTCCGGGTTTGAGACACCATTTCCGCTTTTGATGTAAGGTTTACAAATAAAAAGACCTAAATATAATATTGTTTATATATTAAATATTATCACTAAACTGGCTACATTGTTTTATGTTGTATCAGGCTTTTTATTTTTTGCAGTAATAAAAAAAAAAAACAAAAAAACAAAAAAAAAAAGCCTTCCTTACTCTATAACAGTTTTGGCTTACTAGATTTCACATCACGCATGTATTTTGGCCTGAAAAAGAGAGGGTCCTCAATCAAGTCAATCAGTTATCAGCCCAAATCGTCAAATTGTGACTAACAGTAGTATGTAGTAAGTACGTAGAAGATCAAATGTTGCTGCATGAAACACTGCATGTTTTTTGTCTTATTTGTTTCAAAACATAATTTCTACACACACACATACAAAAATGAATGGAAAAAAGACACCTCTAATACCACACAATTAAAGTTCATGATCATGTATTTAGTGGAACTTCTTTTGCTAGATGTATGAGGGATTTTGTAAAGTCAAATATGCAATATGTACGTTTCAGTAAGCTGTAGTTGACTCATTTTTTACATTGTACAGTAAATATTGTTTATCAATATATATATATATATATATATATATATATATATATATAATATATATATATATATATATATATAATGATCCATATGAATTTATCTGTAAAAAGTGATGAAATAATTTATACTGTGACTGGGCAATTAGAAGAACATGACAGAAAGACAACACTAAAGAGAGGTTTGTTTAGTATTTTTACCCAAATACACAAGAGCAAACAATCATAAATACAAAACATGTGTCAACAAAAACTGTCAAAACATTAATTAAAGCCATTAGAATACTTTTGAATTCCCATCGGTGAGTTATCTTGTAGTTCTTAGTGAGAAAAAAACATTTGGATTCAGGCAGCCTGCGAAAAATTCTTACAGAAATAGCAAATCTGTAGTGCTGTTTTTTATTGTGCATCATGTAACTTTTGCGAACATGATGGTGATAATGCAATGTGGGTCAAACAGTTCCATAGCACAATTAAAACTGGGCCCAACTTCTACAGACAAGTGAAAACGGCATTAAAACTTTATGTAAGGTTTTCTATATCAGTTTTTTTCTGGAAGTACCGCTGCACTGAGGTCAAATGTCTCTTCACTTGTATACGAGTTGTGTTCAAAAGCCAATCCAACTATGCTACCTGTAGTATCCAATACACCCATTACAATCCGCCATACAATTTTAAAAACAGTTCCAACCCCACTCCCACTTTTCCATGCTAGTTTCCCAAACCCGTGTCCAACAGCACCTGCCTGCCCACCCAACTCCCCCACAACTGTCCTAACATAGTCCCCACTTTGCTCCGCTAACCTGCCTCCAAACACCTTTGTTGCCCACCAGGAATTATCCAGCATATCACCAAATATTCCCCAAGTGTCCCCAGCTAATATGCCAATCCCGGTAACACCTGTATAACAACTATCAAACAGTGCCTCTCCCATTGAAGAGGTGACAAAATAAAATTGAGAGAAGCACGCCTCCACTACACCATAAACCAGGTCAAAAGCAGAGCCAACCCAGGAAAATATATCTGAGAACAAGAGGTGGAAGACTGAGTAGGTGTCTCCAGGCAAAGCAGAAAGAACACCCAGATCTTCTTGAAGAACATATGAAACCTATGTGAATAAAGAAAAAAGCATTAGCACAATTTAGCACAATAAAATTACTTCATCACCTGGAGGTAAATACCTACGGAAAGACACACCTCATTCCATTGGCTGGGAGGAGTAGACAGACAGTTCATTTAGTATTCAAAACTCCATGAAATGAATGAAACAGCACTAGTACGTAGTAGTTGAAATGGTACAACACCGAAAAATAAATCTCTACAATTTTGAGTTAATTTCTTGCACTGTGCATTTTATCTTTCACTGTGGGACTTTTCAGAATGAATCCGCTATTTTTATTTACATATATGACATTTCCATTTACTTTTAGTCAAAGGCTCAGACCTGTCTAACAAACTGTTACAACCCGTTTTGTGTTTGTAAAAATGTTATTTTATGTTCTAAAACAAAGAACTGATTGATTGATATGGAGCATTCAACAAATCAGTGAGTGCATGCAAAACAACTTTAAACTCAGGACAAACTGAAATAATTGTCTTTGGTCTCCAGAAAGTGTTATCGGTCACCACCCTTAGTAATGGACTAAAACAAGGGAATGCAGAATTTCAGATTCATATCGAAAATTTGAGACAATGTTCAAATTGAAAAAGAAAGATCTGCTCTTCTATACTTAATTCTTGTATGTACGTTGTGTGATTATTATTATTTTACCTGTATGTCTACTGTATGATTTTTACTGTAAGCGTCCTCTCTTATTTTGTCAAGCACTTTGAGTTGCACTATGTACGATATGTGCTATGCAAATAAACACGCCTTGTCTTTGCTGTTGTAAAATGTGTCCTCTGCATGTGAGGGGGCTAGAGTTTGGGCAAATGAAAATCTCAAACTTGCAGCATTTAAACATTTTGTGGAAATATTAACATTAACAAATATATTGCAACTAATTTCACAATGTGCATAAAATAAAAATCCAACAGAGACCTTTGGTATATTGGTAGGTCTAGGCGACTATAGGACAGGCCTATGCAGATTTGAAGTCTGGTGATTTTTTTTTGAGGAAATTGAAGGATGTCAAAAGAAACTAGTAAAAGAAAATTATGTAACTTGGTGGCTAACAGAGGTAATTTATATTAATGGCATTATACAGTCAGCCGGGTTATACCCTTTCTCTTTATAGTTTTATTTGTGCAGGAATGAAATAAGTGCTTTTTTTGATAATCTATGAGTTGAAGGTTTATTCTTTGTATTAATCAATGGATTGTTTAGATCCCAAAAATTCAATGAGTCATGGGATTTTTTTCAATTCAAATTGACCAAAACAAAGCTCTAGCCCCTGGAGAACCCATCGATCAGAATTACTTGTTACACGTTATTAAAATACTTTGTAGTAGTAGTAGTAGTAATTTTTATTTATATACCGCCTTTTCACTGCACATGGGAGTCTCAAAGCGGTTTACAATTGTTATTTTTGGGAGCGGGGCCAGTACAGGAGGCACATGCCAGACCTATTGTACATATTTTTAGTGGTAGGGGAAACCGGAGCATCCGGAGGAAACCTACGCAGACACGGGGAGAACATGCAAACTCCACTCAGAAAGGCCCTGGTCCAACTGGGATTCAAACCCAGGACCTTCTTGCTGAGAGGCGAGCGTGCTATCCACTCAGCCACCGTGCCGCCTATAAACGTGCCGCCCATTTGTTAAGTTGTTACCTGAAGTAACGACATAGTGCTGAGAAAATCTAGTATATCCTCCAAGCTTGCTTGTCAAATATATACTATCAAGTCCACTTTAGAATTGTTATTACCTTTCCGGGGAGTTCAGTGAGTGTGGACATCACTGGGTGCAGAGCGGCTTTGAGGAGGGACAGGGTGGTGGAGAGGATGTAGAGGACAGTACTGGTAGAGTTTTCATCTACTTCCACCTCCTCCACAGTCTCTGGGCTCAAAGAGGGATCTGCCAGAGTTGGCTCAGAGGATGCCACTTCTCTGCTGCCCGGTGAAACCTGAGCATTTTTCGCAGATTCTGTGACTACAACTTTTATTTCAGAGGAAACATGAGACTCAGTATTGCTCTCCGTCTTCTTGTGGCTGACTTCTGTGTTACTGCTTACTGCTGTGTCAGGAATTGGATTGCTGGCCCGTGTCGTCACTTCTTTTGCTTCTGTTTCTTCCACGGGACCCAGATCTGAAGCTACAGCATTTACCACAGCCTGGGCATCATTATGAGAAACTTCAGAAATATCTCCTCCAATCTCTCCTCCTGCTCCGCAGCCCTCAGAAAAGAGTTCTGTCACTCCTAATGTGTCCTCGAGCTCCTTCACAGACACTTGCCTCAGCTCTCCCTCCGTCTCTCTGATCAAGGCCACACTGGAGCTATCCTTCCCATCAGGAGCTGCACAGCAGACTGCAGACCACAACAGCTTTCTCTGACAGTCTTCCGCTTCTAGAACCCCGAGTCTCCCCGCCCCAATCAGGACATACAGATCTCCCCCCAAAATTTGACACTGAGGTGCGATGCTCGACTGGACAAGATTGGTGACGGCTGAGTCCCATCGTTGAAGATGGGAGGCTGCTGGTGACAGCTCTGGCTCATCACTGTCCCCTTTAAGTAGAGCAGGGGTCACTACTTTTACACTTTTCTCTTCTTTACTCTGTAAAAAAACAGACCAAAGATTCAGAAGTTTGAGCTAAAAGACTCAAATAGGCACAAAAAGAAATTGAGCATAGGGCAGCAAAATAGGCTCAACCATACTGATCCTGATTGAATCAGTCTCTCATCAGTCATACAGACTGATGAACAGCTATCATTCATGTCCTTTTCAGAAAGCCTTTCAGATGTACATATATACATGTAGCATAACTTAGAATGTCATTGTATTCCATTAGAATTAAACAACACCAGTGTACCAGTGTCATAACCTAAATATATTGTGTTTTGTTGTGTCCTTACCAGAGACTCTGCTTCTTGCTTTGCTGTGCTAGCTGTCAGCCCATTGCTGAGATGGAAGGCAGAGTAGACAGCACTGTCGCAGCTTGGCTGGTACAAAGTAGCAAATGACTGGCCCTTTGGTCTGGTCAGGCACAGGGGCTGCAGGGGCTTGTCGTAGCTGCCCTGAGGCGGGATGTGTCTGTAGAAGCTGTGGCTGCATTGATTGAAGTCTGAGGCCTGGGCTGGTAACAGGCCTGTGTACAGCAGTACCAGCAGCCAGAGAGCAGCTGCACTGACAGTAGCAGGACACATGGTGGTGTGAACTCAGAATCCCCCTCTCTCCACTCACAGGGCAGGAGGGAGAGGCTAATGAATAATCCAGTAGTCTCCGCTTATGGATGAAAAAGAAATGGTGGATGGGGAGAGCAGGCTCCTGTAGTTCTTGCTAGCTCCCTCTTTTTTGCATTTCTTCTTTACACAGAGTGAATCTCTGTGCAGGCACAATCTTGCTTACTGCTTCATTTCCCCTTCTCCTGACAGCCTCACCCCCTGTGTCAGTTCCACCCTTTTTGTCTCTCCCTCTGGCTAAGGGCACATACCCCTCCCTCTGACTCGCTGCAGTTACACCTACAAATCTCACTGCTCTAGGTACACAGCCCAACCCCACACCCTTCACTGACACTTACCTGCAAGTCTGCATTCCCAAACAATGGGTGCTGCACAGAAGCGTAAAACTAACAATACAGTGTGGTGCTTTTTCCTTTTAGAATGCACATTCCTTAAACCTTCTGAGAAGCAGGTTTAGCATAAATTGTTCAAAACTGTAAAAAATAAATAAAAAAAATGCTGTAAATAAAACTCAACTCATCTATTTGACACGCAAGGCACAGACTGTGGCAAATTCCACCTAAAACACCAGTTGTAACATGCTGTTGCCTTTTTAGGTTTTACCTCGTCTCTTTTGAAAAAAAAAAGACAAAGATAACTTTTAATAACACGTCCATATATCGGCATATCTTTGCCTAGAAGAATGAACTGCTTACATCATTTTAGATTTGTTTAAAATAAAAATATTCTTATATCTTGCTTTGTATGCTGAGCACGAAATCATTGACATTTATAAGACTTACATAATTATTTATTGTTTGAAACATAATTTTCATTTTGAAATAAGAACATAAAAAACAATAGCATTTTGAATTTAATATTAAAAAGGATCTATGCTGAGTACCTGATTTAGAAGTGGAAATATACTATATGTTAAACAATAATGATATGGTGAGAAAATCTGGATTGACTCCCACTGTGAAAATAAAAAATGCAACGTAAACGTTTCAGAATGATGGGAGAAATGTCTTTCTGAGCAGTCTACACAGTAGCTAAATCAGTGTCCACGAGGGGGCGCTAGTCGCCCCTTCAGAAGCAGATGGGTCAGAGTAGCGTCAGCTCACTCGTTTGGGATATCTATCACTAACTCTGCCTCGTCTCCCTCCCCGCGGTCGTCATCAGCTCCACTGTCCACATCGCTGTCCTCCTCTTCGGCAACATCTCCACTTAACATCTGTCGAGGGACCCAGCTGAAAGGGCCCCCAGCTGCAGGGGAGGAGGTGGGGGCTGCGGAGTAATTGGGAGCAACAACCTGTCCAAGAGAGAAATACAATTGTAAAACTGTATCTACAGTTGAGACTTTGAGTTTACATACAGTCTGAAATTAGAGTTTAGACTCTGTAGAAAGTTAATATATATATATCCTAAAACAGATGTTTAGGATTTTAAATGTAATTGTCTTTTTATACAAGTACATTTCAGACTTATATTGCAACAATAAAGTAGGAAAAAAAATAGTTTTAAAATAATTTCTGAAATTGCTAGTAAAGGTTATCAAAGAAAGAAAATGCATAAATGAAGGTATTTTAACGGTATACGCGCATGTTTAAGCAATCAATGGTATTTCAGTCTGGGTTAGGGTTATCGGTTAGTTTTGATAATAAAAAACAAAATTCCAAAGTGTATTTTCAAAACAACAAAAAACTAACAAGCATTCTAAAAAGATAATAGTAATAATCAGAGAAAATCAAGAAAAAGAAAAATTGTATTATTTCAGAGCTACATAGGACTTCCGTTTTCCAGCGCATTCAAAAGTTTTTGTCTCCGGGTCTGAAGTGTTAAGAAATGTCCTGAAAATTATTATTTTGCAACATCTTTATTATTATTTTATTTTTTTAAGGAAAAAAAGGTTTCCTTGGTTTACACTAAACAAGCATAACAAGATCAAGGATTTACATACATGAGATGTTGTTTGACCTAAATGATGATATTTTGATCACCTTTACAAAAGTGATTGTAAATGTAGTTGCTGACCCTCTTCTGCTCTCACCTTTCCAGTTGTTTCCTTCTTGTTTTTGGGCATTTTTGTTTTTCTCTCTTTCTTCACTCGGTCAGACGTTGGAGCCAAATACTCTGGTGGAAATGGCATCTACCAACCAGTGATGATGACACGCACACAAACATATGCATAAAAGAAAACCATACAAATGTGAAGTGATCAATGTATGAAACCTTAAAATAGCAAATAAAAAGTGATCTGAATGATTAGATGATGGTGCTATGGCCTTTTTAAGCTCAGGAACTGTTTAGTAAAGATGGACTTACAGAGTTGAGGTAGGAGCCAGAGCCGGACGACTGTAGAGGGTTCATACCGGAGCGTGACAGCAAGGACAAGTGAGAGGACGACGAAGGAAGACACGCACCAGGGCTACTCCTGCGTCTATAGAAATTAATATAATTTAAAATATATATAATTAAATGTAAAATATATATTATCATAAAATAATACATTTGTCTTTTAAAGAGTTACAAAGAAACAGATGGAAGGAAAACAATAAAAGGAAACCATATTTATTTGATTATAATTTCAGTGTAAAAATGAATAAAACCCAGCCCCCAGTCAGTATATGGTTCAAGCATTTTCTAAATCAAATTTGATGTGCTCAAACTATCTGTACTCACTCAAGTTATTCAGCTTCTTCTACTAACTACATATTATAGAAGAAGCCATCTCAGTGGTACCAGTACGGACCAAGACTGCATTGCAATATATTACAATGTGGGATTTCTAGTCAAAATACTTTGGACTAAACACTAAATTGAATCAGGCATGAAAGAAGAGAACAAGTTGTATACAAAAAATGGGTAATGAGAAGTTCAGCTGTTAATATTGACCATATAATTAAGACTACTAGACATGTTAAAAGAAAATGACACGTTATAAAAGTAAATACACTAAATGTTATTGCAATGCTTCAGAAATTACTAATAGGACATTTAAACCAATCAAACCTTAATCTTTCCTAAATGATGATACATGGGAACCAACATAAATATTCCTCTTTTTTTTCAGCTTACTTTTTTACTAATTCTCTTTCCCTTATTGGTGCTTCTCCTTCACTGTTATCAGAGGAAACCGTGGCCTCTGAATCTATAAAAGAATACAATGTCAAACGGCACATCAGTAAAACAGTACATCCCCGGCAGTGTTGAGCAGAGTGTATTCATGCACAAAAGGTTGAAAACCTGTATTAAAATGTATTCCGTTACATGGTCCAATCCATAGACTGTAAATATTAACGGACGTAGTGACGCCTATTTCCTCAGTTGATATCTATGTGCCACAGACATGGGCAGATTTAAACACATGTGTTAGCCGGCACAAGCCCCATTCATTTAATGAGTGCATTCAAAAGTCCACAGCGGCTAAACTAGGCATCTGGAACGTACCGTTGAGCCAAGAGCCGACTTTTGGACCAGGCTGTAAAGCCGTTTTCAAAGAAGTTGTCATTAGAATGCACAGGATAATTCTTTTTCTGGGTACGCCACCACCGGCAAAGAGTGAGATTGCAAGCATGTCAGCGCATGTGCTCATGGACCCTTTTGAGCCGGGACCCGCCCCCCTTGGTCCAATCAGTGTATTCTGAATACTAATACTCAAAAAAAAAACAAATTGCAGGGATGGGTTAAAATAACGTTATTAATGCAACACATAAAAAGGTAAAACTCACCCACATGCATCTTTAAAGGACTTATATATATATTTGAAGCCTAAATTACATGATCGGGTACAATAATGAATTTTATATAATACAATATAATATATGAAATTATATAAATTTATATTTATATTCATGTATATTTGTATGTACAAAAAAACAGAATAGTCTAAAAACATATTCTTAGTGCATTTATTCTGTTCCCCAACACTGAATACTGATCCGGCAAACATTGTTATAGAATATAAAAGTATTTACCTGAGGAATCTTCATCTACCCGTTCATATTGTAATAGTCTGTCCAATAAAAAACTGTACAAAATACATGTATGGTAAATATATAAATTGGTGAAATCAAATTGCATGTATTGTTAATGATCACCTTTTGTCTCTAGAAACCTTTAGTAGTTTTCTCTGTGCTCTCCTTAACTCCTCTTGAAAGCATTCTTGTTCCTGTAATAACAAAAAACAACAATGATTTTCTTGAACTGTCTTGTTAACAGCTTGGTTAGCACAATACACATTGGTCTGACTCTGAAATAGTAGGTGTAGCGTCACTTACATAGACAAGAAACTTTAATTTCCGTTTAAGAGTTTTATATTTTCGCTTGTAATCGACCTCAATGTCAGCCTGTCCATTCATTTCTGTAAAATAAATAAACACACATGCTGCATGACAAGGCTAACGTTAGCTTGACCAGCGTGTGATAACGTTGCCGGTAAAATGAAGACTGGAATCCAATGCCAACAGGAAACAAAAGCTATTATACAGACTGGAATACGTCCACAGGTACAATATATTTGTAAAACAGGGTTTAAGCAGCGTTAACAAACCTCTTGTTTCAGTCGGTCTGTGCGACATGATTCTTGTTTACATGCATGACGTAGATATTGTGCGACGTGGTGTGGGAGGGGTTGCCCACTTTTTTGTTTCATTACTTTCTTATGATCTACGTCAGCCATTCCTAAACTCAGTAACACCGAGGCCCCCTTAAAAATCTGACGGGTCTGCGTGGCCCCCCAAAATAATAACCAAGAAGACAACATTAAGAATAGGCTCTTCTGGTTATTTTATTTTGGGGAAATAGCCTCTGCTACAAACATTGTAATACAAAAATGATTACAGTGGATTATTCAGGTCAAATAATGAATACAAATATTTTAATATTACAAGCAAAACATTATAAATTTAGCATTAAATAATTATATTATTTTTTTATTTTTTTTATGACCTCCCGCGGCCCCCCTGCAGTACCCTCGCGGCCCACCAGGGGGCCGCGGACCCCACTTTGGGAGACACTGATCTACGTAATTTAGTGTGTACTATTGGTTTATTTGATTTCCATGTATAATCATCCATTAGAGCTTTTATATTAGAGAAGCACTTACATTAAATTCATACCCAATCTGTAGTTTTGATTAGATTCATTAGCTAAAGTAGGGTTAGCAACTAAGGTCACTAAATATTGTGTATAATGTGTTTAGAGCAGTATGAACAAGAACAGATTGTTGTACCAGCCATTGTTGGGGGGTTTCTCCACAGTGAAAATGAATACCACACCTTATTATCATACCATACAAATATATTTAAGATGCTTTCAGCCACTGTATCATGACAATATATCTTTGTATCTTTTCATACAGCCCTTTCAGAGCTAGTCAGCTTCTCGGCTCAGCACAGATTCATGCCAAGATGAGAATCCAGGCTATGAATTATAGATGAAGAGGACCAGTGCAGAAAAGAGTAATGCTTTTGTGGAAAAGATGAACTACGTGTCTCTAAATACAGAGATAGGGATCTTGTGATATTGAAATAGAGACACTGCACAATCAGTTTTATAAGAGAAAAGGAGGAGGCTGCATCCGTGTAATTCAGACTCCAGGGATACGAGAGAGGAGCAGAAATGCTGACCACACATTTGAAAATAGTGCTTAATCGTGACATACAGTATCCTCAGCAGAACACAGAAAGTGTCCTTCAGTATAAAGAAAATCACAGCAAGATTACCAATTCTGCATCAGACTTTAGATCTCCAGCAAAGAGATGTCTTGTTTGTTGGCAAAATATTGTGTGACAACAACTGTCGTAAGTTTGGGAAAAAGTAAAAATAGTTGGTTTAATTAGACTTGACAAGCAAAAAATAATATTTAACCAATAATATAATTATACTTGGTCAGTTATTTTTTTGAAATTACGGTAGACCTTTTACTAGATTGTATTACATTTGGGTTTTTCATAATGTTTATGAACAACCCCAACAATGGCAGAAATATATAGAAATAGATTTTCCCTCTGGGATAGTTTGTTGTATTTTCTTACTGGATCTCTATATTCTCAAATTGGTCTAGGAGAACCCGCATTACAACGCACCATCTCCTGTTGATTTTGTCCTTGTTTTAATGTTCTTAGCCCCTTAATAATGTGTTTGATGGCAGTTCCCTCTTTGAGTAATGACAGCGTGATCCACTTTATTGGCATTTATTTGCTCAACAGCAGACATTGATTGCCTAAAGACTTGACTTGGTGTTCTTGTGAGAATGCAAAAATCAATTTCTCATTAAGATGTTGAGTGACTGATACTTGCTCAGCAAATTAGAATGGACAGTCAAATGCAATCCCGTTTCCCCTCCATAAATGTATTATACATTTACGTGACATGACAACATTTTGAGCATCTCAAAATTATGATAGTGACACATAAAGGCAATGTGGGTGAAGTGTTTGGCTTATGGGAACAACAACTCTTTGCAGAATTCATATACACACTTCTGTTGATTTAGGAATCTCAAATCAAACAACGACACTACAAAGTCAATGTCATAAATGTTGTTTATTCCTACAGCTGTTTTACTATAGATATGAAATGAAGAAAAACATTTCTTTACAAAACATTTGCATTTAGAGTACGGTCTACAGACGTAAACAGAAGGCAGACAGAACGCACTGTGCAAAAAAGTGCCACTGTTACATTAGTGCTTCATTCAGTGAAACTCCAGCTGTGAGTGAGGGATCCATCTGCACCACATCCTTTCTCTGGAGCTGCTCAGACAAGACCCAAGGGCTCCCTTCGGTTTATACATCAGCCGCACAATCACCATCCATTTCAAATACTTTCATTTGTGGCACTTTGGGGCGGGCAATATTGTCAATTCATATTGATATCTATAGTTAGTATTCCAATAACAATATTCAGACAATTCAGCTTTGGTTGAGGTTTTGCATTCAACGCAACAAAAAGGCAGGGATTTGAACTCTTTTTATGTTTATGCATGATTTTGTTTATTTGTTTGCAGTCTTTCAAATGTTCACTCCAATAATATTGAAATTAAGCTATTATCTGCAAAATAATATTTTCTATATTTTGTCCTTTAATAATGTTCAAAATACAAAGCAAATAATGTGGGTTTCATAATCATCTTATTATAATGACAAACCATTTTAAACATTCATTGTTTGAGTGCAACAATATTTATATGACTGACATCAGATTAATCTATTTAAAAAGGGTACATGTTTCTTTAGGTTAATTATCTTTCAGTAGAGGCAGTATTATTATATCACTATCAACTTCAAATTGTATTGTGAGTTGTGACAGGCCTCAGTTGTTTTATATCTGTGTCTATTACTATTGATAGATGACAAATCTTTAATTCGAGTCGTTCAAATAAGTTCAGATTTAATTTGAAAAACATGTAGTAATTTGAATTCCACAAGTTCTCTAACCACTGAGCAATTACAGTATAACTTACCAAAAGAATACAACTTTGATTCCCCCTGCCAGTGCAACGTACCAGAACTTGCATAATCGTTTCTTCCACTTTTCAGCAAGGAGTGCAAACTGCAGCCTACCTGGTCAAAAAGGTGCCAATAGTGTCCATTACAGTGACAGACATAGAGCTTTCTAACATTTGAGGCACTAAAAGAAATAACATGAACTGGTCAAAATCCTCACAATAACAACTGACAGCGTGGGGTTCTTAGCGCAGTCACACATAGCACTTCACACGGCGGTAAGCAGGCACATATTGTACAGCTCTGCACAAGCGGATCACAGGAGCATAGTCGACTAAACGCACGCACGGATTTCGCACTCACTTTGAAACACACAGGCCAAGTATAGTTACAGCAATGACGATACAGCACCACTCCTCTGCCAAGACGAGAAACGCAGGACGCATGCTGTGAAGGCATCTAACATGTAGAAACAGACAGAAGTGGCCTATAGAGGAGGGCAATACTGGTAAATTGCAGTTTCAATAGTTTCCTGGGACGAATTCATACTTTTGTAGATAAAAGTGTTGAAATTATTCCTAATAATTGCTCAAATTTTCTTCTGATTCTTGTTTGAATGTAAAATATACTAATTTTGGTAGTAATTTTGCATCTGATTTATTGCCCACCTCTATACAAATGTAATGAGTACAATTTTGTAGGCAAATTAAAACATGAGCTTGTTGCTTTTATCACATTTGGCTTTGTAATTATGTGCAATGTGTGAGAAGCTATTATTGTTGTATGTAGACATAGGCGAAATATTGTAGTAGATTTGTTGAATTATAAATATTCTATATACAACCATCAGCCATTCAGTCATAAAGGGTTAGACTGGCAAACACATGCACTATTTACATGACTACCATTTGTGTTACACTGTGGGCTTTACGCCTCCATTTGGGTCAATTTACTTAGGTCTGTTTTGACATCTTCTGGTGACAGTAGAGTAAGAATGAGAATAATTATCAATCCAGGTGCTAAACTGTGCATGTAAAATAAAATATCATGTGCAATTTGAGTGGTTTAGGTTTTTCTGTATGTGCATCAGAAATCAGTTTTCTCCAATGTTCATGGGTGCTGATCATTTTTGCACACACACAAACCCCTTGATAAATATATCCTTCTGTCCAAAATGTAGTGTGAAGATAAAATTTGTTTAATTTGCAAATAAGCATTTCCAAAAAGTGTTTTTTTTATTGTTTGGACCATTTGGTCTCACTGTTGCGAATTTCTTGAGCATTTACAAGCTGCAGGCCTTTTACACACATGTGGACGCATGGCGGCACATAGACACATCTCATGGCTTGGTTTATCCATTACCAATATACATCAGATAATAGTGGTCATGTGAAACATTAGGTAGAAAAATGCCTTCGCTTTTGGTGTCTGTAGACATCTTCCACATGTTATCAGCCACATTTTAATGTGGTTCGGTAAAGTGTTGTTAGTTTTCATTTCTATAAACTAGAGGGTGATAATACGTTTATAACGAGCACCATAATGAGCAGTTTGCATCATCAGAGGAATTGTAGGCCTATATGGCATGTGACTTCTAGATGAAATTTTTTCATGATCTTTTAGTCCACAAACTACAATACTAATTAGTAAGTTATGGTCCATAAGTAATTTCAGTCAAAAATTGTTTGCAAAACTGTGTAAACTACTAGCAATGTTATTATAGTAGAAAACATTAATTCGAAACGGTTTAGTCGTAAACTCTGCAAAATAGGAGCTTGCAGTTTGGCAGTTAATCCTTAAAGTTAACACAAGTGATTTAGTTGTGGTAATAACTATTTGTTAATTCAAAAGTCCTCAATGTCATGTGCTCAAATAACATAAAAATGACTCCTAAATACTACAAGTAATACAATGCAACAGCTAGAAGTGGTAGTCCTCACCCCAGAAGTAGTACTTATATCCTCTTTTCTGGGGGTCGATTTTCTACAGTGAAGTTATGAAGTGTTTTCCTGTCGCAGTTCTCAGATGCTAGTGGTGGTTGCGGACTCCGCAGGTACAGGGGCATCTTTGCTTGAATCCGCTTTCACATCTACTGCATCTCCACTGGACTTAATCTCAATTTCGGGGGTCTTGGGGGCTTTCGAGATCAGCGCGGCATGATCTGGACTCGCCTTGTGGCCATCTATCTCTGCCGTTCCGTTGGTGATTGGCTCAGGGGTGGTCGGTTTGGATTTTTCAGGAATGGGAGCCAGAGTGGTCTTGGATTCGGGAGTGGGAGAGGGGGATTTTGCAGCAGGACTAGATTTGGGCGCCATTGGACTCAGACTGGCCTTGGGCTCAGGGCTCGGAGCGGGGCTTAGCTTGACTTCGGTGGATATCGGTGGTTCGAGTTTGACTTCCATGGGAGGTGCAGGTGCTCGTTTTGGCTGCGGGCTGGCTTTAGTTTCAGCTACGGGGGCAGGGGGCTTGATTTCAGCCGCCGGGGGAGCACTGGGAGCCTTAGCAGCAGCAGCAGATGAAGGAGATGGTTTGGGCTCAGCCGGTGCAGTGATGCTGGCCGCCTCGGAATCAGGGAGCTGGTCGGCTGCGTCAGTGTCAGTGTCCAGGGGCAGAGCGGTGTTGAAACCCACTCCGGAGTCACTTGTCTCCAGGTTTCCCCCGCCCACCTCTTTGGACGATACCTCCAGACCCTAATGTCAAAAAATTGTATGAATAAATGCGATGCAATCTAACTAAACGATACATTCTCTTATGCCAAATTGTAAAGGGCCTTGTGTGACCTTGCGTTATATATAAAAAAGTACAATATAAACATCTGTAAATACTCCTGAACCAAGTGCAATTATAGCTCCAGAGTTTATTTTGTTTTATTTTATTCCATTTTACCATTGTATTATCTTATTCTCATGTCTATGATCTTAAATAATAGACTCTATTTGATGTGTGCAATCTGAGGGCTCTTATTTCCTTCTTTCTCTGCTGCAATGTGCGCAACGATGACACTGAAACAAAGGAATATCTTATCTTATCTTGATACTGATTACTGATGCAAACCACCAAATAGGGTTTAGCTAGAAACTGCACAAATCATATGTATTAAGTAGTTCACATAAAGCAATGTGCATAAACATTAAAATTTCTCCACCTCCAGAAACATTTCTAAAGAATTCAAAACAATGAGCTCTAAAAGCAAGAGAACAAATCATAAATTACTTACTTTAATGTCCACTTCGGTGCTTTGTGATTTTTCTGTGGTGTCGGCCTGAGAATGTTTGGACTCCTCGCTGAGTTTAGTGATGTTTTTAACAACCTGAAGCAATACAGAAAAAACATGAACTAGATCTAGAACCAACTCACCGTGAGACTATTACTATTATTTGTAACTATTTTTTCTGTTTAAGGTTATATGAGTGTGTTTTTTGTATTCTGACCTGTCTGAAGGCCTCTCCCTCGTCTTCTTTGGCCAGTTTTTCCAGAGCTGCGTTCCTCTTGGCCCTTTTACGCACTTTGAACAGACAGGAAACCAGGCAAGCCAGCAGCAGGAAGACTACAAACCCAAGCAGCGCGATGATGGCCACATACAGCTTCTCCAGTTTGAAGGCTGTGGGGTTAATGACCAGAGCGAAGGAGAGGGGGTCGATGAGAGATCAGTGAAAACAGAGCAAGAGCTGAGAATCTAAGAGGTACAAGGCACAGACTATATTTTGAACCTTTCTGACTTTGGCACAATCTGAGTGATTCTAAATGTGACATGCACATTTATCCAGTGTGAGATCAATAAAGTCTATCTTATCGTATCTTATCGTACAATCCAAAACTCAACAAATGGGAAATAATTTAAACAGATTTAACTTCAACTCAATTGTAAAAATAGATTAATACACGTTATACCATAGCATGTTTTCGGATGTTTAAACTTCTTTCCTTCCTGCTGCTGTCAGACTGTACAACAAACAATGAGGACTAACAAACACTGCTGACGTGACCTCACATGTCATACATCGGTGCAATATCTTGAACTAAAGTCAGAATGTGCAATATAGAACCACATGTGTTACTGTCACTTTGTCCCGTATCCTCATGCTGCTAACATGTATGGATATATATACTGTACACAACTACAGTATATATTGCTTGCACTATAATATACAACATTTTAGACTTGCTCCTTATTATACTGAGTCAAGGGTTTTTGTACTTATGTCTTGCTTTTTCATCATGCTAAAGATAGAGATTTTAGACTTCTTCCCAGATAGATATTACATTTTTAGTTATCATTAATTTATCTGTGTGCTCCCCATTCCTACTGTCTGTAGCTAATGATGCAACACTTAAATTTCCCCACTGTGGGACAAAAAAAGGATCTCTTAATCTTAATCTTGGTTCCAGAAGTTTATGTTTCAGCCCATGAATGAATTAGCATGAGAGTCAACATATCTCCATGCTGAAACGGATGACGACTGTTAAAACTTGTGTGTTTCAACCTCTTCAGATCCTCAAAAAGCGTACTTCAGGGATGTTATTGTGCAGTCTTCTTACGTTTCAACTCAAGGTGGACAATAGTCACAGGGAACCCCAGAATGTCGATGACTTTGTACTCTCCAGCGTCTGCACCCTTGATCTGGTCCAAGTAAAACACGTTTCCATCCAACGAGAGGCGACTCTCAAAGCCCAGCTCAGTTTGGGCCTAAAAGACATCCAACATTCAATGTACACTGTAACAAATTTCTGCAAAATTAGAATGAAATTTCAACATTAAACAAATGTTATTTTGAAAAACAATTCAAACATGCAAATTTAAGTATAAATTGGTTAAAAAACATCCAGTGGCGTTTTATTACCACAATTATAATGTGATTGCAAAAAAACGTTACAATACTTGCTATTATGCACAAAATCCCAAATTAAAGTGATCTGAAATAATTTATAAATACATATTTGTAGTGTTGGACAGTAATGGCAGGTAAACGACTTCAGAATCACACTCATTGATAAACCAAATAATCCTGACCTTCCAAATCCATGAAGTCTATAAATGTGCCGTTGATAACATATGAGTATATTGTCTTACGTCAGTGAAGCCTCCCTTGTCCAGCAGCAGGTGGGGGGTGCGAGGGGCAGGGTCCGAGCTGCGGGTGTAGAACAGCTGCACCAGAGAACTGTTTAGGATCAGATTTATCTTCATCCTCTTTCCCTGAGGCAGCTCCAGGAAGTGAAGGTGCTCTGAACATACAAGCAAAACATACATCGCACCATTTAAAAAGCAAAAGCCCATTTACACAAACAGCTGCTCTTTCAAACCCATTACGGCCGTCAGGATGAGTCTCATAATTAAGACCACGGCAAGTCCTAATGGAGGGCAGGTCAAACGTTAAAGGCCCATTTATTTACAGATGCAAAATATGACTTTAAAATATTAGTCAAATGAATCTTTGTATAGTGTTGGGACATGGTAAACATTTCAAGTAAAATAATCCAACATACCTTTTGTTCATTTTGTCATTTTCTTTGAATACAATTTTCTTTCTTTTTTTTTTTGAAGTGAGTTAGGGTTATTTGTATTTTCAAATCAGTAGAACAAAAAATACAATGTTAAAAAAATAAAAAATTAAAAAGACATTAACAGTTTGTATTTCCTGCCCATTCCCCAAAACACTGAGGTTATTGCTGTTGAAATGCAATGTCTCATGGATTTTCTACATCTTGTGCAAGTTGCATTAAATGTAATAGGGTTAGGTATGATACAAGATTCCTACAGGTCAGGGTTACGGTTAAGTCAAATTATTTTTTAAAACCTTTTAAGACCATTTCTAAAATAATGCATGTGTTAATGTGTCTGTGTTGTAGAGCTGTAGCAAAGTGACATGTTCTGACCTGGGGCAGTGTTGCACCACTCCCTTCACTCTTAATGTAGACTATGTTATCTAATCACTAATAATAGTGCTTGACAAATGATGGAGGCTTTTGAGGAGGCTGCGATATGGAGAAGTGATATACTGCTCAAATTTTATAACCTAGATAAAACAAGGTTTTGAAGACTCTTTATTTCAGAATTTATAAATGCAATTATTTTTGTCATGAAATTGTTCTGATTGTTGAATAATGATTAAAAAAAAAAATAATACTAACAAATAGGTCTTTGAGAGTTTTTGGCAGGACTGACAAATCACCTTGCAACTACTTTTCCATCAATCAAAATGCTTTCCTTTGTCCCCAACAGCTGCTGTAGCTTAGGTCCTGGATCATTAGCCTGTCCATCCGTGTGGAGCGGATCCCTCTCTCAATATGTGGGTCTCCCCGAGGTTTCTCACTTTTTTCCCACTGGGTTTTTCTAATGAGTTCTTCCTTGCCGATGCAGGAGGGTCTGTTGGGTAGTTAGTGTCCAACTAGAAGGACTGTGGTGATGATCCAGGACACTGTCTTAACTGTTGATTCTCTGATCTGCGTTGGTGATTTCAATGGTTTTGTTAAGTCCTCTGAGATGACGACTGATGCGATTTAGCACTATACAAGAGTAAATTGTATTGTATTGTGTAACAGTCATTTGGAAGCAAATTGAATTTCAGTGAATATAAATTAGTGAAATTATGTTGCATAGTGCGCTGTCCTCTCACCTCGAACATTGAGACACATTTTGGTCTTGATTTCTCCTTTGTCTCCACTGATGGTGTAGCTGCCCTCGTCGGCCCCTGTCACAGCCCGGAGCGTGAGCAACTTTTCCCCAACAACAATGCGGTCGTGGTATGCATCGCTGAGGGTCCCTGAGGCGGCCAGTAGCACCAGGGCCGGTCTAAGAGGAGGAGAAATTCATTTAGCTTAATTTTTTTTGGGCGCTTTGGTTTAGAAAATGATTAAAAAGTGTTTGTATGTGACCTGTATTCTATAATGTATTTGTAAGTATTGAATTTAAGTTTAAAGTGGGAAAAGATGATGCTATCTGATTTGCTGCAGTGCAGTTGTGACTCACTTGGAGGTCTGGTTGGCTTCCACAGAGATGGGCCTGTACTCCAGAGTGATGGTGGGAGCCGGAGGAGGAGGCGGAAGGTCCAGAGCAATATGGTAATTATCTCCATACTTAACAGTCTGCTCGTTTGAACAATCTGTGAGAACAACAGGAAGGAAACAGGATTAATGGCCGTGAAAAGACGTCTGCTCCTGGCAAAACCACAGAATAGGCATTGCAGAATGTTGATGATTGTAGTAGTAGTAGTTTATTTCAGTCAATCAAATTATCAGTTACAAGATACAAGAATTTATTTGCTATTTGCAGTAAAACCACATTGGAAAAACTGTGCAAGACTACCCCAGTGTGCACCAGACAGAGAAGACGGCACGGCACACACCAGAGCTCTTTCCAGAATGCATTTCAACAGAAGAAGCTGAAGTGAAACATTTATTTAAAGCCAAACCCTCTTTAAAAAGAGAGAAACCAGAGAGAAAGCAGACAGAGACAAGAGACCAGAGAGAGACCAGAGAGCCTTAGTTTGGACATACCTGGTCTAAAGGCTCTATATATGACACTATATGACACCATAACCACCAATTATTGTGTGAATCACTCCATTCAAAGTACGTTCTTTACAACTGTGTGCCTTTAAATACATCACGACATGTCGGATGTTGCAGAATGTAGTTTCCCAGGTCTACCACTAGATGACAGTGTTGGTAAATTCCAGTCATCACTTATGGCAATATTTATATATAACCATATTTTTCAGTTTTCTCCTAAACAAATGTATTACACAATTTACTATCATTTCATATGCTCTAAAACAAGACATGACAAAATAAATTAAATATTCTCACGTTAATGTTCAAGAACCCAAATAATGCATGATTAAATATAATACAAATAATTGATTTTAACACACAAAAATTGTGTTAATTGTGTTTTGTTAACACAAAAAAACAGTACATATTTGAAGGAGATTTCAGTGTAGATAGCAAGGGCGCAATACACTCTACTATTATAAGATTATAACAAATGTCATTTTCAGCTCCATTTCGCTTCAATTGCCTTTATCACAAAAATGCTCCCCACAAATCAAAACAAACAGCAGCTTGTTAGGGCGTGTGTTTATCCTACGTTATAAGATCTGGATGCGGCAGCAGCATATGGCACCGCTGCAGTCACCTTAATCGGAGCAGGTTTCTCGCATAGCTCAGCAGCTCTGCACCATCAGCTCTGTGTAATGTGAATCTGTGTCTAATCAAAATGCTTCAGACACACTGCTGAGAGTCACTTTTGCACGATTAACAACACCAAGGACTTTGCGGGTAGGTTACCTGTGATTACAGCGGCACCAGTTGTTGAGCGTCCTATATAAAAACGTTGTACAGGATCTATCTATTTTACAGTCATTGATTATGGAAATTATGAACTGAGCTTGAAATATGACAAGAATTAGAACGAAAAACTATCTTACTTGAACATTTTTAGACCTTGATCAGCAGAGTTAGATACCACAATTTCAGCAAATCCATTATTATTCATGCAGGTATCAATGTAAGTAACAATAAGCTGAAGGTGCTCTTGTCATGTTGAATTGAATTTGTGCATAAAATGATTTGGGTGAATTTGGTGAAAATGCTCCACCAGCATTATCTTCTATCTATCTTGAGTTGAGCAGGGAAAAGCCTTTCTTTGGGAACACCAGATTTCACAGTTGGCTTCGCCTCTGTCTGTCTAGCCCAGGGCAGCTGTGGCTACAGTAGTACCACCATTATGTATGGAGTAAATGAATAATGCCATGTCTCTATATACAAATATATAAACAAATACCCACGTTAACATGCTTAAAATTCCCCCATAATGTAAAAAGTGAATGCATAAAATGACATAAATTGCTCACTACATATCTTGGCATAAAAATAAAACATAAAAACACTAAATTTGGTGTGTTTTACAGGGTTAATTCAAAGGAGGAAATAAATGAAATATATGGCAATTGGCTGAATAGGTCCCCTCTTGTTGTGACTCTAAACAAAGCTTAGTTAGCTTCTCCAGCCTGGTATGTATTGAAAATGAAAGCCTACAATGACTTTTCCTGACCTCTCACTATGAGCGAGATGGTCCGTGCGTCCTGTGGGTTCTCTGGGTCTTTCACCGTGTACAAGCCCTCGTCGGCCTCCTTCACTGACTCGATGATGAGGTGGCTCAGGCGGCTGTTGAGCTGTGCCCTCTCGCTCACAGATTTACCCCCGCGCATCAGAGGCTCTTCCACGGTCTGAGAGCTGCGGGTCGTCCTGTTTCGAAAAGTCACCTCCACATTCAGGGAGCGCAGCAAAATGTGGAAGTCCTCTCCATAGAACAGGATTACAGTTTCATCAGAGGCTACAGGACCCCAAGGAAAAGAGGATCAGAGAATATGATAAATATATCATTAGTAACAGTATAATCACTTTGGAAAGAAGATGTATTGTGTTTGTGCTCTGTATTTGCACAGTATATCTGTGACAACCCTATTTCAACAGCAAAGTGTTCTTAAAAAAGAAACACATCCACCACCCACCATGGAAAACTGGCTTTGAGTTTGTAAGTGAAAAAGAAAAACTATTATTTCTAAAGAAAATATCATATTTAATTACGGATACAAACATGGATTTCTCTTGTGGTGGAATCAGTAAAATTATTAGCTTTATCTCTAATTATCATGAAACATCAAATATAAATACTCACATTGTAAGGGAACAGACAAGGCTGTGCACAAAAACAAATAGCATATCTTTATGTTATTGTGAAATCTGACATAATTAATACTGAGGTAAAAAGGAGGATTTGACTTCACCTGTTGAAAGGAGAATGCTGAGCACAATCCCACTGGCAGCCCTCATCCTGGTGAGGATTCTGGAATAACATCAGAAGAAAACAATTTAATACATAATTTAAAAAATGGTGCTGCTGTGTGTGCTTGTCTTCCAAATGCTCAAAATTATGAGCAAGAGTAGAAGTAAAAACAGCATAATTTATAGAAAGAATGCAAGATAGAGTTACAGTAGTACAATCCGCTACAACAAGCAGGTGCCAACCCCCACCAGACCATTTAATTTCATCTTCAAAGACGACAAAGAAAACATATAAACTGGACTGAAATCATGTTTTCTCATACAAGAGTTTTTTCCATAGTGGAGTGTCATAACGTGATAAGTTACATGATTATACTTTCTCTTCATCTTTGGTGATGTTGTCTCTAAATCCTGCCCTGAAGGATGATTTCATAGTGGTGTGTGAATTGATTTACATGTTTGCATCGGCTTCACAGCAGATGTCTTTTGATGACAAAAATGCCTCTAATTTTTTCCAAGAGGTTTTGGCACACACTTGTTTGTTTATGACACTGCACCCTGCATTAGATTTAGAATGTAAACCAAATGTTTGCATAATTTGACGTGGGAGAAAATACATGAACCACTTTTAAAGTATTAATAAGCCTTAAGTTTAAATATACATGTTACAGTTTACACATGTAAAAAGACATTTTGTTTTATTAGTTGGTGTGTTTTATGTTTTATCATCAATTATGGCTCAATGTCATAATGTTAAGAGGGGTAATTTGTCTGTGGGCAGGATTGCACAGACCTTAACCGTTTTATGAGTTTCAACCCAGAACCACAGAGACACATGTTCCTGTAATGTAGGCCACGTCTCAATGTATTGTGGTAAATCGCAGACACAGTATAAAGTCAGATCATTCACACACTTGTCCTTGGTGGAGATTGGGTTGGTTAGGTGCTTTGGTCCTGGTAATAACCTAGTCCTGGTTTACTTGTGGCTGTAGTCCCAGTTTAAGGACAGGAGATTGTTGAGTGATTGGCTGTGGTCTGCAGGGCACAGAGAGGCAAGTGTGTCCAGACATCACAGAGCTCACATCAGAGCCAGCCACTGAAGCAGGCTCTAAAGCCCAGAGGAGCCACTCACACCTGCAGCAAACACAGACACTGCTGCATCAGTGACGGCAAGTCAAGGTCACCGTGTCACAGTGTGCACAGCCAAATCCACTGGTGAAGAGAACACAAACAAACCAAAATCATCATCACCAGCAGTATTGAAAACATAAGGAACACAAGGAATTATACACTATCAACCACTACTTTTTTCAAGCTCTTGGACCCTGCGGACTATGGCAACACAGCATATAAATCTTGTTACTCTTCTCATACTCACACTTGTTCTTGAGTGTGAGTATAAGTAGAGTATTTTTAAAATAGATTGGATTCACTAGAGTGCTTTTATCATCCCAAGTCAAGTCACCTCTTCTTGCTTTGTTTTTCTCAATTATTTTGGTAAAGCTAACAGCAAAAAACAGCAAGAAATGCACTCTCAAAAACAGGCGGCCAAAATTCAATAATGACGAAATCTTAAGAAGCCTAAAACAATGCACAATCACTCTGTGTAAAGGGCATAATAGTTAGATATCAGCCACTATTTCTAAAAAAACAGATTGTATTGAAAAGTAAGCGTAAGTGAAGTTACGCTGTCTTTTATTTAATTTTGTTGATTCAGTTACACTATAGCACAATTCTTCTTCAAGGGAAGATCCCTTTGGCCACTCTAATGTTGCCACTCTGTACTTATGTTCCACTGCCCAGTTTCACAGAAATAACAGTTCTGTCGGCTGATAATGGAAAAGACAAGAGCAATACAGTCGTAATGGAAAACAAGCGATTACTGCACTATGAGCCAAAGTGTGCTCATAATTATACATGTTATTGTGCGATTTTAGATTGGCCACTATCTGCTACAGAAGCTAGTCCAGTTTGAGATTTTATTGTCAGGGATTTCAAAGCTACGATGCCACACTATTGTTGTTTTTCCCCTTTATTGTATTGTATGAGCACCATACAGAAAAGAAGCATGGTGTAGACTTTTTTGTAGCTTTTAATTAAATCCTCTTCTCTCATCAAAAGCTTATTTTCTGCACAACTTCTCTGCTTTCCCCTTGCTCTCTTTTACTCCACTTTTATGTATTGTTAGTGATAGACAAATGAAGGGGAGGCAAACAAGATGTCCATAAGATACTATTTCAGTCAAAAAATATATTATGTCATATTTTTCATGTTTGTGGGAATAAAGAATAGTATTGTTGGGGTACCATGTAACGGAAAATGTAATGCTTTTGTTAAGTCCTCCGAGATAGCTGTTGTGATTTTGGGCTATACAAGAAAAACATTGAAATTGAAATGTGGTTTGGAGGGCAAACGGGAGAGCATCTGTTTTACACAGAAATAACATGAATTACACTGGCGTCTTTACACTGCAGCTGCTAATGAGCTATAATTAAGAACGTATTAGACTCAGAGTGTCAGACATGAGACAGCAGGTACAAGCATAAAGCCGTATACAGAAACGGCAACACATCCACATCCAATGCTTTTCACCCAGGTTTTTCCACAACCCTGATATTATTATTACTATTATTTTAATTTCCATGCAAGGTCAGCCTGTTCAATACATCATTCTCTGTGAAAATATTACGAGAGCATTTATCCATAACATCGCAGCATCAAAGAGTCAGAGCTTAACATTTATGATTTGTAGTTGAGTTAAACGGGCCACATCCCTGAAAAAAGTGACCTGGCGATGATCTGTGGCTGCGGTTCATTTGCGGTTACAGAGTTCTGGCATTTACCCAGCATTTTTCCAGGAACTACGTGTAAATAGGGCTATAATGGTATCTGCAGCATCAGCCTGTTGACGTATTGATATACAGTAAATGATTAGGCTGCAATACTGCTTTGTGATTTCAGAGGTCAGACACTCCTGTTTTTCACGGATTAGAAAAGAAAGGAAGAATATTTACTTATACGGCACAGCAGTTTTGATTTATAAATAGGTTTTCTATTTTCTTGAACCTTTGCACCCATTTTCCTTAACACTGCACAATATTGAAAGTCGAGACCAAAATCTGTGAACACTACACACTTGACTCAATAGTGAACTTTCCTGATGATAGCTATTTGTGTTGAATATATGAATGTTGAGTTATCTTATAGAACACAGACTTATAAAGACATAAACGTTCCCTCATAACGTATTGATTTATTTGGGTGTTTCATGCTTGTTTGCACTTGAAAAAAGGAAGGCCAGCAGAGAGATAAGAAATATAGTGATTGAAGAGGTTTGGAGGAGCCACAATAGTCTATTTCTGCACTGGGAAATAGAGACCCAGGTGCTTTGTGACTCTGGTCTGTGAAAGGCACTATATAAGTAAAGATTACTTATTTACTTACACAATATTAACCATTTGTATTTGGTTGGATAAATAACTGAAATAACACAACCCTGCAGTAACGCGTAACTTCAATTACTTTAGTTTGATTTTAAAAAGCCAATCTCTCTCTGGCTTTGTGGAGCATGTTTACAGCGATTTCTCTGAAGTAACTTTCCACATCCAAGTTTTGACAAGTGGCAATCTATCAATGTTGGAGCACATTTAATATCATTAGGCATAGCATTCCATTTATAAGGAGTAGAATGAAAAAAAAAATGCTTCTGCCACAGTATTAAATGAGCAAAGTGAGACTACACACAGGTTCATGCATAGAAAAACAGTATATGAAGGTGTCGGACTGTGAATGTATTTCTGTTTCAAAGGCCAATGAAGGTCTTTAATATAGGTGTAATGGGACATATTAATCATGTTTGAGTCAGAATTTTGAAAACGCTTCAGTTGCTGGATTGATTTAAGAGGAAGAGACAATAGCGGCTAGACAAAACCACATTACAATAGTGTTATGACAAACTCCCAGCCAATGGTAATGCCAGCATATCACAGTACAACTACAAACTAAATGAATGACTTAATCACTTTGCAACAGCACAGGGTGGCTGTGAAAAAGGGATCCATGTCCATCTGTTGGTGACAGTCGTGGGCACAGAGCAGTGTCTGTGGCCAATCTGGACTCTGAGCAGGAGCCATCGAAAATCTGCTCTAATTCGCTCATGGCGTTCAGTATCCGAATCCGAACAAACTGAATAATTAACACACTGAATACAGTCCGATGGTGATACATATAGAACTATTGTAAAGGCCGTTTTATTTCCCATTAAGACAATGCTAATTCTAAGTTAATCATTTTGTTTTGGTAGGCACCAATGCTTTATTTTGTGTGTGTTTGGGTGGGGCCAGGTAAAGTGCTGTTCCTTTTAATGACAGTAGAGGGAACCTGTGAGTCTAATGTGGAAGCTGACCTGGTTAAGGCCCAACAGTTTTTTGACTGTGCTATTTTGTGGAAAACGGCATTGGATGTGGAATTGAAACTGTCTGCTTGGAACCATGGAGCTTGTGCTTCATTAAAACTGCATTTCTCTGTTATCCCGTAAGTCTGGACATTCCATTCGTTTATTTTTTCAAAAGCACAGGTTAAGCTAAAGCTATAGCCCAGGCTGCTCACCGTGGCAAGACACTCTCAACAATTGCCACAACAACTATGTTCCAAATATATTTAGAGAATGTACCCACCTTCACCACATTTTACCATAAAGTTGATGGGATGGAGGCACAGTCCCAAAATACGTGCTTTGTTCATATCTTTGGAGCAGTTGTTTAGTCGAAATAAACTATCTGTCCCAAAGTGATACTCCATGTCTTGAAGAAAACGCAGGGAGAACATGCAAACTCAACACAAAATGCAAACCACTCAGACAGCAGTTGAATCCATTCCTTTTGCTATCATAACATGTATCTTTATGCACTTTCACTCCTCCGCTAATAATCTTCTGAATAGGACCTTATTCACTTAGTTGTTCCAGTCCTTCCATTTTCTGCACACTTCACTCAATCCACCATCATCTCCTTTTGTGACCTCAAAGCCCTCTTCTATTCATCTCCAGACTCTGAGATTTCTCGAACGACAAGCCTGTCTTTGTCCAGTGCATTTAAATCAGCGGAAGTACCTTCAACTACAGCAGATGCAGCAGGAGTCCACAAAGCAGCCTCTGTGTCTCTATTGATCATCATAAGTTATCTTTCATTTCTACCTTAGATCAGTAAACAAGCCTCACAACCCAAGAAAGATATAACACAGACTCCTACTCATTTATGTAACTTTTAAGTGCATACACGGCAGGTTTTTAGGAAATAAAATGTTGACTGATGGTAGCTAAAACCTTTTCTTATATGTGAGTGTTTCTTTTACACTAGTTGTGGTTCAGTTTGTGAGGAAAAGTGTGAATAATGTGTCAAATGCAATAAGGTAGTAATATGAGGAACTTCTAAGACATTGGTACTTGTGGTGCTATTGCTCGTATTTTTCTGACATAATGCAAAAAATACTATAAAAATATGTTTTCTAGTTTTAATCAATTCAATAATATGTTCTGAGTAACTCCAAGTGTGATGTTATAATTGTACAACATTTAACAGGTTAAAAATCTGCATTTTGATATACAATTAGACATTCATACTTTGGACAGCATGATACCTCACATCTATTTTTGCAATTAGATTTTATTACACTTTTTATGTACATACTTTACTGGACTTTATGTTTGGCCATTTGGTTTATGAGTGGGCAATATAATGGGTATAATAGGAACAATTCTTTCAATGTAATATCCAGGCTATAAGTAGCTTTGTGGCTCAAGAAAACAAAATAACATTACAATGTAACAATATCCAAATGTCATTTTGTGACTTTACAAGGTTTATGCAAATATTGTGTAAAGCTGCTTCTGCCTTGAAGCACTATGAGCATCAGAACTGAGATTATCCATGTAAAAACATTTGTCAGGGTTAAAGTAGATTTACTAGTATTAATTAGTAAACTGCCCTGAAATATGAATCAGAAATAGGTTGAGTTGACTCTATCTATTTCAAACCTGTACAAGACTTATCAAGAAATATTCATAGAAGAATAGAACACTGAATAGAAAAAATAGAACACTGAATAGAAAAAATAGTATGAGCTGGGTGTATATTAGCGTCAATCAAACTAAAACATTGTGTAAACTCCATCTGTGAGACAATAAAGGATTGATTGATTAAAGGGAATACTGTTATAACAATGTCAAAGCTCCTTAAAGTATGCACAAATGTCCACCTTAGAAGCAGTTTCTTCGTCTTACACTGAAAATAAGCAATGGGTAGTGGTCAATATCACTATATTTGCTAATGCCATATCATTTCACCTAACATTCTATAGAAAAGTTCATTGACCTTAACAGCCTGCCAATATTCCTCCTCTCTCAGCAAACAGCAGGCACTCAGCAACAGCAGCACTGGACATGTATAAATCATGAAGGTTCGGAGGGAGAAAAAAGGAGAAATGCTTTGCACCAACCAATAGCTGCACAAATCAATGTTTGCCTTTGGAACCAGCAGGGGGCCTTCCACCGTGATTCCAATATGTCAAACCATCTTCATGACAGCGTGACGTGATGGCAGGAGACAACGAGCATGGCAAAGAAAATCCTTCAGAAATGGTGGAAGCAGTTGGTTTTTTGCTCAATCACGGCCTGTTGCAGAGAACTGGAGGAGTCTGTTCTCCCCACCATGTTGCATTGCACCTGTCTGAATATTTCTTTTTTCCCCTTTAATGTAAGCAATGCATCTGTAACTCAATTAGGCCTGTGTGGAGCATCATGTGGTTATGAATGACTAAATAGAGTGAGGAATTAATAGTTAGAGGGCATCCATGAAAAAAAAGAGTCAAACTAAATTCAATTTTGTGAAGCCTATAGGGACAGCAGAGGAGGCATCGCAGGTGAAGGTTACTGCTTGAGTAGAGTTTTTTTTTTTTAAATACCTCTCTAAATCCTTTTTTATTTTTATTTTTTTGACAGATTTCTGGTCAGGGCACGATGTAAATACAAGACACTTGGTTTATAAAATGCCAAAACTCACCATGACATAATCAGTCCACTATTGGGCTTATAAACTTGCATTGCAATGTCAGACAATGACGTCAAGCGGTGCTATTTTTTTCCCCTCCACCTAAAAATGTTTCAGCCACACACCGGCTACATAATAATATATAATGGAATTTACAAGATCAACTTCAGATTAGCAATTGATCCTTATCTTGTCATTTTGCGCAACACATGTGTGCATTTTTCCTGCCCAGACACGAGAAGTCTGGTCTCTAAAATTAGCTTTATTATCCAACATTTTTTATAGCGCACTGGTGGTTTATGGACGCGAGTAAATGCGTCCAAAGCGACCTATTGCTGCAATGCGAAAATGTTGTTAATAATAGTATTGCTCATAAGTCTGCATGTACCTACCACGGGCCAGGACAGCTGGAGAGAGCGTCAAACCAAAAAACTGCAGAATTTAACCCGTCACGCACCACAGAGACGCATTGATGTCACGCTCGACTGGACACAGACACAACAGCAGGACGTTTGCAGACTTGAACTCTTACCTTGTATCTGGGGTCCAGAAGTGAGGCGCGGTCCGTGGATGCGCAGCGGTCAGGGGAGACGTGCGTGCCGATGGATGGATAGAAGCCGGGGTTGGAACGTGTCCTTCTCTCCCAGTCGCCGCCTCTCCCTCTCTCCTCCAGCCTCTCCCTCCTCCAGACCGCTTCACGACTCACACACTCGATTTTTGGAAGATGGGCCAAGATCCACACGTTAAAACACAGTCAATGAAAAGACTTCTAATATGTTCTTCCCATAATGGTTTGTTATGTCAGCACACAGAGGAGCTAAAAGGGAGCCATAAAGTTAAATGTGACATCAAAAACCTACCAAAAATGTTTCCAAAAATGAGCACTTGTATTTTCTCTTTGGGCAGTATTGAAAAACTTATGTTACTTTTCAACAAAAATACACTTTCCCCTGGATATTCCCAAACATGAACCTTAATTTGATTGATTTCAACCAGTCAATTATTAGAATATTGATTCTTAATTTAGTGAAAATCTACAGAGAAGAGGTTTCATGGCTCAGACAGCTGTAACTACAGGTAATTACAAAGTAGAAATGTGACGCTTTCAATTAAACTACCTCTTTTGTTGCAACTCGTCTCAGAGAATAATCTCGAGTGGCATCCCATTTGGAACCATTCTCATTTACCGGCATTTTAGTGATCTAAGCCAGTGGTGAGATTCATCTTAAAAAAGCGACTAATTGTTATTATGGGGATCAAGCTCCAAAAAGTTGAAAACCACTTAGCAACAATCAAACAAAAGAATAATCTCCAACCTGTATGATGGTAAAAAAAATAGTCTCTGGTTAACCTTAAATATAAATGTATATAACATATTATATAAAATATTGTTCAAACTATAAATATAAGTAAATATCTGGACCCCCAGATACTGTATCATCACGGATACATGTATAGTGTATCTACCAACATCACACACGTCCCTATAAGTGAAGGCAACATCATCTCATATCAGTTATCTAAAGACAGGCATGGTGGAGCATTTCCTGATTATCACCAGATGATATCATATTTCAAAAGATCTCACTGAACTAAAACAAAGACAAATAAAACAAAAGACAACTCCATGTGTTTTTCAGATCATTCATATTATCATAACATTGCTAAAAGCTCAACAAGTGAAATTAGCACAATACATTCAAAGACAAAGGCACACCTCGGAGGCAGTACATTTTGACTCAGCTCTTAAAAGACATCACAAGAACCAATAGAAAAACGCTTGTATACAGAAGGACGGAATAAATTTGTATACAACACATCAGGCACTTTATTGCGATGACGTGGCAGAAGCGGGAGCAGCTGGGTACCTAAACCTTCTCTCCTGCATTGAACTAAAAGGATTGGAAGCTTTAATGGACGTTAATGGATACCGGAGGAATCAGACCAATAGGTTCATGATTATAAGTGTTGTGCAGGACAAGAGGCCTCCACCAATCATTCGTTGACGTTACAGTCCTGTTTGGACATGATTTACACACAGATCTTTATCTCAGGGTCATCTGCCAGCTCTGATTGAATGCAGTTAAGGGGACTGAAGCTAAGGCCACCTGTGTCCTGGTTTGAGCCCAGTCAAATCCTTATTTTTGGTCCAGTTCTTATTTTTTACTATGTTCTCTATTGCACGTGTAAGATAAATGGTACCTCCTGGAGTACCCATGACAGTGAACTTGTCCTTTAAATGGTTTTGGAATTGCCATAAACCTTAAATGTGTTTGAAGTCTCTGTTTTAATTTTTGTAGATTTTCTGTTGTTGCCTTTTTTGGGACACGCCCATAGGCATGAAATAAAGCATCGGAGAACCCATCCAAAATACACCGAAACAAATCCAAAATGAGAGCATATACAGTAAACGCATCTAAAATAAGTAAAATTCTAATTTTGTCTACAGTATTTGCAGTGTGCAGTGCATAGCAACAGCTTCTGGTTGTGGTCACTTTTAAAGACATCTCAAATCTAATTTAATCTCACACTATACAGACATAATTATTCCGAGATAATCAGATTACTTTGATATCTTCACAATGTTAGAATACATTGGACAAACTGGTAAGATTACATTATCCTGAGAAAGCGAGACTAATTTCATTGACTAGAAGATAAATGGTTCTCGAGTGACATGCAAGCTCCATTACAGTATTGACATTTCCTATGTAATTGGTAGTAGTTAAATATGGTTTCTTTGACATAGAATTATCTTTGCTCTTGTGGTACTCTGGGGAACAAATTTTGCCTCAGGGAGAACCAAGTATGTAAAGTCCCACTCCAATATTGTCTCTGTATATGTCTGTTTGTGTGGGGCTATGGTTTCTTGCGCCCCCTGCCTCTCACGGCTGCTGTTGTTGGCGCAGGTACAGGTCCGCTGAGCTTGTGTGAGTCCAGGTCCAGTTTCTGCTGCAGGATCCCAGTGAGGATGAACTCACTGGTGACGATGGGGAGGCCACAGGACACAGCTGGAGCGCACAGGGACCAGTCCTCTTCACACGAAACCACCACAGTATTGGGCTGGAACAGAGACATGGCAGCTCTTCATACAGACCTCTCGTATCAGTGGTCTTCAAAGCACTGCACTATACTGACAGAATCAATTTAAGAGTTCAATATTTATGACAAGAGCTCTATAGGATGTATGCTATAAAGATTAGATTTACTTTTACAATTTTCTATAATAGTTTTCTTTTCTACATTTCGGTTTTCAAAATTATAGTTAAAGGGCCCATATCACGGTTTTTGACTTTTCTCTGCTTTAAACATGATTACATGATTACATTACGCATGAGGCGCATGACCCCGTTTGCTTTGTATTTAAAATAGTTGTTAAATACTTTTGTCAAAACGGGGTAAACAATACACAATTAGTATGCTGTTTTTTGTCAAAAATAATAAAAATAAAAATAAATTAAAAGCCGGCGGGAGGTGATTGACGGATCAAAACAGCGAATCAGAGCGCACAAGCTCCGGCTCCCGAGTCCAGCGTCTGTGGTCTGGTCTCGCGGACACCACATAGAGCTGCTGTTTTTATGCTTTTGTCAACAACTAAAAGTGTTAGGATCACGTCAACTTGAATGAAGTGTGTTATGGGTGTAAATATGTGACACACTATTTGGCCCTAAGAGGAAGAAAGCAGCTCGACTTTTTTTCATCTGTTCATCTCATGGATCTATTATAATACCGGTTCATCTGCGACACTTCACTGAGACTGTTCCAGAACTACAGGGAGAATGGAACTGGACTTACTCAAAAGCTGATCTAGAAACACGTTATTCCCACGGTAAAAGACGTAACTCGGATCCCCTCGATCTGTGAGTAAAGTGACGCTAACTCGCTGTATACTTCTGTAAACTAAATAACTAGGGTCTGATTGTGCATCGAGGACATAGGGCTCGATGTGACGGATTGTCATTGTTGTAAAAAGTTTATTCTTATGTATGAAATTACTAAGTACAGGTGATAAACGACAAAAGCGTGATGCTACGTCACCGTGCGGGTGGGGGGAGGCGGGCTCACAGGCAGAGGAGCAGACTCTTCTCTGGATCAGCTCGTTTGAGTCGAGGTGACGTCACCTCTATACAAGAGATGGCTCTAATCTCACAAGCTTTGATTGTTGTGTGGTGTATCATACACATTAATATCACACATGTGTATAGGATTGAGTGTGAAACATGAAGAAAAGCGTGATATAGGACCTTTAATTGTTATTTTAAGGAAACATTGCTATACTTGTTTTATGTAATATCATTCTAGTGCAATATTGCATATTCATTTTTAGTTTAATTGATAAGGGCTCAAGCTAAAATGTATGGTGCACAAGTTGTGCATGTTTGCATATTACAGGTCAATAACTACCATATTTTGGGGTTTTTTGGTTTCTGGCTTGGACTCATGCGTGTGCTTTTGAGAACATTGATTGCCTTACTTACATTATGTGTTATCAAAGGTCCTAAAGCATCTAGGATTATGTGAATGTTAATAAAACACTAAACATGCTGTGAACAAAACGTAAGAAAATAAGTCGTAATACTCTTATAAAATTAACTCCTGCACAGGGAATGGAATGCATACATCACAGAAGTGCAGTTTGAGTCCGTTATAATCAGGGTGTGAAGTGGTTTACCTTGTAAGAGGAGGGCATTTTGGGCAGAAACACAGCTCCACTGCAGGAAATGATATCTTTCATATGAACCGGCTCTGGCTTTACAGACTTCGTGACATGGATCTCATATCCCTGAAAGATAAAAATAGTGATGAGTCAAACAAAGGGCATTGGGCATAACTAAATATAATTTGGAAAATCAATAGAAGATTGTGGCTTCCCACAGGAATTTCTCAAGTTCAAAAATATCATGTTATGTTTCTATTGTGTGTCAATAAAAGCAGACAGAAACCGAAAATTGGAAAAAAGATTACTTATAAAAATGTACTATTCATCAAATCTCCTGCTTGCTGTGTTGGCACTTTGCTGTGATCTTATTTACAGTGAGGGATGATGAGTTAGGGCGCAAATCAATACAGCACGATTCAAAACGGAACTATCAGACTAATTTATTTTAATAAATCATTTTTGATTAATATGAAGTTAAATTTATAAATATATAACAAATAATAAATCAAAACTATATCACAGACCAGAGAATAATAAAACTAAATCTAAAATATATAGTAAATATATAATTGTTCACAGATCACAGTCAATGCCAGGTTCTCATGAGATAAAGATCCTGCTCATATTCACCTTTAGAAATGGCTGATTGCTGGCGACTCTCAGAGACTCCTGCAGGTTGAAATCAAACTTATTTTCTTGCTCTCGATCTTTCACCAGGTACGAACTAGGAAGCAACAATGTCCCAGCCTTTCCACTCTGAAAAAAACATTTAACTACATAATTAAACGAAGATATGAATTAAAAGATCAATGTTATTCTGTTCTTGTAGCAAATCATCAGCGCACCTTCTCCAGCCACTGACTGGTGACAATGGGGATTCCTTTGGCCACAGCACACAGGAACTTAACCGTCCGCCGCACTTTATCAGTCACTAAACAGTTCATAACAACCACATCTTTAGCTATGGTTCCTCCCAATCGAGTCAGGACCCTCTCTCCATCTTCATCCACCATTCCAGTGAACAGCACCTGCCAAAAATAAGGGAATATATAGAATATTTTAATTTCATTCAAAAGTAAATGAGAGGATGCGTCAGAACAGCGGTTGAATTCATTGATCAAATAATGGATTGAATTCCTCTTCACTTTGCAATTCTACACTCTCACGACGTTAGATCCACAATATCAGCAGATATAAGAAAACCAACGACAACGGACCCTACATTTTAAGTCTCACATCTGCACTGAGAGGAAGGGGGTAAAACGTAGTTAAAACACAGACCCTGTAAGGTTGAGTAGGCGTTCTGGACCGGCCAGTGCTGGGAGACGCAGTGCAGGAGCGCGGCGTCTTGGGAAAAACATCAGACTCTGAATCAGCAGAACTTCTCTTCCTGGAAACACTGCTCCTTGGGGTTTGAGGCTGATAAACAGAGGAGAGATGAATGACTGTTAAAAGGGCAGGCTACCAACACAATAAAAACTGAACAGAATTACAACCTTCAATTTGTATGAGCATGACCATATTAAAAGACAGAAAGGACCAGCAATATAGATTAACAAACAGTAATAAAGTGGAACAATACATGTAATCATATATTATTGAAGGTCTGGTGTCACACAAAAAAATGATATTAACAGCAGTGAGTGGAATTTTTTGATCAGCCAGGTGAGCAATTCAGCTTTATTGTTTTAAGTTTTATATCATTACACTATTTATTTAATGATATAAAAGGGGGAGCAATTAATCACCCCAGGGGGCGATAAATCACCCCAGGATTCAGCAATTTGGTTATAATAATGTAGTTGGTATTATTTGTTTATCCTCGATCAAAATTAACCGGCTAGTAAATATATCACATAACCCTTTTGTCCAAGTCGTCAATAGCCATCCCTAGTGCTGCTGACGTTGCACTGTAGAGACTGGAAAAGCTAATGGACAGGAAAGCACCTCAGTCCGTGCACGCTCTCGGCACACTTACATTGGTTACTTTGCTTCATACAAATCTAATATCTGCCATGCCTTTAATGTACTGCAATCCAATCAAGTGCTTCATACAATCACCTGCTCTAGATCCATGGAGTTGTTTCCTGATGAGCCGCTGTCACTTCTCTCATCAGGAGTTTTTGCCAGGACAGATGCACGGCCCCTTCCCTTTGGTTTGGTACTTTTGGTTTCCTCTTGAGTCACTTTCATACTCTTCCTAGTCGGTGTATTTCTCGCCGCTGCATTTTTTGTGTCTTTTTCATTATCGTTTGTCTCCAACCTTCTTCCATCCAATTCCTTCTTAGTCTGTGCTTGATTTGTTCTCCCTCCTCTTTTCTCAGCACGACTAGTAGATGGATCTTCTCCCTGGCTTTCATTGCATTTTGTTGAATTTTCTTTAGCTCCACGCTTCCCCCTTGTGGACACAGGCGGCTCTACGTTGTCTCCCTTATCTTTGTTGGTGTCGGGGCAAATCCTTGTGCTTTTCCTTCCTCTTGGCATTACTGTTTGACTGGACGCCTGCTCTTTTGCGCGCTCAATGTCGGCTTTCTTTCCCGCTCGTCCTCCTCTATTTCGACTCGTTGAGCTGATGCTACTCACAGACAACTCGGAACTTAACGAAATACTCGAATTGGATCTGGAGAGCGTCCTGGGTGGAGATGGTGCGTAGACTTCGGGAGCTGCTGCGGTTCTTCGCCGGCCTCGAGACACAGTTTTCTGCACTTGAACTTCCGTCTTTCGCCCTCCTCTCCCACGGCCTCTACCCCTGCTTGTTTGCGACACGTTGCTTGACACAGAAATCTCAGAGTTGACAGAGTTTGAGGAGTTCGATCGGGACCTGGTCCGTCTGGCCGGAACGTCATCTTCATCTACGGCGGTGGAGTCTGGAACAGCAATGGTTCTTCTGCCGGTTCTCCTACCTCTTCTAGGGCCTTCTTCATTTTGCTTTCCTTTGTCTAGCTGTTCCGCCTTGTCTTGTTTTTGAAGTTTTTCCTTTTGTTTTCTGGCTACTTCCAATCGATCCTTCTCAGCCTTTTCCTTTTCTTCCTGCGCCATATTTTCCCGCTCTAGTCTCTCCTTTTCTTCTTTTTGCCTCTTTTCCTCTTTCTCCATTAGTTCAGTCGCTTGTCGTTCCTTTTCCACTCTCTCTTCCGCTTCCTTTTCTTTTTGCTGTTTTGAAGCAAGTTCCTTATTTTCCCGTTCAACCCTTTCTTTCTCCAACCTCTTAGTTTCTTGTTCCTTTTCTAATCTCACCCTTTCTTTTTCATCTCTCTCTTTCTGAAACCTTGCTGCCATTTCTTCTTGCTCAATTCGCTCTCGTTCCAACCTCTCCATTGTACCACGCACCTCTTTCTCTTCCTTTTCTTTCTGAAGTTTATCTGCTATTTTGTTTTCTTCTTCCTCCTCAGTCTCCACTTTGGCTCGTGTTCTTCTGCCTTTAGAGACCTGCACTCCTTTACCCTTTCCTCTGATCTGTCTTTTAGTGGGTTCGCCAGAAACTTCCTCAAACACCTCTTCATTCTCGTTTGTCCTGCCTCTCCCTGCTTTCATGCCAGCATCAACAGCAACCCGGTCATCTTTCGCAACTTCAGTATCTATTTGCGAATCTAGTGACTGTGTATCTTCAAGTTTTCTTGTCTTTCTTTTTCGGCGAGCTCCAATCACGTTGTCTTCATCATCCTCCTCACTCAAAGCTGCAGGCTGTGTTGATGCTACTGGAGGTTTAGTTATGTTTGTCCTACCTCTCCTTGCTTTCACGCCAGCATCACCAACATCTCCGTCATCTTTTGCAACTTCAGTATCTATTTGCGAATCTAGTGACTGTGTATCTTCAAGTTTTCTTGCCTTTCTTTTCCGGGGAGCTGGAATCACATCATCATCGTCGTCATCCTCGCTCAAAGCTGCAGGCTGCGTTGGTGCTACTGGAGGTTTAGAAATAACCTTCCGTCTTTGCTTTCTTGATGTTCTGTTTCCCCGGACTGGAATTGAATCTCCACTGTCATTTTCTTTGTCTGTGGGAATAGGCGGCACTGAAACCACTGTTATCTCAGACTCCAAGGATGGTTGAGTGTCTTCTATTGTGGTAATGGGCTTTGATTTTCTCTTTCTGAAAACAAGGCCAGAATCTTCATCGTCAGTGCTATCATTCTTAAGTCTTTCTATTGATTGTGTTGCCTCTTCTTTAGACCAAAGCTTTGCTGAACCAACATGCTCAGTTTCTTCTATATGCTCCGGCACTTCCATGGGGACCGTTTGTGAAATAATAATATCAGATGTTTTTTGTGCCTGCTCTTCTTGAATATTTGAAACTTTTGTCTCTCTAAAAACAGCTGAATCATTGTTGCTTTTACTTTCATCCAGCATTTCTATTGGAAGTGTTTGAGCCACAGTCAAATCTAAATGTTGCTGTGTCTCCAATGTATGCATTTTAGCCTTTTTATCTAATGCAGACTCTTCCTCGTTTTCACCAACTTCTGGCAAATCCATGGGTACAGTTTGAACTAAAGCTATATTGGAATTAGGTTGTGTATTCTCTTCATTTTCCTGATTAGAAACTGCACAATCGTCATCTGTTTCGCTATCTTCTTGAATTTCCATTGGTTGCGTTGGAGCCAAAGCCACACTCAAAAATCTTTGAGTCTTTGCTTGGTCGCTTTGTTTTGTTTGTTTAACAACTAAAGCAGATTCCTCACTCTCGCTCTCACTCTCTTCGTCAATGCATATCGGTTGAGTTGCTGCAACCGATAATATTTCAAGCGGTTGTGTTGCTTCATCTTCTTTTCCAAATTCATCCTGTTTCCCCTCCTGGCCAACCTCTGCACTCTCTTCATCTCCATCACTGTCTTGCATGGGAATATAAGCTTGTGTTTCTTGTAAGGCAAAGTCAACTGGTTTATTCTTATCCCCAGGGACAATGAGGTCTGCATAAGGTTGTGTTTCTTCTAGATTTGCATGAATAAAAGCTTGGGTAGCTTCCGTAGTCAAAGCTTGTGCTTGGCATTGGAGTGCACTGCTGTCTGAAAGCTCCAGTTGGAAATTCCCTCCGCTGTAGGTTTGAGACATGTCTCTCTCAGTCACAGAGGAATCAGAGTCAACAGAGATGTTTGGGTCTTGGCTTTTGTCGTTTAAAAGAAAGGACTGGGTTTCGGCCACCGTGTAGTCTTCCTCTTGACTGGGAGATGCGGCAGGCCTCAAAAGTGCCACAGCACCTAAAGCAACAAATAATAACATGTGTGAATAATGAATAATGGTGTTTTGACTGTTGTATGAATACTATTCAGATTCAGTTTATTTGCCATTTGCAGTAAAAAAACCCACATAGGAATACATTAGCGAAAAGTCTCCAGTGTGCACAGACAAATACAGACATAAAACAACATTAAAAGACAAAAATAAAACAAATAAAACAGTAAACAAAAGTCACTGTGAAATCGATCGACTAAAACAGTTCAAAACAAGTGCAAATCATTAAAGTGCTCTGTTCACACTGATAACAGCTTGTGGATAAAAACTGTTAGCGTAACGAGATGTCCTGCATCTCAGAGAGCGATATCTTCTGCCAGAGGGAAGAAGCTGGAACATGGCTTTTCCAGGGTGGCCAGAAGAGTCATTAACAATCCTAAGAGCTTTCTTTAAAAGTCTGGATTTATAAAGAACCTCCAGAACAGGAAGCTCACAACCCACGGTCCTCTTTGCAGAGCGGAGCACCTTGTTTAAAGCTCTCTTTTCTTTATCTGTGATGTTTCCAAACCACACAGACACAGAACCAACAAGTAAACTCTCAATGGTGCAGCGATAAAAGTTAAGCAGAATCTTAGAGTTAGTGGTAAATTCTCTAAGTTTACGCAGAAAGTAGAGACGCTGACGAGCTTTCTTAACGACTCGGTCAGTGTTTTTAACTCATTTCAGGTCGTTAGACAGAGTTAAACCCAGAAACTTGCACTCCTCTACGATCTGCACCTGGGAGTTGTCGATTACGACAGGCAAATGAGAACTATTGCGACTGAAGTCGTAGACCAGTTCACATGTTTTCGATGCGTTCAACTGGAGGTTGTTAGTTTTACTCCACTGAACCACATTTTGTATCTCTGCTCTATAAGAGGATTCATCATTGTCACTGATGAGACCGATGATGGTGGTGTCATCAGCATATTTAATGATCAAGTCTGAGTCAGAGGAGGACACACAATCGTGAGTGTACAAGGTAAAAAGCAAAGGACTCAAAATACATACATTGCAAATATTTATGCAATGTCAATGATTTTAGACCGGATACTTATACTATTATTTCTCAGTGGGGAAATAAATCTGCACTTAACCAAGTAACTTGCATTGGCATCATTGAATTCACAAAGACCAACATTTGTCTTTGAATAATTAAACTAGTCAAAAAGACATTATATATTCTGCTGTTATGAAACAGCCTGTAGAGCGTCTGGCGGGTCAGGCGGGTTATGTCATGGAGTACATTTAATGATGAGGATAAAATATAGCAATACATTTTTAAAGGCCAATGCACTAAAACAAAGAAACTTACTCCTATATGCAGATATGGATGGACTTAAAAAGGCCTGAGTCTCCAGTTCTTCTATATTGCCCTCTGAATTTAAGACAAAAATAAGTAAAATTAGAACAAATAGACCGGATATTGAGAGTTGATAATGATTGCAATATATAACAAATGCATGTTTTTGTTTTAATATACAATTCCTTACCTTGCTGTTGTATGGGAGTAGAACAGTTCAATAAGGCCTCTTGTATATTTGGCGTTATCTCTCTTTGAAGGACTGGGATTATGTCAATATTGTCTTCCGCATCTGTATCGCTGTCTGACACCACAGCAGGTTTGTTCTCTGAATTCAAACTTACAATGGGCTCACTCACGCCCACACCATCTACCTTACATTCAGTTACAATTGGTTCAGACTTTGTGGGTTTAACATCAAGAGAATCATCTTCAACATCTGTGTCACTATTGGACAATATCTCCAAGTCTTCTACTGGTTTACCTGCTGGAGAACATTCAAGTGACGGTTCTTTATGTGTGCCGTTTTGTGTAGTGGGTGATCTGGATCTCGTTGGCTTTGCAGGAATTTGCATAGAAGCTGCAGTATCACTTTCACCTTCATCGACGTCTGTATCGCTGTCCATATTAAAATCATTCGGGTTGACAAATGTTTTGGGCACTTCCACATTTGTCGATTCTGTAGCTTCTGTAGCAGCAAATGCCAAATCCTCATCTTCCACGTCTGTATCGCTGTCCATATTAAACTCAGCTGCATTTGAAACTTCTACTTCCTCAAGATCTGTGTCACAGTTCACGCCAGTTGCCTTTGGCTGGGCAACAGGAATGGTTTTGGAATTTTGGGGAATGTCGTCAAATGAAACTGCATCTTCAACATCTGTGTCTGAGTCCATGTGAAATTCTGGCTTTTCTGAAGCTTGGGTATTAATTGACTCTATAATAGTAGTAGTCGTGGTAGTAGCAGTTGTAGTAGTAGTAGTAGTAGTAGAAGTGACATTCTCCTCTTCATCCACATCAGTATCACTGTCCATGCTGAATTCAGATGTAGCATTTGTTTGCTTACCGGCAGTGGGTTGCACTTTAGAAAGCTCTGGCTGAGCATTTCCATTTTCCATAGAGGTCTTATCAGTTCCATCATCCTCTTCACTGTCATCCACAATGTCTAGCTCTCCTATTTTTTTCTGCTCCTGTCGGATGATGTCGCCGTCACTCGAGTTGAAGCTGACGCGACGTGTCCTATTTTTGTATGATGAGGAAGGCGTGATGGGGCTTTCATCTTCACTATAAGTCAACAAAGACAAAGAAATAAACAGATTAAATATATTAATTACTTGGATCAGTGGACCAATTTTAATTAATTACCTTTCAGGAACTACTTTGTTTGTCGGACTCAAAAAAGTAGAACATGTAGGACTTGATTTGTAGGAGTCAGATTCACTTACTGAAAGTAAACAAGAATATTGGGGGTGAGGCTTAATAATGGTCAATGATGTCTTCGGAAGTGTGACTCTATTCCAGGACAAAGGGTCATTTAATACACACTCAATAAAATAGACCATGTTTTTTATGACCAATCGCAATGTTTTTTTAATACAGAGCCAAAAAACTGTGCGAGCATTTTGAGGTTCAGAAATACGTAATACACTCTTTTATATGCATGGTGGATTACATTATATGACTACATGTATATCACACAATCAGAGTAGTCATATTGGTCTGAAACAGAAACAAAATTTAAAAACTAATATGTTATATATTGGCCAGCTTTGTTGATCTTAACAATTCATGACACATGACATTTCAACGCACAAGAGTCATTTGTCCATAGCAGTGGACCTCACACCTGTCCTAAGTGAGCCGTGTAACTGCAGGTTTTCACTCCAACCATGCAGAAGTCTTGAGAAATTGAGTCAGCTACATGGCTCATTTTGGACTAGTGTGAGCACCATTGGTCCATAGGTTAGCGGGTTACCCATTGTCCATAAATATTCATAAATAATAACTGATATTTCTCCACTGTGAGACGAAAAAAGGAATATCTTATCTTATCTTAAATGTCTGGCATCATTCTGAAGATTTTTGTTGAGGTATGTGTTGGTTCAAGTACAGTAATCATTTGAATTTGTACAGTGCACTGTATTATCTTGCAATCAAATGATTTGATTCTCTTTTCTGTTGTTGGTGAATTATAATTGACTGTTCACTGTTGCACATACCTACAGTCCTCCGTCGTCTGTCTGCAGCTCGGATCTTGTCATCTTCAGGCTCTGACTCAGAGTCGGGCACTAGAGACGACTCTGGCTGTATGGGGGTTTGTTCATATGACAGCCCTTCGATCCTGGCAGGTGTCCCCAGGGAGTCCTCCACATCAGCTGATGCATGCTTGTTTATCGTTTCAGGAGGACTTTGTGTGTTACTTGTGTTTAAGTTTCCTCCATTTTCCCTAAAGACATCCCTTGTTTTAAAGTTCGATGCAGTTGCAGGAGTTCTTATATTCGGCACACCAATGGAACATTTTGTATATTTACATTGAATGTCAGCCAACACTAAACTGTCTCCTTCACTGAGGGCATATCGCACATGTGGAGTTAGTTTTAAATTCCCTTTTCGAGTGCCGTTCATGCTTCCCAAATCCCAGAGAAGAGCCTCCACTTGGTCCTTGCATCCTTTCCTTTTGTAAACAGACAAAGAGATGGTAGCATGCTGCTTCGACACTGACGAAGCCGGCAAAGACAAAGAACATGTGCTGGGATCACGGCCCAAAATATTATCTCCCAAAAAGAGAAGGCATTCTGCAAAAAAAAAAAAAAAAATTAAAAGGAAGAGTTATTATCTCTATATATTATTATTTAATGTATTGGGGTGATTTGCATACATTTGTTTCATATCAAATAACATGATTTTCTCATTAACAGACACGGTTTAAAAACAACCAAGAATATACAGTGACAGGTAAAAAGGATTCCACAAAAGGATTATACAAAAATATGAAAGTAAATAGATGGCATAAAAACAACCCTAAATTATATAAGAAATATAACTGTGTAAATCAAATATAATCTTTATAAATTCAATATAATTAGGCATTATTACACAACATTATGCAATTTACAGGACCATATGCTAAGACAATCTCATCTCTTACCCTTTTCAGGAATGTGTTGGTTTTTCAGGATGCACAGTTTTCCAAGTGGATCTCCTCGGTCATTGTTCTCCTCCTCTTCTTCTGATTCCAGGATAGAATCATTAATCAACTGAGTTGCATCCATCTTTGACAGATGTCTTCTATAAACAATCACTGAGGAAAATAAATGAAAAACATTAAAGCATAAGTAGTCCTTTGAGCCACGTTTCAGACCTTAATCCAGGTAAAACAGTAATGTTCCCTCTAATGTCTTATGCCTCGTTCCCAGAACATTGCTGGGTCCTAAACTTGAGTAGAACAATTATTCTATTCAAACAAATAAGGGGGATCAGCTATAAGCCCGAGTGCCTTAAACGGTAGATTAGGTCCATTTGTCTAATTAAAAACAAACTCTTTGGTCTCCATTTGTCTGTTGTCTAATGTTATATACTGCATAGGGCGTTAATTAAATCAGGATTTGTTCACCCTTGAATTTAAAAATATATCAGTAAAATAAGTGCAATAAGGTATTTTGAAAACGAACTGTTTACATATTTGTAGATCATATGGTTACGCTACATAACATGAATGAAAGGAAATGTTTCTGTGCATTTACTGCAGTTCCGTGTGCTAACAGTACTACAGAACAAATCATCGCAATACAACAAAAGAAACACCAGATTAATGTAAACCTCATAGACTGAAACAATAACTTTATATACTGACTAACCAGACCGTGTTAGCGAACATGTTAAACAGAAGCCGTTAGCAGTTGGATCACACCCAGCGGCAGAAGAGAAGCTTCCACCACGGATCTAGTGAATAATACGCCTCCGATTGCATCTAATAAACTTATTTAACTGTTTTTTTGTTTCACGACAACTTAATATTGTTAAACAAGAACTGTATTCCGCGCTCACCTCATGCTTCATCTGGTGCAGAGAGAAAAACAATAATGTATTTCCTGTTTGCCTCAGGAGGGCGTGTCCTTGTACTAAACAACCTTGTGATTGGCCAGATTTGCTGTCAGTCATCAACATTTCTGTTCTCATTGGAATAAAAAAATCAATACGTAGCATGTTGGGTGACGTCACAACTTTTTCTCCACGTTTTTTCGCGCCAAGCAAGACTAGAATCATAACAATGATATTAAGAATCATGTGTTTTTTATTTTTTTATTTAGTTCTCTTCACCTCACGAATAGTATTAATGTTGTATACTCAAAAGCCTCACTACAGACCAGAGGCCTGTTGCTAGAAGCTGCTTGGGTTTTGGTTCGATGTAAGTTCTTGTTTACTTTGAGCTCAAGCAACCCTAAAAACATGATAAGCACCCCTGAAATTATAGGCAACAAGTTATTTATTAACATGTTCAGATCAGAATTATATTGAATATAAATACTGTTGTAAATTACACTGTGGCTGTAGTTCGAGTCGACCACTCTTTTTCAAATGCCTGAGAATGCAGTTGGACATCACAAGAACATAACGCACATGGACACTTTTTATGCATTCACACAATCTGATCATCTGCCACCTTATTATCCATGATTGTGATTGGTTGTTCATTGTCCACGTCAGATTTTTTGTGAACGCGCATGCAGCGTGGTTTCATGGTTTGAACCATAGACTGTATATATTACCTGGGTTTTGGAAACTGAGAGAAAAAGAAGAAATTGAGAAATATCGTATGGAGCGTCCCAAAATCCAGCAGCGGTTTTCAGACGGACTGTTGTAAAGCAATAAACCTTTTTCTACTCATGTTCAGAAGGGGAGTGTCACAGAACCTGGGTCCATATCGCCCCTTTAAACTACATCATGCACTACATGTTGTGAATGAAGGATTTTAAGATGTAAGAGGCTTTGTAAAGAACAGTGTAAGCTATTATTGAACATTTGAGCCAAACTCCTGGGTTTAATTTGAGAAATTGGCAATTGTGAAATATGTGGAATTTGTTTTTAATACCCTCCTGCATTGACCCAGAACTTAAGGCAGGCCTGTCAAACTCAGTCTTGTGGGCAAAATCCGGCCCTCAAGACCCTTTTGGTGGCCCCTGAAATGTTTTTCAATTATCATTATCACAGTAACTTGCAGAAATGATGGTCATGGAATTGTGAGATTTCATAACACTTTTAAGCAACTTTTGTTAAAGTTAAACTCATCATTCTATCAATGTGCAGAAGCCTGTACTTTTCCCTTGTTTTGTCTATCTGAAGGCCAAGCTACAAGCACACCGTGGAAGCTGCTGATTGGAGGTCTCCATGCCTCCGCTCTGTATAATACACTTGCATTCTCTTGTATCTGTGCTCGTGTGCTTTGTTCGTGCTGTCTCTACCATTGACAATAAAACATGTCTTCTGTCTGAATTTAAGACGCGATCCCAGACCATGTCATCTTCTTCAGAATATAATGGCATGTTATTTTTCATCTTCAATTCTCAGGTTTTTATATTTTACTATCAACCTTCAATCATACTTTTTTACATACAGTATTTGGCCCAGTTGTGATTGAATCTAAGCCTACAAGAAAACATCCAAACTTATGTCATTAAAAAAAAAAAAAAGGTAGTGAACCACTTTTATACTTTTGGCCCCAACTAGCTCTTATGTATTTTAAACTTGGCTCCTGACCAGAATGGGTCTGGCACCCCTGATTTTAAGGTATATTAGGGGGATTTACTACTTCTGGGTGGATCATCAAGACTATTGTCCTCCCAATTGTCAATAATTCTGGTGGTATATGTGCTCTTCAAATAAGACAAGAGAGTTTTGTTCAAAAAGTGGAGGGGGCAGTTCATTCCTATTTGGTAAACTCCAATATACACTACCGTTCAAAAGTTTGGGGTCACATTGAAATGTCCTTATTTTTGAAGGAAAAGCACTGTAGATAACTTTAAACTAGTCTTAACTGTAAAGAAATACACTCTATACATTGCTTATGTGGTAAATGACTATTCTAGCTGCAAATGTTTGGTTTTTGGTGCAATGTTGTAATTGCTGCAAATGGAGGATTCTTTGACGAAAGCAAAGTTGGATGTAAAACAAATCTCATTTCAAATACAAATCATTATTTCTAACCTTGTCAATGTCTTGACTCTATTTTCTATTCATTTCACAACATATGGTGGTGAATAAGTGTGACTTTTCATGGAAAACACTTGGGTGACCCCAAACCTTTGAACGGTGGTGTATCTGATTCACACATGGGGGTATAACGGATTATTGTACTCCAGCATAGTCTAGACTGGGATTTTTCCTTTTAAAATCAACCAATAGCTAGGTTCAGAACCAAGGCTTTTTGTATGAAATGTGCATAAGAACAGACGTCATCACTTGATATTAATGACTCATGCTTAAGATATAGATGCAGTAGTAACAATGTTCAGCTCAGATAGTAATGTTTTGCACTAATGCAGATATAACGGGGGGCCACACACAGTACAAAATATGCTGGTCAGATATCACACAGACGTTTGTCCAATGTAATAGTATTCCACATCTGTAGGCCTACCTGTTTGGGTGGTAATCAAATATATTTTCCACTCTAGATGGTACCTTTTATGAAAGTTTGAAAATGGAATTAGAGGCCTACATCTTAATGAAGTACTGAAGCAATTGACAATATTACAAATCATGTGTACAGTTTTCAAAGTAATCCAAGGATGACTATACCACTTTTTACCAATAAACAAAAGACACAAGAATTGTGTACCGCTCTTTATTTGTTACTGTTGCTGATGATTTCATTATGCATCTTCATCCCCATCTTCCTCAAACTCGCCCTCCTCTTCGGCGGTGGCATCCTGGTATTGCTGGTACTCTGACACCAGGTCGTTCATGTTGCTCTCAGCCTCTGTGAACTCCATCTCATCCATGCCCTCGCCCGTGTACCAGTGGAGGAAAGCCTTACGGCGGAACATGGCGGTGAACTGCTCAGAGATGCGCTTGAAGAGCTCCTGGATGGCGGTGCTGTTGCCGATGAAGGTCACTGCCATTTTCAGACCACGTGGGGGAATGTCGCACACGGCAGTCTTCACATTATTGGGGATCCATTCAACAAAGTAGCTGCTGTTCTTGTTTTGCACATTCAGCATCTGCTCGTCCACTTCCTTCATGGACATGCGGCCGCGGAACACAGCTGCAACAGTCAGGTAGCGGCCGTGGCGTGGATCGCAAGCCGCCATCATGTTCTTGGCATCGAAAACCTGCTGTGTGAGCTCTGGGACAGTTAGGGCACGGTACTGCTGGCTTCCCCTGCTGGTGAGAGGCGCGAACCCAGGCATGAAAAAGTGCAAGCGAGGGAAGGGCACCATGTTGACCGCCAGTTTGCGGAGATCGGCGTTCAGTTGCCCTGGGAAACGCAGACATGTGGTGACCCCGCTCATGGTGGCGGAGACCAAGTGGTTGAGGTCTCCATAGGTGGGGGTGGTGAGTTTGAGCGTGCGGAAGCAAATGTCATACAGGGCTTCGTTATCAATGCAGTATGTTTCGTCAGTGTTTTCAACGAGCTGGTGGACAGAAAGAGTGGCATTGTACGGCTCCACCACCGTGTCAGACACCTGAGGAGTAAATCAGAGGGGAAAAAAAACAGATGAGGGAATAAGTCTCATGATCGGACTTGAGGCAAATGTAACTTAAGAGCAAGAGAACAAAACATCACATGCAGGACATACTGCGGCTTACAAAGGAGACAAACACATTTTATGGGCCAATTCCTTTACTGGTTTAATATTTAACTTAGGACATCTAAGGTATCTTAACTTTTGACCGTTATAATGTCCATTATAGGAGCTTAAGGAAATCAAACCTATTCAAATAGTCTAGTAAACTATTATAGGGAACCACAATCTAGACGCAGCAACATTTGGCATTTAATCTTGGGGGAAAAAAGGAAAGTTTAAGTGAATGTGTGCAGTAGTCTGAGATGCAGGATAAAACTTCTTTCTTGTCAGTTTTAACAAAGTACTTTAATGCTCTTGCTCTATTGAAGCAGTTTTTGTTGATCGGTTTCACACCAACAATTGTTACTTCTTAGCTTGTTTTATTCATGTACTTGGTGGTGCACACTGGCGTACTTTTGCACATGTATTAACAATAGATGATTTTTCAGTGCCTGGTTCTCATGCAGCAAAGGGTGAATGTCAAATGCTTAATTTTCGGCAGATGTATTCCTATGCGTTTTTTAACTGCAAATGTCAAATAAACTGAATGTGATCTTCAACCCGGTCCTTGGTTGCAGGTTTCAGGTTGAGAACAAACTCATTAAATTGGCAATTCTGGCTTGGTTGGAATGAAAACCTGCAGCCACAAGGCCCTTTTGAGGACCTATGGTATTAAGCGTCATTATACAATATACTAGAATGAGGTCATTTAAAGCACAAAAATATTAGAGTCTTCAGGTCCTGCTTGACTTTGGGATCTAAATAGAACCATTTAAAAGTTGCATAAGCTCTCACACTGCACCACAGGAGTTTGTTTACCTTGGGGGAGGGCACCACGCTGAATGTGTTCATGATACGGTCTGGGTACTCTTCACGGATCTTACTGATGAGCAGGGTCCCCATGCCCGAGCCAGTCCCACCCCCGAGGGAGTGGGTGAGCTGGAACCCTTGTAGACAGTCGCAGCTTTCGCACTCTTTACGGACCACATCTAAGACAGAGTCCACAAGCTCTGCTCCTTCTGTGTAGTGTCCTTTGGCCCAGTTATTCCCAGCACCACTCTGGCCTACAGGAAGAGAGGATTGATGTATTTAGTTATTGGAAGATAATTTCATAGATTAGTGAACAATTTTCCTGTCTATTTATTTGGAATATAGTCTCTTGTGTGAGCAAATGTGTTCAAGGAAATGGTTAGTCAAAGGATTCCCGTTAGCTACCACTGTACTGGTAATTTAAGTGTATGAGTTTTGTTGGGCGCCACCACCTTAAACTTGTTTTTGAAGATACTTAACAGCCCAAAAATAATTAACAAATAAAGGCAATATATAGAAGGGTACTCGATTCCAGCAAGACGGTAAGTATCAGCCTACCAAGAGACCCCTACCCAGCACACACGCCTGATTTAAGTAGTAATCTATGCCAAGTAAATCAAATTACAAACCAAACACAAAGTTGTCGGGTCTGAAGATCTGGCCAAAGGGTCCGGACCTCACGGAGTCCATGGTGCCAGGCTCCAGATCCACCAGAATGGCACGGGGAACATATTTGCCTCCTTCAGCAGACACAAGGCACGAGTGATGAAAGAAAAGAGACAGCAAAAACCAGCTTAATAATGAAGAAGGCACAATATAAATATGCATTTGTACATAAAAAAGACAATACATTTATGCTCCTTTACACATTCTTTATCATTGAATGCTGGAGTACCCAACCTTTGTTTCATAAATACTTTTTGTGAACATGACCACAACATGCAGTTATAATTAGCCAAGTGAGGGTTGGTACTCTCGTTCTTACGGAAAAGGTGACAAAGGCCAAAAATGCATGTGAAAACTAGTAAACAGCTTTGACCTAGTTTGAGCTTTGATCTTGAATTTTAATACAGTGGTTTCAAAAGTAATCCAGCTTTAATGATGAATCATTTATCCATATGATCAAAGAAGTTACAATATAATACAATTATACAATACCAGAGTTGAAAAGAGCTTTTTAAACTTTGCAATCAGAGTGTTCTTGCTGGGTCAATTTATTATATTTAACAAGTGGATTCATAGAGGATTTTAAGGAAATGTTTAAGGTAACTATGCATATTATAATATATTGTAAATATATGGCAAAACATAAGTACATATGTTTTGCAAGAAAGTGTATAATCAAAGGAGGTAATCTAATAATAGACACTGAAAGAGGGGGTGGGAATCAATAAGTGTTGGACTTCATCCTACTCCTTTTCAAGACACAATGATTTTTCTTAGTTTTAATACCAGAATTTTAATGATATACACTGTCTAATGTGACCTTGAAAAAAAACATAAAAAAATGCATAAGGTTATCCTTGGCTGAAAACTTGAAGTAGCAAACCTGAAGCCTCATTGTAGTAGACACTGATGCGGTCCAGCTGCAGGTCGCTGTCTCCGTGGTATGATCCGGTGGGATCGATGCCGTGCTCGTCGCTGATCACTTCCCAGAACTGCAGACACAAGCAGAGGTCACATGAACAAACATGTGTCCATCCGACACAGCTTGTGGACTTCATGATGAGAGAAACAGTAGTGTGTCTGTGTGCTGGAATCTGAGCCTTTTTTTCCACCACTGATATTTTTCTAGCCACATTTTAAAAGACCATTTGTCTTCTTGAGCAAATGCACTCAGTATTGCAAAGAAATAGTTTGACTTGGATTATGTATTTCAAAAAATTACTGAATTTTTTCTAGCTTATTGATACTGGATATTTCAAATAAAAAGCATGGGGCAAGAATATGTTTTGGTGCCGCCTTTTTTGAGAATGTAAAATGTGATACCATTTTAGATTGATGTCTTGTTGTTCATGAGTGAGGGAAGGATTGACCGTGAGATTGACAGGCTGATCGGTGCAGTTGAGTATATGTATATACACTATGATTTGGGTATAAACATCATTTGGGCCAAATGATAATATCAGACATAACCCTATTAATAAAAGACACTTCCCCAGAGTAGACTGAAAACCAAACTAAATCAAGAATAAGTCCGACTCCAATGATGTTATTTCACTTGATATAACCGTGTGCATAAGCATGTGTAAGCATTCCTGTCTGTTGGTTAACAAGCAGACAGCATTTTGACAACTTAACTAGAGAGAATTTTGCCTCAGCACCAAAGATTTTCTGCCAACCACAGCAGGAGTAGGATTTTAGGTAATCTGGATAAGCCTGCTGCATTAAAGAGCAGTGCAGCATTAGAGCGGTGAATCATGACATTTAACACACTGAACATTATGACCTGCTGACCTTCATGTCTGCACAAATAATTAAACGGAAACATCTCCTGTCATTTAACCATTACATTGGCTTTAATAATAATTGTAATGACCAAAGAACATAGACAAATGCCACACCCTGACTGACCCATTGACACAGTGCACACCTTCAGATTTCCATAATAATCACATCCATAATGCACTGGACAGTCCAGTCAATGAATCCATAGGGAAGGAAAAGACAATGAACCACATCTGGGCCTGTGGTATTCAGAACAAACTGGATCAAGGTAAAATGTATAAAATTCCCTTTATGTATTGATATTTTAACATTTATACAAACATTGAAACAATATCAGGCTCTCTGGTATATTTCTATTTTGGACTACAGCAAGATTTTGACAAAAAGTTGCATGATGACTTTAACTACTGAGTGGAGTTTGCATGTTCTCCCTGTGCCTGCGTAGGTTTCCTCCGGGTACTCCGGTTTCCCCTACCACTAAAAATATGTACAATAGGTCTGGCATGCGCCTCCTGTTCGGCGACCCCGCTCCCATCTCTGTGTGGAGTGAGAGGACAAGTGCACAAAAAAAATAAAAACAATAAAAACAATAATAACAATTGTAAACCGCTTTGTGACTCTGGTCTGTGAAAGGCGGTATATAAATAAAGCTTACTTACTTACTTACTTACTGGCTGCAGTGCAGAAAAATTCCGTAAAAATAAAGAGGAAAAAGTAAAACTATATCAAGAATAATATGTATTATTTCAGTCAATATTCTAAAGTATAACATTCTTGCACTTTAAGTTTAAGCTACATTGAACCAAACATGTTGGCTCATTTCTGATGGGCAAACTGCAAATTTAGTCAATACCCCCCACCCAGAGACCATTTAATTCAATGGAGAGAGGTGACTTCATCCACTGTCTGAGCATCAGCTGCGTCCTCCGCCTCAGCCTGCTCCCCACCCAAGCCCTTAATGTGGTTATAGAGAGGAAAGCCAGAGAGAACAAAGAAACACTGTCAAGATTTCAATAGAGCACAAATCTTAGAGTTGTACATCTATGGAAAAAGAAGAGAGCAGTCTCTGGAAAACTAAAAAAAAAAAAAGACAAAGAAAAAAAAAAGGCATTTACATTACATTATACTTGGATATGTCAAAATGCATCGATCATGACAGCTGGATAAGGATGTCAAAGCATGTCACCCTTCATGATCAATTATCCACTGCCACACCCTTGCCTCACTGCATGCACATGTAGGCTTACTACCAACACCCAGCCAAGAACACTTTGAATGGAATCAATACAATAATTTGGCAGCCATTTGTGGAAGGAACAAAAAGCAGTCTTCCAAACAGACTCAACCACCCAAAAAACACAAGTTATATTTCAATGCAAAAAAATGTGCATTGATCTGGCTGTATAGTAGAGAATAGGTCATTTCCGTTTTTTGATACAATCTCAACTTTTGTAGTTTAAATGCAAGCAAGATAGTCCACACCCACTTTTTAAGCACTGTATAAACCAGTGAAGATATGTTCAAAAATGTCCAAAAACGATATTTATCATTTATCTTGTGTGGTTTTGACTATTCACATTGACTTACTTGAATTGACTAAATTATATGTACTAACAATGTGTCTGGAGACAATTTCTCCAATTTAATGTAGATAGATGTGAGATTGAGGATGCTTACCTTGGCACCAATCTGGTTACCACACTGGCCTGCCTGGATGTGCACAATCTCCCTCATGGTTGAAAAGATAAGTGTAAAAACAGTGTGTAAAAAGCGTGAAATCGAGGAAGACCAGCAGCAGCAGCAGCAGCGGTGAGTACGTGGTTTGGACAATGACTTTATATCACTGGAAAGGGTCCAAAGCCGGCGAGGGGGCGTGTCCAGACCGGAGCTCAGAACGGGCCTCTGTGATTGGTTCAGGAGGGTGGTCGGGGAGGGTCCAGTCTGGTGGTGATGTCATAGGAGGGGCTTTTGCTCTCTGTGTGATGAATTGGTTGTATTGTATTCAGTGACTATTATAATCTAATATGTTGCATCATGTGGCTGTATCAGGGGAGTTTTTAGGTTTCAGAATGGTGGGCAACTGGACGTTGGTAAATAATACATATTACAGGTATTCATCTAGTCTGCATTTATCTTTATTTATTTTGTCCCCCCTGATGTCACACAACATTTCTAACCTCTGCTCGAACTATGAGCAAAATACAACAAAAAGCTCTGCTCTGACAAATTGCTCAACGACTCAACCACAAGTACAAAGTATAACTGAATTTTACTAAGACTGAACCCCGCGGGGCACTATGCAACCATTCTGATGAGGTTATGGATATAGTATTAGAAATGCATGCTTGGTTTCAAACTTAATGTATATTCTATAAAAAAATGTGTACTGAAAAAATAAATGCCTTAAATATGTTAGTACTAATATATGCATGTAGATAGGTTTAATGCCATTACTGTGGAACATTTCAAGAAAAATAACATTTTGATCAGATCAGGCAGAGCACTTTTAAATGGCCAGCTGCTGATTCATATCATCGTCCATGGTCAAATTATGCTCCTCAAACAAATCTAGGTGGTTTTAACAAGAGGAGGTAATTTTCTAAATACAATCTTTGAAATACTTTTGACATAAAGCTGGTATACCCAACTTTCAAAACACACAAAAAATCAAATAAGTAAAGTCCATCTGATTAGATTCTCGCTCTTAAACAGTTTATCACTACCACTAGTGCCTTGTCACTCGTGATAGAGAGTGATACAATCTTCAGCCATGGATCTAGTCTTCAGCATGTGTTTTCTAATAAGACGAAGACAGTATGTTGTGACTCCTAATATACAAAAGTGTAGTAATAAGTTAGGTACCCCAGCTTTAAGATTGTCCAATAGGACTGTTCCACATGTCGATAGTACTTCCCTAGAGTACAAATCTGTTGGTCTCCTTCTCTCTTGTGTTTCCTTCTGCATAAGCTCCAGCAGATGTCACCAAACCCTGGTCCTGGGCGAGGGGCGTGTTCATCCTGCGCTTACCCAAACAGACATTTTCACCATTCTTCTTTTGACGGGAAACGACCACTCGATAGTAGCAGATTCACCTAAACATCCACCTCATATCGGTAAGTTATTTTTTACAAAGAAAACCACAGATGAAACGTGGAATGTTTTTTGCGCGTAAATGTTGCGTAAATGGTGAGATTTGTACCAGAACTCGCTTGGCACAGCCCCGCTACTACAGCTACTACTGCTAGTACTGCTACTATTGCTAGTACTGCTACTACTGCTAGTACTGTTACTACTGCTAGTACTGCTAGTACAGCTACTATAGCTACTACTGCTAGTACTGCTACTACTGCTAGTACTGCTACTACTGCTAGTACTCTTACTACTGCTAGTACTCTTACTACTGCTAGTACTGCTAGTACAGCTACTATAGCTACTACTGTACTGTTAATACAGCTACTACAGCTAATGGTAGCTAGCACGAGTCATGTTTATGTTTACAGTGCCTTGCGAAAGTATTCGGCCCCCTTGAACCTTGCAACATTTCGCCACATTTCAGGCTTCAAACATAAAGATATAACAATTCAAATTTTTGTCAAGAATCAACAACAAGTGGGACACAATCGTGAAGTGGAACAAAATTCATTGGATAATTTAAACTTTTTTAACAAATAAAAAACTGAAAAGTGGGGCGTGCAATATTATTCGACCCCCTTGCGCTAATACTTTGTAGCGCCACCTTTTGCTGCAATTACAGCTGCAAGTCGCTTGGGGTATGTCTCTATCAGTTTTGCACATCGAGAGACTGGAATTCTTTCCCATTCTTCCTTGCAAAACAGTATTTTAAATTTCTATGTATTTATTAAGGGCAAACAACATGTGCATTTAACTAGGATTTAGGAAAACACATTTTAATTAATAATCTTAAATGATCTTCAGTATTTATCAAGTGGAATAGTATTTATCATTCTGGAATACTTTGTAGAGATTTGTCAATCAAATGGAAGCAATACATCCTGAGTGTGGTTTATAACAGTATTACTCTCCATTAATTCCAAACTAATAAGTGAAAATTTTTAAAACTATTATTTTTAAGTAGTCTACACACAAAACGCTGTATTTTGTTTTAGTTATGCAAGTCGTCAATTTGTGTGTGTGGTTGTGGCCACTCTGCGTGTGCACGACTGCAGGGGAAGTTCTATAAGGTACCTACCCCCTCCCCTCTCTCCACGAGAAAGCCTTTAAAGATCTGTGGCACTATGATTGACACAGTCATGTGCCAGATTCTTGTACCACAATAGGTCGCACTAGTACACATTAGGACACACTCCTACACATTAGTACATACTAGTACACACACGTATTATAGCTGTACATTTACCTCGCGCTGTTTTACTTTACAGCTCAGCATGTTTTACACTTGTGGACCAAATGAAGCCATGGTGGTGTCTGGTAAGTTGCAACCATATTTGTTATAATTTTATCAGGCCATTATGTTAATGATTTCCATTGTGGATAACTGGATTGAACTGAATTGGGATGGGCCAACAATACCACAGTCTCACAAGAGGAGAAAACATTATGATTCCCTAAAGAGAAGACACGTAATTGTGTCGCAATAAATATGATGTGGATCATGAGTGTGAGTAGACAGTGTATAGGGATGAGGCAGCAGAGAACAGCTTAATAGAGCCTGCAATTCCATTGCTTATTTCATTTAAAACAATTATTTTGATTAAAAATACTTTTTAACACAATTCATATGATTCAAAAACGATTACTCTATTAGATCGTTTACCGCTATATCTTTCTAGATTACATGTGCACTATTGTGCACAGAAGTGTAATGTGATCTCGTGTGGCATTCTCTTCCTGTGTGTTTACATTTTGGCTTGGACAAAAAATGGGCTGAACGCTAGCAAGTAGCACATTTTGAAATTATAGTCTCAAAAAGTATGTAATCAACAGATATTGTATTGTGTGGTCAAAGTTGTTCTGAACATTGCTTTCAACATATTTTCTGAAGATTTGATAAAAATACATTATTAAAATGGGCAATAATACAATTTCCCCCTCAAATCATGTCTTGTACTTGTGCAGCCAATCATGTCTCGCCCCAAACACTTGATCAAATTAATTGATCATCTTTTTCACTGTGAGTTTGTTTCGACACATGGGGACTTCACAGATGACTCAATGAACCAGAAACATGTGATTAATGAATGACCTTTCACTTTGTTGTTACTACACATATTTGCTGCAGAATCCGTGGCGCTGCAGTTAGACTTGTTACTATCCATTCCATAGTGCAATGTAGTGACAGATACATGATTTATGTCAGTGATACAATCGCCCGCAATTAGTATAATATCTATAACCTTTTTCAAAATACATAACATTGTGACAACAGCAAAAAAGAAATCCCAACTTGCACAATGTGATGTAATTAAGTAATGATTTTTCACAATACTTTTAATAAGATAAGTGGGGAACTGTGAATGTCATAGTTGTGCACATTACAGCAGATTATCTTTAATATGATTATCAAGCAGGTAAGGATAGATCTGCATAGTAACTTATTGTATTTAATGCCTTGTGTGTAATTTCAGGCATTCATTCTGATCATCCTTTATACAAGTAAAAATGATTATAAAGTGCTTGTATGTTTTTTCTACTTAAATGTTCCTTTGTGCATTAACAGGCTGTGGCCGGTCTCCTCCACTGATGATTGCTGGAGGAAGAGTGTTTGTGTTGCCGTGCTTTCAGCAGATCCAGAGGTGACACTTTTACTGCTGCTTTTGGACTTTCTGAGTTTATATAAAAAGTGGTTTTATATTTGTACTCTTAATTGTCCTAGAATAACTCTGAACACTATGACGCTGAACGTGAAGAGTGACAAAGTCTACACGCGTCACGGTGTCCCCATCTCTGTCACTGGAATCGCTCAGGTCATTTTCTATTCATTACTAAACTGGTTCAAATAGATTGTTTACTCATGTATACCTTGACATAGTAATTATTAGTATGTTTTTTTTTGCACCTGGCTCACGCTGCACATATTGGATTGCGGTCTCTGGCAACTTTAGTCCTTCTAAGCCGGGCCTGCAAGACCATGTGTTCTTGCAGTAATTAAACCAGGGCTGGGTGGTGGCCAAAATAGCTTCCAACAGAAAAGATCTGGAGCTGGGATTTCTGGAGTTGGTGTGAAGCAGGGGTTTGGGTAAGATGCTAAAGCTATGGATGACGTCATATATTTTAGGAAACTTAAAGAAATAGGTAATGGTTATTGAACTGTATCTTTTTTTTTTTGCTGGTCCGGACAAGTTGTTCCAGTGGTATTGAGGGAAGGGTCAAATCATATCTAAACTATATAATAATATAGATTTTAGTTTGTTTTTGAGTAGAAAATGAGCTATTTGAATAAGGTGCACTATTATCATCAATGTGCAGGTGAAGATCCAGGGTCAGAACAAAGAGATGCTAGCGACAGCATGTCAGATGTTCATGGGGAAGTCGGAGGGGGAAGTTGCTCAGATCGCCTTGGAAACACTGGAGGGTCATCAGAGAGCTATCATCGCTCATCTGACTGTGGAGGTGAGCTCAGGGCTGCTCTGCTTCAACCTATGTTTGTTTTTCTGGTTCTGTAATCAGAACTGAATCACTGTACTTTTTCTTAGCTTTGAATTTTCACTTCATGCACAAAAAACCAGACCACACTTTTCAAATCAGTGTTATTTTTTTATTTCTCCATCTGTGAAGTGAATTTTTGCTCTGCATTGTATTGTGCCATTTGACTAAAATAACTACCCAATTATTATTTGCTAATGGCAACTCGTACGATTTGTTCCCTAAACACTCTTCTAAGATAAGGGATTTGTCGTCAAAGGTAAAATCAGCTAATTACTGGCTGATTCTCCCTCACTTGGATATACTGTATTAGACTACAGTATTTCAAGAGCCTTTAGCATTTTATTCTATTTACAAGTTCGAATCAGTATTTGTATTTTATTACATCAAATCTCATTTCAATTCTGTCTATATATTTAGATCATCTGTACTTCAATTAGCAGGTCTTATTTTATTTTTAAGTTATTTCTTAAGTTATTTCTGTCTGTACTTCTATGTTCTCTATCTTTCTAATATTCAGCTCTCTTTCTCTCTTATTTTTCTGTAATAAAAACTCCTGCCTCTAAAAAAGGAAATGAATGTATGTTAATGTATTTGTGCACAGGAAATCTACCAGGACCGTAAGAAGTTCTCTGAGCAGGTTTTTAAAGTGGCCTCGTCCGACCTGGTGAACATGGGAATAGGTGTCGTCAGCTACACTCTGAAGGACGTCCACGACGACCAGGTGACAATATGATGGATAGTTCATGTAGAATTATTATTATTATTAAGTGTTACCAAGAGGGATGTACTGAACGGACATACAGTGCTTTTGTTTTTGAGTTTAACTTAAAAATGAAAAACTTCAGAAATCTGCCTGAATCTGTTTCAGTGAGCTCTTATTCTTTGCTTAAAACAATCCACCTACCTCACAGATGTGGCACATCAAGATTCTGACTATGCTGAATGAATACTGCACAGGTGCCTTTTTACCATTATAGAAGGCAGGTCTAAAATGTTCAGTTTTTTGGGGAGGGTCAGAAAACCAGTCAGGATCTGGTGAGACCACTGCTTCCCTCACGCAGAGCAACACGTCTCCTTCACAAAGTGGATCAGGCTGTTGATTGTGGCCTGTGGAAGCTTCCACATACACTTTATCTATTTTATTTCATTTACAAAAGCTTTGTTGCACAGAAGTGAGCAGTAAAATAAAACTAGCAAACCAACTGACAACACAAATTGGATTAATAATTTAGAAAAGTGCTTTCATTACAACTTTCTTGCCTCGAGTATTTGGTTAGTGTGTTACTTTGACATTTGATCATTTTGATGTACATTGAACTCAATAAATACTGAACTTGAAATGATGTGAACATTGCTCTGAAGGCGACAATCCTTTTAGAATTTGAAAACATGTAAAATCTATATTAGGCTTATTTTATTTTAAATATGAATAATACTTTTCGTACCATATACACTGTATATATATATATTAGATATGCAGTTAACAATATAAAGACAGTTACTGTTAATAGATTACTCAATTGAGCAGATCATAGATTAAATAATCCTTGGGTCCAGCCCTCAGTGGAAATCCTTAAAGTTTGTTTTTTCTGTAGTCCTGATTTTGTGGATTATCTGAAATAGGTTTTAAGAGAATACATTCTGGAATGAGAACTAGATCATAAAAAGTAAGGACAAAGCACTTTCAGATGATTGGTGCTTTTTGGAAATAGATAATAGATGTGTAGCAAATAGAATTTTGAGTTGCCAAAAGATAAACAGGCTGACCAAGGACATGATGGAACTCCAACTGTTTGAAATTCCCTGGAGTCTTTGGTCGATTTATTTTATGCAGGAATTAAACTCTTCAGAATCCTAATTCAATGGCTTTGTATATTTTTTGCATTGAATTTAACACATGATTGGAGTGAGTATGTACATTTAATATAAAACATAAGCACAAATACTGTATGTAGCTACGACAAGATCTAAGCGCTAACAGGATGCAGTCAGCGCTCTGTGGCGGGTAATAGGACAAGCTCTCAGGCAATAGATATTGATTTAGTCCAGAGAATGACTTCATGAAGCAAAGTGGTCTGAGGAGGGAGCTGTGGTGACTCACAATCAACTCATGGAACATTCCTAATTCATTTAAATGATGATTTAAGTATTTATGTTTTTTACTTTGGATATTACAAATAGTTCACATTAAGGATTGTGTTTGGACAAAAGCCAACAATAAGGAAAAAAACAACAACAATTACAAATGGCATAATTTGAGTTAACTAATTTTCTCTACTGGATTATAAATATTACATAATCTACAGTTGTTCCTTCTGTAGTATTGGTGCTAAAGTAGTTTGAAGTTGCTCAGATACCTGTATTTGTATGTAAAAAAAGTTTAGATATAAATACATTTATACAAGTTATAATCAATATTATTTGTTTTATAGTAAGATTATATTATAGTGACTAAACACCAAATCAACTTTTTTTTATCTCATAAACTGCATAAATATGTTTCTTATAGTGCTCTCTACATGTCCAGGTCAATTGTTTGACATATTATTGAAAATGTTGAGCCTAAAACTTGTGTGGCACTACATTTGAATTTGGTCAAGCGACAAGCGAGCTGTCAATCACAACCCACAAAAAAAAAATCCAACTCTAAGCCCCCCTTCTTGTCCCCATGGCAACGCCCTTATTAGAGAATTTTCAAATGTTCATGTGGGCGGAGAAAAGCTGGGCACTGGTGTTTAGTTTTCCTTTAAATGTTGTTGTATATGTGTTTATTTTTAGACTATATGTTTTAATTCATTGAAGATTCATTGTTAATAAATGCATGTTGTATGTTTGTAAAAGTGTGGCGTTAGATAAGGAGCCTTTGTGGCTTAGAAATATATTGTAAAGAATTTTATGTCTCCTGTGTCTAGATACGTATAGTTTTGTCTTGTGTATCCAGATATATCGTATCGGTAAGTTCTGAAAGATACTTGCCTCTAATTAATGTGAATGTTGTTTCCAGGATTACCTCAACTCTCTGGGAAAAGCCCGGACGGCTCAGGTGCAGAAGGACGCCCGGATCGGAGAGGCTCAGTACAAAAGGGACGCTGTCATCAGGGTAAAATACACTGTTCATCATTTATGTTTTCATTAACAGATAATTGTTGTTTGACTGTGAGGAGAGCTGAAGCATTTTTACATGAGAACTATTAAATATTCTTTAAAAGGCACTTGGTCATGATTTCCTGCTGTGGGCTTCATTCTCAAAACAAAGATGTATATTTGTTGGTTGATTTTAATTGTGATTATTTCCAAAGCAATTAACAACCGTTCATTTTGAAGCTTATGGCAACTATCGATTGATAATTTTTAAATAATGTGTTTAACTAGAAAAATGTAATTGACTTTCTGCCCACAGGAAGCCCACGCCATGCAGGAGAAGGTCTCGGCTCAGTACAAGAATGAGATCGAGATGGCCAAATCACAGAGAGATTTTGAGTTGAAGAAGGCTGCGTACGACATGGAGGTTAACACCAAGAAGGCCGAGTCAGAGATGGCCTACCAGCTCCAGGTACAAGATCTGTTATGTCTCATCATAATAACAATCATAAAAATCATAATCATAAATACAAATTGCTTAAACATGTCATAACCTGGCTCAATAGAAATGACAGAACACACCAAATAAGATAAGATAAACTTTATTGATCGCACAATGGAGAAATTTACAAACAGTTGCCAATTGAAATCTGTGGAGAGTTTGTGCGGGTGTATGTGATGTGAGAGTATGTCTGCAGTGATGAATGGTGTGTAGAAAATAACCCAAAAATGAAGGCAACTAAAACCAACCAAAGCTAACCAAATCAAACCAGAGCAAACCAAACCTAAGGAGGTGGGCATGCGGGTGGCACCTGGGAAGAAAGGCTTTGTTTCAGCGGCCGTAACAAACAGTAATAACCATTAGTCTCCGGTCATCATAATCCACCCCTTGGTTTGGTAAAATGTAATTAGAAAATCCCAATACACAATCAGTTTGTTTCAAGATGTATATTGAAAGTCTAAAATGTGGAGTTGAAGCTATTTTTCAGACTTTGTACATTGAAATAACTGTTAACCAAAGCCCCTCATTACAGAAAGGACATGTTGGGTTTAAAAGTACACCACCTTTGCGTGTGTTCAGGTGGCGAAGACGAAGCAGCGCATCGAGGATGAGAACATGCAGGTGCAGGTGGTAGAGCGCTCGCAGCAGATCATGCTGCAGCAGCAGGAGATCATCAGGAAGGAGAAGGAGCTGGATGCCAAAGTCAAGAAGCCCGCAGATGCAGAGAGATACAAGCTGGAGAAACTGGCCGAGGCGTACCGGTGAGCACGCTCTCCATGCAACTATACAGCATGTGTATGAACTCATGTGTATGAACTCATGTGTATGAACTCATGTGTATGAACTCATGTGTATGAACTCATGTGTATGAACTCATGTGTATGAACTCATGTGGATTACTGTACATCCATCCATCCATCCATTTTTGAAAAACGTATCCATTGCTGGGTCGTGGAGGCCGAGCAGAGACACTCAGACTTCCCTCTCCAGACACACTTTCTCCAGCTGAGAGACATAATCACTCAAACGTGCCCTGGAAATATTCTATATATCATCGTTGATCATTTCCATCTTGAAGATTTGAAGTGGTGCAACATTCTGAAATGCCACAGTTTGAGTCAATGATCTTGTATTGACTCAAACTGTGGCATTTCTATGATGATGCATCGCAATTGGTAAAAACAAAACAAAAAACACAAACGTTTTTGACATTGGTGTCAAGGGCACTGCTGGAGTGACGAGCGTAACAAAGGAAAGACTTTTGATGCCTCTTTGAACTATGCATTATGGATATTTACAGGTCACCAAATGATAATTGCTGAAGCTCCTAGTTATTTTTAATGTCTTTACGTGACCTCTAGTGATTCTTTTAGCACCCACATTATATATTGTTACATTCTTGAAAAAGTCCACAGTATTGCATAAATCCCTGGTAAAAAAACAAAACGTCTAAATCGCCCTAATGTTAAGCTCTACAATACAGTCTTCTAGAGGGATTTTAACCTGCTTTCCTCCTTTTTCAGTCTGCAGCTCATCATGGAGGCTGAGGCTGAGGCAGAGTCCATCAAGGTGACTTCTTGCTCTTATTTCCTTTTTCAAATTTGACTTCTAAATGTATTTCTTGTATGACCCTGAATTCGTCTGCTCAGTATTAAAAGATTGGTGTTTGTGAATGCAGATGAAGGGAGAGGCTGAGGCTTTTGCCCTGGAGGCTAAAGGCAAAGCCGAGGCCGAGCAGATGTCCAAGAAAGCAGATGCCTTCAAACAGTATAAGGAAGGAGCCATGGTCGCCCTGCTGCTGGAGAAGCTTCCACTGGTCAGAGCTGTTCATACATGACGTATATCTTTATAAGACTGCATTACTGTAGAGTTGCTTTCAGCTTGATTGTGTTAGACTGAGGCCCAGAGACTGATCCATTGTCAACTGAAAACCAGTCTCATTACGTTTAAAACAGTTTTAGTCTTAATCCATAGTTATCCAGAAATGTATGTAGTATTGGGTTTTGAGCTTTTTCCATTCACGTGATGGTGAATCATATATTTTTTTTCTCTCAACCATGACAAGTTCTCACTTATAATCCCACTGTGCTTGACACTAAACTAGACAAGTCAGTACTTGCCTTTTCATTTGGAAAATATAAAATGCACTATTCTACTATTCTACACTACTTTTTTACATTTGCAGTGATCCTTCAATTTCTAGCTCTAAAAACAGGGATAGCCAGATTTGTATAATACGCAATTAATTAGAGGGGGCATCCCTATGATCCCCAGCCGCTGTTCCCTGTGGGTAAGCAATTAAGTAAGTAATCTTTTGGAGCGGGAGGCGCCATGTCAGACCTATTGTAAACTCCATACAGTAAGGCCTGGAGGTGGAATAGAACCCAAAACATTCTTTGCTGTGAGGTACAAGGGCTAACCACTGCGCCAGGGGCCTGTGTGCTGTAACACCGTCCGTAAACTCTTCTTAGAGTTGGAATCATGTTGATGGATATGCACATATATGCACACATAAGAGACACTTTTTTTACTCTCAAAAATTAAAGGCCTAATTCTTGTCATTGTGACGTCAATTTTAGGCTGTTGTTGCAATAATTGATGTTTTGGTTGTTTTGTGATAGCTGACGAGACATGTTCTATTTAATCTGCTCTTTGTTCACTTGTGGACCTTTTTTAAGAAAGACACGTTCCACTCAGTCACAGTTTTTCCTGCACATGCGATTGTTGTTGTTTCCTGCCTATGTGCAAACCAAAAGACGTCTCAGATGTTGCGCAACCCCTCAAAAGTTCACAACGCTCAAACACTGCGGATTCTGCACTGATCACCATGGGAAACATTTACGCACCAACTGAGGAATATAGGATCCTCTGTGGGAGAACAGCGGGTCTGAGGAACAGCAATACTGGGCAACAATAATCATTTGCTGTTTGTAAAGGAAAATATGTCATCTAAAAATAGATGCCTTCTTAACGATAGGCTAATTTCTGCCGCTACAATTTAGATTTGAAGGGATTTAATGAAAACCAGTGCCTGTTCATTTGATGGTTTTCCTCATGATATATCTTGACAAAGTCCTGTGGTAAAAGTAAAACTTGATCTCCTTCTTCTCAGATGGCAGAGGAGATCAGCAAACCCCTGTGCTCGGCACAGAAGGTTACCATGATTTCAAGCGGAGGGTCTGAGGTGGGAGCGGCCAAACTGGCAGGAGAAGTGCTGGAGATTATGACCCGGCTGCCGATCGCTGTGGAGAAACTCACCGGAGTCGACATCTCTCAGGTTACAGCACTAAACTCTCACTGTGGCCAAATATTCAAGGAATAAACTTTTCCATAATAATGTTAACTGTGTTAACATTATCTATGTTATAATTGCATCCACCACTCTGGAGTTTGTTTGTCTGTGAGTAACATAACTCAAAGTTCTGGGAGGATTTAGATTAAACAATCTGGAAACTGTGCTGTGTCTAAGTCAGGGGTGTCATTCATACGGCCCGCGGGCCGGAACCGGCCCGCCAAGAGATTTGACACGGCCCGTGGCTCATTTATGTAAAAATATAATAAAGTTACATTTTAAAAAGCCGCTCCGCGACGCGAGGCTCCGCGCCGCGCTCAGGGGTGAGTCCAGTTCGTCTGTAGTGGCTCCACCAGAGCGGTGCTGAAGGAATAACATCTTAAACTACAAGACTCGGCGAAAAATACGGCACTTTGAGCGAAGAATTGAGAAAACGGAAGATAAACATGTCTGGCCCTGAAGACACAGCAGTCTGTTTGTGCCCAGAGCGAGAGGTTAGTTCTGCTGCTGTAAAGGGAAGCTACCTGTGCTAACAACATTAGCATTAGCATTAGCATCGCAGCCGCACAGTGAGAGAGAGTTTGTTAAATCTCTCTTACAGGCTGCAGACATGGTCTGAGAAACCACTCGCTTTTACCAACATGTTGCCATTGATAAGAGACTGATGTTACTGATGTCACATATTCATTTGTGGTGTTACTGAAACTATCAGAGGAGTTTTGAGCGCTGCTGCTGGTTCTGCTGTTGTTGCTGGTGTGTTGGACAGTGTGGACTGGTACCGATGGTAAAAACAGGTGTAGTGACAAAGCTGCAAATGGAGGTGATGATTTTTGGACATTTGACTGTATTTTACACAGAGACACTGCTGCAGTCGTTAAGAATAGATCACGTTATGGAAGTTGTTTTATTCATTTCAAGTGAATCATGGTCAGTTTGATGCTTTCTCTGTGATAATAACATAACCATGGACCTTACACACTGAAGATGGTTATTGTGATAATAACATAACCATGGACCGTACCACACTGAAGATGGTTATTGTGATAATAACATAACCATGGACCGTACCACACTGAAGATGGTTATTGTGATAATAACATAACCATGGACCGTACCACACTGAAGATGGTTATTGTGATAATAACATAACCATGGACCTTACCACACTGAAGATGGTTATTGTGATAATAACATAACCATGGACCGTACCACACTGAAGATGGTTATTGTGATAATAACATAACCATGGACCTTACCACACTGAAGATGGTTAATGTGATAATAACATAACCATGGACCTTACCACACTGAAGATTGTTAATGTGATAATATAACCATGGACCGTACCACACTGAAGATGGTTAATGTGATAATAACATAACCATGGACCTTACCACACTGAAGATGGTTAATGTGATAATAACATAACCATGGACCGTACCACACTGAAGATGGTTAATGTGATAATAACATAACCATGGACCGTACCACACTGAAGATGGTTAATGTGATAATAACATAACCATGGACCTTACCACACTGAAGATGGTTAATATGATAATAACATAACCATGGACCGTACCACACTGAAGATGGTTATTGTGATAATAACATAACCATGGACCTTACCACACTGAAGATGGTTAATGTGATAATAACATAACCATGGACCTTACCACACTGAAGATGGTTAATGTGATAATAACATAACCATGGACCTTACCACACTGAAGGTGGTTAATGTGATAATAACATAACCATGGACCTGACCACACTGAAGATGGTTAAGCTGAGGTGCTGTGTTTAAGTGCTTTTTTCTATCTACCTACTTTACCTTTGTGAGCAGGTTTTCTCTGTAATGAGCCTTAAAACAAAGCTAACATACAAATATTAATATACATATTGTGAAATACCATTTTCAATGTAATATTGTAAATACATTACATTATTTGTACTATGGAAAACTCACTGTTACATTTAAGTTTGTAACAGAAAACTGAGTATTAAAGGACAGTGTTTTAAAGGAAGTTTTAAATAAATGTGTTTATGTGCACAAAAAGTTGGACTTTGTACCGTTTTTGGATATTTTTGTAGAGCATCTCCTGGTCCGGCCCACTTGAGATCAGATTAGGTTGTATGTGGCCCCCGGACCAAAATGAGTTTGACACCCCTGGTCTAAGTGAACAGGTGATTTCTGAGTTGATCTGAATCATTGGAAGCAGAGAGTAGGCCCGGAACTGCGCCTCCAGGTGGAAGTCTGCATCAGTGCTTTTCTTGTTACTTCCTGCAGTCTTCCTGCAGGAGAGAAAGCCATGCCTTTTTTAAACTGTGTGTCATTATGGTTAAGATGCACTTTATTGCCCTTTATTGAAACTGACTCAAGTACTTTATTCACATTCACGTGTAACACATTCTAGAATATTTCCACAATGCAAAAACGTAAAGGCAAAATGCAAAGATCGGGCTTGAGCTCTGCTGTGTTCTAATCAGGTTACTGCTCAAATTGCCTCTTATTAATCAAATTATAATTCCGCCCTCTGCTGGTGTGGTGCTCTTTTTACAGAAACAAAGGCCCAAAGGCTTTCTTATATTTACCTTTGTTTTATGCTTCAAAATAAAATAAAAACACATAAGGATTTTAAAGTTTGGACGGTCTGCTTCATTATTGTGTCTTCAGTTCCAGTTCATTTGAAAAATTAATTGGGATTTTTGCATTTCATAAACTCGCCACCTGCAGCAGGATCAGTGAGGGGCTGGTGCTCTGTGTGCCGGGTGCAGCTCTGACTGACTGACACCCGCCCAACCACTAAGTGACTTGTGCCACTTAGTGATACTTGATCAGCCAAAATACTATAATATGAACCGTGAAACTGAAGTGTCCAGTCAAATATGCCAGTGTGTGTCCTCTGTGCCATAATTAGTGCTTCTTTTAACCCTAAAAGGCGGCTGTATTTGGCTCCACCAAACTTACTTTTCGTCGTTTCTTACAGGTCACTGGAAAAACACACTAAGAAGAGGAGGGTAAAGATTTGCTCCACGTGCCTATTATCAAAACTAAACTGACTGACTGTGGAGCGACTTAACCACTGTTATGTGTGTTTGCATGTTTCATTTATATCATCTGCTCTGGTCACTCTTAAAGAGGAAACGAGTACTACTTTTATTCATTTAAAATACTACTTTTAACAACGAGCGGTAGAATTTGTTTTAACAATTTTATACAAATTACAAATCATTTTTTGTTACATAGTTTAGCCTACTTTTTTCATCTACTTTCTGTGGGTGTTTTAAGTAAGTTAGTTCCTATTTCTACGCCATAATCCATGGATCAGGGGTGTCTTGTGACTTGATGTTATTGTTATTCAGAATGAGGTCAGAGGAAGTGGGAGACTTTAGGGGCTTTGGATTTCCTGTTTGATGCAATGAAAGTGAAATGAAAAGTTGTGCTGCTGAAGGGTGCTGTTTATTTGTGGCTTGCCCCATTTCTGGCTCAAATCACTCATTCCTCAGACGTCAATCCACCTCTGGACATGATTGACGGCTGAAGGGTCCAGTGATCAGCAATGGGACCTGGCCTTTTTGTTTTATACGCCAATGGCTAACCACAATTCATTCATGTGTTGTATTAGTAATGAGTAGAATTATTTTTTATGTACTGAATGATTTTTTCCCGTTTGTGTGGACAGTTCCTGTACCGGCTGCTTGTGTTACATTTTCTATCCAAAGGTTTTTTCTGCTGCCGAAGCCTTATGCATCACTTAACCGCCAAGTGCCTGGTTTCAAACACTGGTCGGACTTATCAATGCAAGAAAATGACTCCATGTGTTAAAAAGAGAAACTGTCAATCAACGACTTAAATTCAGAATATTTAAAGGTGGGAATAATTACGAGAATATGTTATGTAATAAGTTTTCTACTTACCGGTACATTCATTTTGAGTTTGTGCTCTCAATCAGTTGAATGCCAAGAAATGCTATATGTTCAAGATAAGATAAACTTTATTAATCTCACAATAGAGAAATTTACAAAGTGCAGTTACCTGAATTTCTATAATGACAAATGTATTCTTAATGGAAAACCAAGATGAAATATTCTGAATTTAGGTCGTTTTAAAGCTTTCTGGAAAGTTTTTTCTGACCCAAATCAGTAAAAGCCATCGACCGCTGCTTTTCCTATCTCGAGTTTAGTTTGTTAACTGCTCTTTATATATGAAAACCTAACTGCATGTTGTAAAGTTGAATGTGATAAATTGTTGTGTACATGTCAATATAAAAACACATTTAAAATACTGTAGACAATAAATATACTTTTCACTGACTAACCAAAGCTGCGTTTTGGAATTGGTAACTTTATTAAAACAACTACAAAAAATGGACAGCACAACGCTTTGTTCAATAGTATCAAGGTAGCAAGCGCTCTATAGAGTTACAGAAGACCCCACATGTAACCGATACATTTCATATATTATTAGTAAAAGAAATTAAAGTTGTCCTTAAAATATGTACAGCTTCAAAAATGACGGACAACAAGGAGTGTCTAAGTTCATTAGAAAAATACGGGTAGAGTTGTTTTACAGTGTATCCAAACAAGACAAGAGCCACATCCATTCACGGGCAGTAAACACAGTCTCATCACGAGTCAAAACAACTGATCTGATGCGAAAATTATATGATTGTGAATTCAGAGTTATGGAAACATTTGCTGTATTTACTATTTATTCAATCTAAATTATATGGTCTTTTTTTTCAGTACGTTTTCCTCTCATTTGAAGGTGCACTGCAAAACGTTTCTGGTTCCTGAGGTACACTCCTACTGGAATGCACTGTACAAATTGATTATTACATCGGGTCTGCTCTCCTCTCCACATATATGAACCGTAACTTAGTGGTGTTAGTTCTTATCTTATATACAACAGTTTGACCCAAACAAAAGAGACTTTCAAGTTCCACCAGAAAAGTTCTGTTGTGCACTTTTCAGGCAGTATGTTCCACCAACACAGACTGCTTTTTACATGAAGTGGTAAAAACTATTACATCTTATTAAACTGGATGTTGAAATAATAGTTAAGTAAATACTGGGTAGTACCATACTGCCTTTGAAAGTAGACATACATGGAAAATAGACATGGTTTATAACAGCTATTTCTGGTTAACATTCTTTTATAGTGTTAAGTCTTAAATGAAACCAGACCATTTAATTCAAAACAAATAATTAAGGCCACACTATCATAAACTACTCAAGAAATATTCAGTTTTTGTAGTGTATCACCACTTAACACATCCCAGGTCATTCACAGTTTTGACATTTCAACGCTTTCACAAAGTAATCCATTCTGCTATGAAGACACGTTTGGGTGATTAGTTTGACAACAAAAGTAATGTGTAACAAAGCCATTCTCTTCTAACAATATTTAACATCTTAAAGTTTGGCAAAGTCTTTACAAAAATGATGCTTTTTCTCTTACTGCCACATAAAAAATATTAATCCACGTTGACAGGAATCATAAGGGCATCATGGGCACCTGTTTTGTTTTTTTAAAGTGCAGTTGGTCAAGGAATTATAGTTTTATTCTGGTTTTCCCCCCAGATAGAAAACTGCCCGTACACACAGGCAGGGCCGCAGCGTTCCAGTCCGTTTGCTTTCCAAAGTCTTTGCCGTTCGTTAGTAACATCTTGGCAACAGCGGCGTCTGTGTCCGTCTGGTGAATAATCCACTCCCCACAAGGAATTGTTTTTGTTTCGAGACAAAGTGGGAGTGATTTAGGTGATTTAATTTTTTCCAGTTTTCATGGAGGCTGCAGTGGTTCTTGGACTTTTCAAGCAAAGTACCACCTAAGAAAATACTTTGGCTTCCAAAGCACCACCATGTCTATATATTACGCCTTTTGAGTCCAACCTACCAGATCTAGATCATGACTTTTCCGGCATAAAGAAGGGTTCAAACAAGTCTTAAACACAACTGTTTCTACAGTAGTTCTAAATCATGATTAACCCAAAAGACAAAAAAAGTGGAATAAAATCACTCTGCAGAGGATTGTGTGTATCATCAGTGTGTGTTTGCACCACCAGTGGCACAAACCACAGTTTGAGAAACACTGCGGAGTTTGAATGGGTCAGCCAGTCAAAGTGGCAAAGATGGGATCAGTGAGTCCTCTAGACTTAAACTAACGGTGACATTAATATAATGTGCCTTGGGTATTAAACAAGGAGATGATACTGGCATTAAGAACCAAAATTCATATGTTATTAGTCTTCTCATTCTATATCGTCAGCTTTATATGAAACATACTTTTATGCCTTTGAGTAATGATAACGTTAACATTCCAAATAGCAGGACGTTTCAATGCACTGATTACAAATCAGATCAAAACAAAAATTAAAGGTTAAATTGTTGATTCAAAAGATACTAGCATGTTGGAACTACATAGCTTCTTTCATAAACCCTGTACCATTTGAAATGAAAATAAAGTTACTATGCAAAAAGCAAGAAGCGCCCACCACCAAAAATGTACGTTGTATTAAGTTTCCAGACGAACACCAGACCGGACCAGCGGTCTCACTCACTGCCCTGAACCCAGAACCCCTCACGCTTGTGCAGTACCCCACACCACCACCAGAGGACAATCACTCAGAGAAGCTCCCTACACCATGTTCATGGCGTCTTCTGTGAGAAAAGAGTGGATGTCGCTGAAGGAGGGCCGCAGTTTGCAGTCCCGGTTCCAGCAGCTCAGCATGAGTTCGTAGAGGCCCTGGGGACAGACCGCCGGCTTCGTCAGATACACCTGCAGCACAGGGACAGGATCAGAGTCTGTACTCGACACTTTCAACACTTTTACTACTTTAAAACTGTGACTCTGAGGAGGCACGTCACCATGGAAACAGAGTTAACATTACTGTTGTTTCTACTGTAAAGAGAGCTTAGAGAATGTGCAACAGTTTGAATATCTATGGTAAAGATTTCTTGTATACTTTGTAGAGCAATACAACATACTCAATGTTGTATTACAAGTAAAATGCACTTGTAGTACAAGTAATACAAGTTTATACAAAGAAACATTAAAAACAATGTGTGTATGTGTGTGACTGGACAGAAAGTATGAAAACCAGTTATGAAGAATACATCTTGTCATAATAAAAGACTTGTAGAACGTGCCATTGCTCCCGTCTAATTAGAGAATAGCAATATTACAGTCAACTAAAAGTAGATTTGGATCTAACTGACCGAATGCTGTGATAACAAGCACTAATTGAAACGAAAGATTGACAAAACTAATTTAGAGGATACACCTGTTTGGTATTTAGCTAGATGGAGCAGAAAGACGTGTTTTTTGTCAAGCAAGAAGATTTTGCATAATGTTTTGGTAGAATAAATATAAAGTATTAGTAGCCTTGCCTGTCTGCCCTGGTCTCTGAAGAACTCTCCTGCGTTGTCGATCACTTGTTCGTCTGTGAGCGTTGAATACGGCTGCTCCTGACACACGCTCAGCATCTCCCACAGAGTCACTCCGAACGCCCACACGTCACTGGCCGTGGTGAACTTACCCTGAAGCACAGCAGCGGCAGCTCTTATCAAGACTTTATCATTATCATTGTTATTTCTGCATGGTCGAGTAGCGGTGGATAAAGTGTCAAAAACAGACAGTATAATGTTTTTTTTAAAGGTTATTAAAGGTATGTTAGTAATTGTGACGGTCATCTGCTTGTTACCATGGAAATGTATTTGCTTGGAATGCTTGGCTCAAAAATTTAATAAAATAAAAATAATAACAACTTTGATTTTGAATAAAGTAAAAGATGATATTTGAAATCTAAATCTAAAATTAGGGGACAATACAACATAAATAATTAGTTTAATATGATAATTAAGTAATTGAATATGATTGGAATGTTTCTATGTATTTTATGAAAAGCTTATGCAGGAAGTGAACTTGAGGAAGAGTTGTTTTTGCTCTTGTGCAGTGGGGTTCTTAAATAAAATGAATAAATAAATAATGATCTTGCAAAGGGGTAACCAACGATTTCTTTATTCTACCACTCAACAAATCCTGAACTTGGGATGGGAAAGAGACATTCTGAGCAAAATACTGTAAGTGGAGCAATACGCGTAATAGAATATTATGGTTGAATGGAGATCATTCAACCATCTTTCTTGGGGAGATCAAGAAATCAAGGATTGAATGAATGAATGAATATGAAATGCTTCTGATATTAGCATGATTTATGGAAAAATAGGCCAATATAATGATACAAAATAGTAACCTACTCTGCCAGGAGAGCTGCTTTTCCACAAACCCATTACAATAAAGTATCTATCAGAAAGATCATTATCGCACTATTGATGTAATATCACAGTAATATCACAATATTGTATCAGTTATTGTTTCATGCATATTTGCAACAAAACAATGCCCACATTGGACCACACTCCTTGAACACTCACCATGAGGATGCACTCCCAGGCCATCCAGCGGATGGGCAGCACGGCTCGGCCCTGGATCCTGTAGTAGTCCCCCGCGTACAGGTTTCTGCTCATGCCAAAGTCCGCAATCTTGATCTGCCTCTCCCCCCCACAGTCATCCCCCTCCTCCCCCCTGTCCCCGCCCACCAGGCAGTTCCTCGTGGCCAAGTCTCGATGCACAAAGTTCAGTGAAGACAGAAACTTCATCCCAGATGCGATCTGACTGGCCATGGAGATCAGGGCAGGATAACTATGAAACAAAGGCACAGAGATCAGACCCAAGGGAAAACCATTGTTTTCCTTCATCTGTCACACATTTATTTCTCCACAACACAACAGCTGTGCCTTGTGTAACACAACTCTACATAATCGATTGGATTTGTTGCAGCCAATGTAGTTGTTTTCTAATGTCTTATCACTTGGTATAATTATAAGCATAACTATTTTATTGCTATATTTATTTATTTATTTCTTGGTTTAGATGCACTGCCTTAAATATCCAGTTGAAGGCGACTTCATTTATGTCATTCTCCTGCATGAGTGTGTACGGCACTCCCCACAATACACATCCACGCTTGTTATATTGCATCCCCCTAGATTTAAGAATAATAATTAATACATTGAAAAAGGAAAATATTGAATTCTGAAATATCTCTGAATATTCATATTTCAACGAATGAATAAAGGTGCATAATGATTCGTACTTGGAAATTAATCAATAAAATAAAAACGTTGTAATAACCTTCTAAACATCAAAAACAGCTAAAATTCTAAGTTTACTGAAACGTTCGGACCTAAACCAACACATTTATGAGTTTGTTTTAGCACAGTTATGATACAATGCCACATCATTATCTTAATATCTCAATCACTGTTCTCCAAAAACAAATCAACATATTCATTTACATCATAATGTAGATACATGCGTTCTGCGTGCCGTACCTAACAGTGGGCGAGCTGTGTGAGGGCCCAGATTTGTCCAGCAGCACTCGTTGGGACAGATACTGGTTCAAGTCTCCGCTCTCCATGTATTCTGTGACCATACACAAGGGGTCACTGCTGACACACACCCCCAACAGACGGATGATGTTGGGGTCCTTCAGCCTGGACAGGATCTTCACCTCCTTCAGGAAGTCATTTCTATCAAAACAAAAAATGACTGTTAATTTTTTTCAGTTGCATTTTCAGTGGTCGCAATAAGCTTATCGCAAATGTCACAATTATGAAGCTAATAATACTGCCTACATCAAGTGGTTTAGACTTGTATGATCAGAAATGCATGTTATGGATAGTTTTTAGTCTTGTTAGCACTTTATAATACCATCACAGTAACTAATGCCAAAACATTTCACTCTGGAGATTTTTGGAGTTCCCTTAGTTTTGACAAAATAATGTGTTATGTGTCTTATTTGGATTGAGATTAATACTCTACTGCAAATCCTATCACCTTAACAACAATCACAAAAATATAGCAAATAATATTTTAATTATTCTAACCAACAAGTATTGTCTGTTTACAATATACATATAACACACTATGCTTTACATTGATCATTTTTGACATTGTTTATGTGTGAACAATTTTACCTGGCATTTTTGGAGGCATCTGGGCGCAGTATTTTCACGGCGACCAGAAGAGGGCGCCCTTTCCTTACGTTGAAGGGGAACTCCAGGATTGGAAGGTCCTGAGGGTTCTCGATTTCACACAGATGCACCTTTTGCCACAAAACAGAGAGTCAACACTGATGGCACTACATCAGGACTACTACACTGAACAGCTCCAACAAACATTTGTTTTTCCTTCATGGGGAAAGAGATCATTATTTGTACATAGAAAAATGATATGGTTTTATCCTAATGTTTAAGAAAATACAGAAACATGCTGTGAGTGATCAGGAATGTGAAATTATGTTGTCGAGCTGATGATTGTTACACAAACTGATATCTGATACTATTCATATCAAATTCAGTATATTCCATTTGAGTTAACCACTTCACACATAGATTGAATTGAAGCTGAAATGAAGCTTCTCAGCTCTCATCAATAAGGAATGGAATAAAAATAAATACAAAAAGTATGTTTTAAAACACTGGAATATATTAACATGAATATATTTGTTATAAAGTGCTTGATGTTTTGTCCTTATTGCTGCATTCTTTAACTGTGTATATAAAATGACAGGTTATGTCTGTGGAGAGGCGACTCTTCTCGGAGTATGAAGTCAATATTTAAAGAACAAAATAGTTGAAGAAAAGCACTAAAAGCATTCACGCATCTGTCTACAAGCAGGTAGCGGACCCATCTTCAGAGTTTTTGTTGCTCATCGGCAAATATTGTAAACGTAAACTTCATGTTATAAAAAGCTAACCTGTACCTGTGCAACAAAATTAGTATTTTTCATACTTGGCGGCAGCAGTTGAATAAACCAAGAAATATATTAATCGTATCTCTCTGAAGATCAAATGAACCTTGTTCAAGGTCTGTCACTTTCTGTATTTCTGTCTTTATAGTTTGTTATTAACCACAATAATAATAAAAAGTGTAGTGCTAATGTTGCTAACTCTATTACCAAATCAGACTGTCCCCTGACATTTGTTAAAAGCCAAAGTGTGGAATGTGTTCATTTTATGTTGTTTCCATTTGAACCCTTTAGGCAGCAAAGTAGCAGGAATACTGCTGGACACATTCTATACCTGGAAAAGTGACGCAGCTTCACACAAACGTTTCCCTATGTCTCTTTATTTTATTTCTGTAAATTGACTTTAGGAGTCCTGTATGTGCTGTAAAGTTTCAGGACCACCTTTTGTCTGTTTCACATCACATTTCTGAAACACAGATCAGGTCCAGGCGGTGTAAGTCCCTGTCCATAATTGGAAACAGAATCTTTATCAGAATCCTCACCTCTCCAAACTGGCCCTCTCCTAGTTTCTCCTTGAATATGAGGCAGTGTCGTGGCAACTCAGGCAACGGAGTCGCGTCTGCCCCGGGGCTGGAGGAGCTCAGGGCGGGCACGGCGTAGGTGTTGTTGCCGCTGACGCCCTGCAGGCTTACAATGTCGGCCTCTGCGTAGTGCGGGACACTGGGGGGCATCGGCGGGGACACGGGCGGGGACAGAGCCGGGTATGGGGGGGCGCCCGGGTACGGAGGCGGCTCCTCGCGGCACAGAGGAAAACCTTTCTCCAGCTCCAGGTCCAGGGCACAGGCTGGAGATGAGACAGGCTTTAATACACTAGTCTCATTTATAGAGATTTCCTTAAGCCATTGTTTATACTTCTATAACTATATATAAAGCAGATAGATAGGATTGCATTAACATTACCATATTTATACTGTTTAGACGGCACATCAATTTACACATTATGATCCTTCAAGCTGGAGTATTTTTTTGATTCATTTATACATTTTGTTTGTCCCAAGAGAAAGAGTCTTGTTTAAATAACATTTTGTGAACAAAATAGAACTCAACAATCTGTCTTCTTCATTTCTTATTAGAACAATCCGACCTGAGTGTCGCTGGTCCTAAATGTGTCACTGAATAAAGCTAGTCTAAAGGTGTGGCTAAAAATACAAAAAAATAGTGATAGAACTAAACTTTTGAGTGTGATAGAAGTTTTGAGAGCAAGGGACTAGTTACAGGCACGTGCATTTTGTTACATAGTGTTTTGTGGTTTTAAAGTTACTATGTATTCCAGCTTTAAAGCAGCCTGCAATGTGACACAAACAGTTCAGAAGCATTGCTCTATCTTGGCAATTCTGCCGGCATCATTGTAGATTGACCAGTTAGATTTAGTTTTTATAGTTGATTTATCAAATTATTATTTTATTTAGAATATTGATTTAGTAAACTAACTAACTTTAGTAAACTAAAGTATTCCAGTACTTAGTATTTCCTAATTAGACTAATCTCTCAGTCCCACTGTTCTACAGTCTTGGTCTAGCCTTGTGGTGACTTACATTTGGAGGACTTTCTCTCTGGTGTAATGTAGAAAGAGGAAACTCGCCCAGAGAAACATGCTCCAAACAGAGCAAATCCTTCTTTCTGTGAGGCCATTTTCTGAGCCATCACTACCTTGGTCTGTGAAAAGCGCTGTGTGAATGACTCACTAACAATTAGTCCAGATTATGGTTCAAGGTTCAAGTTTTTTGTCCCTTCGACTCACAGTGCTGTTGGACATAAAACTTTCTTGAAAAAGATTTTCTATCCTTATTTGAAAGATTTTGCCCAACATTCTCATTAAGAATGATGCTACCAAAACCATAAAGCAACAATAAGGTGTTGTTACATAACACCATTTTCTGAGAGCCACTTTTCAAACCAAATTTACACATTTTGAAAACCAAGATGTATCCAATAACTACATAATCTTCTTTTAAATGTACTGTACTCATCATTTCAAGACATATTCTTAGAATTAATCTACGGCGACAGCACCATTGTTTCTCCAGGCACAAGCTGTGATCTGACTCCTATAAAAGATAACAGCGTCACATCCTAACCATATTTTAAAAGGAGGCAAACAACTGAATTGGGTCACATTCTAAAATAATAAACAGCTTGTGGTTTATTAATACTTTATTTGAAGTGACAAAACTTCCAAGTCCTCATTAAAAGATTATGTAATTTCGACCTACAAAATATTTTAAATCCCTTAAATCTTTCCTGGATTCAAGAAATTCATATATATTATTAATATATAAATGTAATATCCTTTATGACAACTTGATTTAGAAACAGATTTTAGGCAGATTAAATTATTAGGGCAAATCTATTAATATGAACAGGCGAGAGGGGATCACAATGACATGCAAAATGTGAAAAGTATGAACGTATGAATTCCAAGAGGTTCCATGTTATGTTTAACTGCACAGGCCATAAATACTGTCACTAAGCTTTCTATGTTCTGTACAGTGTGATCCAACATAAACCTTTCTACACAACTTAAAGGCTGTCTTATTTTATAATCAAAGGCAGATTTAAACAATTAAATTGTTAAACCAGGGCTCTTAAATATAAATTGACAAACATAAATTGAAGTGAATGGTATCTTACAGTAATTACAGTTAAATGCTTATAAAGCCATTTGAAATTTTAGTTTTGGTTCACAAAGTATTCATTCACAATCATTGTAGGAATGTGAATCATATAATGTGTAATATTTAGCCTAATATTAGAGACCCTTGCCTAAAAATGGCTATAGTCATTTATCCCGTTACTATTCCTTTATAGACCAATATTATGGGCAAAAAAACTATTCCATGTTAGAGGAGTCTCTTTAAAAATAAGGTGAATTTCAAGAGTTCTGTTAATCAGGATAAATCCCATCACTATCACATCCCTAGTCTTTTGTAAAAGGCAGAATAAAACATAACATGGAACCATGGGGTGAGAGAGATCCTTGGGCCCTTCCCTGCGCTGCACCAGTCTCTTACCCTGAGCCGGGGACACATTCAGGCTCTTTTTGGGGGCCCGCGAGGCGCTGGGGGCCACTGCGGGTCTGGAGCCTTTCCTGTGATCTGACAGGAGCAGGTGATAGGCCGGGTTGTTTAGCAGCAAGGCTACGAGCGCAAACAAACACAACACAAACACAGGCACGAAAGCACACAGCAGGGAGGTGAGCGACGGAGATGAAACCAAAAAAGAGAGAAAAAAAAAGTCAAAACATTAGCAGGGTCTGTTAGCATATCTTTTTCAAACAGGGATAAAAGGGGGACAGGCAAAAAGAACAGCAGCAGGCAAAATTAAAACAACTCAAACTTGATTACAAAAGAGGTGGATGGAGGAATGGTCCTGTTATTGGTGTTACAAACTCACTCAGGGCTAGTAAACATGGCATGCCGCCCCCCTGTGGTGTAATGTAAGTCCAGGAATGCATTTTATCCCCCTCTTTTTCTTTACAGTCTGGAACAATGGCTCTGTTGTGTCATAACCTGATGTACATCTGCTTTTTTCACTGGAAAAATCTTTGGTTTAATCATTATTGTTAATCTGGCAGTAGCTAAAAGTTCCAATCAAAACAGACTGCAAAAAATATCAAATAATTAGTAAAATAAACACTGCTGTCTTTTATATTATTATTATTATTAGCATGAGTTTGAGAGTTACTACAGTGCAGTTTGCACGGTACGTTTGCTGTGTAGATAAAAAAAGTACATTCTCAACTGCAACTTCTTTATTCAACCTCTATTCAGTATTAGCTTGTAATTCATTTTACATAATACACTGCTGTTCAAAAGTCACGGACGCAATTAAATATCACAGATTCAAGAGTGAGACAAGGATGGAGTGTGAGATTCACAAAAAGGATTGGTGCAGCATGTGCAGTGATGCGGTTGCTGTATCAGACTATTGTGTTGAGGTGGATTCACGGGTCTCCATCCTATTCGTGGAGGTGCGTTATACGTATTTCACCGACGGTGTAAACACTCAGGATCATTACAATGAAATGCTATTCTTGGATGTAACCCGCGTGTCTTCCTATGCGCGCTGAGGGCAATATTGGAGTTACCCCATGGATCTATAATAATAACTGGATAGGGTATTACTAGCTTATAGCTGTCCCACCCATGGACACAGGGGGCGCCCGTGGTACTGCAGACTAAATTCACGAGGGCTACCCAGAAAAAAGTCCCATAGATCTCAATGTAAATTAAAACAGTTTGACCCAAGCTGACAGAGAACCTACAGCTTTCAGAAAGATCGGATTTTGTGGGGATTTTAGTGTCCCTTACCATCCTGAACTTTTTTTCTTCTTAAATCCTTCGGTTTTCTTTAAATCCACACAAACTCTGCTCCTTTCCTTCCCGCTCTGGCTCCGCTCTTCCGCTGTTCTGATCAGCAGCTCTGATTGGTCAGAGCGCAGCCGAGCCCCTCTGTGCGCGTGCTTAAGAGCCCATGTGAGACCCACACACGCATATTTGGCGCGACGCATCATGGGAGATAATCCACTGCGCAGAACCGGGAGGACCAGACAATGCCCAAATATAGGCGAGTTCAGCTAATCTCCCGGTCCCCGTGAAGTCCCATGCGCTGCTGAGCACAAGCCATTCATTTGAATAGGGCGCCATCTTGGATCACCGGGGCTTGAGTTACCCCCAGTTTGCACCAAAGTATCGCTCGCATCCTGACACTACATTTGGATGCTGTCTGGAGTCTGGCCCGTCCTACTCACCGGTGCTGTCCCGGCTCTGGTCGCGTGGCCGCAGCAGTGCACTGGGCTCCTGGTACTCTCCTTCAGCCTCGCGCTCAGGGTCGTCGGGGAACGTGTGGATGCGCTGGTACCGACTGGAGTAACTGTGAGTGTTGTTAATGACCACGTGCTCCGAGGGAACAGAGAGGTGCACGCGCAGCTCATCACCTGACAGACTGTTCTGCGCCTAGAATGAGACGATAGAGACTTGTTAGTGCTTCTTTCATTAAATAGACACATTTTATGATTTATAAATACATATTAAAAGGTGGGGTACATAACTTCAACGAACACAACAACATTCAGTCTTTATCTTATTTCAAAACATAGGAACCATGCACAAAAGAAAGAGCCCAACTTTGGTCTAAGAGCTGATTGGCTAAGTGAGGGTGGTCCTCTATTTTTAATTTATCCGTCTGAAAAAGTGGATCTAAAGTGGGGGGTCCAAAAACACATGTTTGCAAAAATAGATATAGAACCCAACGGTTTTGGGAGCGAGGATTTTATTACTTTGTTGTTTGTGATTTGAAAGCTATGTACCCCTGGTTTAAACATTGACACGGTTCTTGAACTTGCCTATACACAGAACCCTGGTTAATACAAAGAAGAAGAAAATAGACTCAATAACAAAATATCAAATTATTTCACAAACCATCACAAGCACAAGTTAAATAGTAGTTATTAAGTGTTGTCACTATAAACACTATAACATCAATGCATAGGATGTTTAGGTTTCTAAAACTGGAAAAGCAATTTCCACCTCAGCAGGTTCTTGGTGTGAAGGAAGTTTACCCACTGTGCCACTGTGCCATATCACTAACAGGTTTTATTGCATCGAAAATCTGTTTAGCTTATGGGCTTGTGCATATTTTGTTAACAGTGTTAAAATAAAGAGATAAATGATTGAACACATTTCTTATAGATGAATTCACATAGGGTCCACATGCATTGTAAATCAGCAGACACGGTCCAGCGGATGGTTGCGTAAAACTGAAACTCACCTTGCCAAGGATCTTTTTCCAGTACTGCCTCCAGAGAATGACGGCAATTACGGCCAATAGCAAAAGGATGATCCCGACGAGGCAGCCAATCAGGATGGCCGTGTTACTGCTGTCGTCTTTGGCAACTGGAAGCCCGGCCTTAGGTGATACAGCGGCAAAATCTGGTCCAAAAAGATAAGAGAAAGTTAAATGTAAAAGAGTGTGTGAGAGTCCAGTGTCCATGAAGCTCTGGGCAGCGCTTGTGGCCACACTTACAGTATATTATACATTACATCCAGACTTTACCATACGACATTCCTTAGTCTCTATGACATTTTCTTCACTTTACATTCCTTTCGTACTCCATAAATGACTTCTTATTTCTAATCAATTCTGAAAGCTCTCAACCACTTATAATGGCCAAAAGCTGAATGATTGCAACGAGATGTTCATGTGTCTTGTAATTTCACACTAAACATATGAAAATGCCATGATCTCAGAGCGAAGGGCAGATCTTTCAGCAGGTCATTCCATTCTCCAGGGTTCGAACTTCCAGGTCGGACCAGATTTTAATCAGTATGGTATTGTTTACATGTGCCGAGTAGGTCAAGAGAAGGTCTGCAGGTTTAAAAGCACTAAACTAAAACTAACTTAGTTGTAACATAAACATCACTGGGATACCTAACTTACTAACCAGTTCCTCTTTCTCCAAACACAGTGTCATAACTAAACGTTGGCCTATTTTATTTGGCCTCAGTCACATCTTTAGCTACATCTTTATCACAGCTATCAGCTCAACATGTCAAATAGTCCCTCACAATGCACTTCATTGACAGTATGTTAAATATAAAATGTTTTCTCGTAAGAGTAAGACAGCATGATGTGGTCAGATATTTTACTTTTACAAGACAAAAAATGTATTACCCCAGCTTTAAAGCAGGACTAACTATCCTGAGTAGTTAGTATCCTCAGTTGTTCTGGACAACTATCCTGAGTAAGTTGTCCAGAACAACTGCCTGGACAACTTAAACTGTATCTACATCGCACAGTTTGTATTGTTTTCCATTGACCTCGGATCACTGTGAGGCTGCAACGTTCCAAACTAAATAACCCTTCATCTGTCAAAAGCAGATTGATAGTATAGTAGATGTGAAGATTTGAAACTTGCACCACACTCCATTCCCCACAGCGCCCCTTCTACTGTACCATGCATTCAGTTGTGGATGCATGTATTTATTGTTCCACGAGACAAAGAACGATCATGCTCTACATTCTTTGTCCTAAAACCGTCCAGTAAAAGTGCATGCCACACAAACGCATTTACAGCCTCCTTCACAAACCTGTTTATGTTTAGTGTTTTCAGTGGAGGCTGGAGCCCTCACAACATGCAGCTTGTAAGACCGCGGGAAGCCAAGTCGGTATTGCAACATATACACTGTAAAAACCTGCATATCTATACGTATCAAGGCTTACATTCAGTGTGTTTCATATTTTGAGTAGTTTAGACTCAGTTTTTGGGATTGCACATTTTTGACTTTTTATATGTTTGTTTTCCTTTCATTTGAAAAGATTTATGGACTCACCCACCTCACATTCAGTGTAATTTTCTGACAGCACATTACAACATGGCATGGAGTTAAATCCTGAATTGTCCAATGTGTTTGTGGGGATTACATGGCACTAACTCAAGGAACCAGCTCCCATCTGCCGCTATTTTATGGACAGGATAAACGCTCTCCCAATCTGCACACTGTGAAATACCAGAAAACACTGGTAATAAAATTGAATTAGAGAAAGTCTTATCTTAGTTACTATGTTTTTGTGAGTTGGTTTACAAAGAACTAGTGAACACCAAATTCTCCACCTACTGCATTTTAATTTGATTGATAAAGACGCATATAAACTCATGCGGTTGTTGCAATTGAGGCGTTTTTTACTCGATGCAAACGCTAAACTAACCAGGAATCATGGTGCTTTAAACAGCACCGCAGAAATTCTATGATTTATGCTGCAGCAGCTGAGTATGTGTGAAAATCAAATGCCCAAAGTAAACATAATGTTTATTTTTGCGGAAGATGTCCTTATAATAGATGTATGACAGCAAATATGAACAACTTCTCTGCGGCGTGCACTGGGTTGGGACCGGCCTGATAATCCCAATTTTGTATCCGTTTTTTGTAAACATACTTAATAAATAAAGTTCACCTTTAATGCTAGTTCTGTCTCATCACTAAGTGTATATTAACGAACGTTCATGTTTTCTTGTTGTTTTTGTATATGCCAGATTATAGCTCAAGGCTCATTTCCTTCTGCAGTCCCTTAGGGTCTGGGTTTGATGCTGATGAGCGATGCTTTTCATCATTCATTTAAGAAGGCAACTTGTATTATTTAACTTCAGGATCTCTCTGGCAAAACAGCAGAAATGAGAAGACTGCGTTCAAGCTTTGGGATTTTTTTTTATATTTAAATGCACAGAAGGTTTTAATTACTAATTAATTAATTCATTAACCAATTCATTAATTACTGGTATTATTACAGAGAGCCACAGTTTGTCTTTTGAGTGTAATTTCTGATTGAATAGCCAGTGATTCAAAGAACTTTTTAAATGCCCTCTTTTTAGTCCAATCAATGGGCAAGGGATGTTTTGAGGCTGGAGAATTGTAAATATAGCCATTTTGTAATAAAGGCTTTGCTCATTTATTTTTAAGAAAAACGTAAGTGCCTTGTGTGTCTTTCTAAGCCTTCTAAACTTTCTTGTCATTAAGTTTTCTGAAAATGTAAACTTTCAATAAACTTAAGGAGATCATGTTGTTTTGTTCTTATCTTGCTTTGCACTCTTCTCAACAGCACTTCACTTAAACTTGAAAAAAATTGTGAATCCAAGACCTTAAACTCATATAGATATTATTTGAACAGTGTATACACAGCCATATCTCTGTTAGTGCTTCCTAAACCTCTATATCTTCCGGCCCAGGGGACAAACGGCGGTGCCAGAGTCTGTCAGAGTAAAAGCCCTCCCTCTTGTTCTTCATGCTCTCTGCGGACCCTCGACAATAAGATGGGAGTTTGTATCCAGAGCTCTTCTCCCGGCCACGCTCTCACCTGCAAGAGTCCAGTTATCGGGGGGCTCCGTGCTGAAGCTGGTGCTGGAAGTGTCTATGGGAATGAACATGAGGCAATAACAAATGAAGCAAAAGAAGATTGAAAGCAGAGGTGGAAAAAGAAATGAGAATAGAAATGTCCAGAGATATCGGTTTAAGGACGGGGATGCTATGGCACATCCAATCATGGTTTAGCTGATTGGCTCTATTATTTGATTTAATAATGTTCTATTGGTAAATTAACTATCTTTTAAAGTCCTTTAAGAGCACTGCTGCTGTGATTTTAGGCTGCACAAAAGTACATCGATTTGATTTGCACTATGAAGGCTGTTTTCACTTTTAACATGGCAACAAATCAAAAACATATTTTGCCTGTTTAGCCTGAGCTTGAATGCACAAGACATCTTGTATACCTTTTGACTTGTATAAACCAACTTTATTCTCGTAAATCCTTAGGATATCAAATAAAACAGGCTATCATTTTGAATTCCAGGCTATTGGGCTTCAGTTCACTGTATGACAAAGCTGTTGTAAAACTGTGCCAGTAAATGAAAGAGCAAGAAACAACACCCAATGTAACAAAGAGTGCATGAGTTTTATTTTACTCAAACACATATTTCAAAGTCAATATAACTTCACCGTTCAGAACAAGCTTTTCTAATCAATGTCACCCTTTGTTGTTAGCCATATGTAGACTTCAATTCCGCTCACACGGCTGTCAGCAAGTGTCTTTTTTATATTCAAAATGAAAAACTGGGGCTGAACAGCCAATATAATATCCATAAGGATTTTGAAAAACCTGAACGATGTATGTAAAAAAAAAAAAACACATCTTTGATTTTGCAGAAACACAGATGGAGATGAATCTGTTTCATTTTCTAGCAATAAAGACTGGAAGATTACAATCGTATGCTAAGTTATGCTTAGAGAGCTCCCTGGCTGCCGTCCAAAGGGTCTTAGAGCTCGTGATACAGCGGGAGGTTATTCAGACACAGGCCTGGTCCAAGTTTAGGAACACTGTCGACTCTGCAGATGTGCGCAGCTCTCCCAACAGCCAAAGAAACAGAAATGATATAAAGGAGATGGAAGGTAGATAAAGAAGAATAATAGGGTTTCACAAAAAGGGTCATGGGAGAAAGAGAAAGATACCGGACATACACTGCAAAAATATATATTTTGAGCCATGCATATGTATATGTGTATATGTATATACAGTACATATACACAAGTGAGACAAGGATGGAGTGTGAATTATGAATACTATTGTTTTTGTGTAGTGTTGCCAAGTTGTGGTTAATAATTGACTTGATAGAGCCGGTTTGATTGGGTTGTTTTTGCTATGGTAATTCATTTGTCCCTTGGGTAAGTACAAATCTTTTCTTATTCTGAGCTTGATTGTCTATATCTCAAGAGACACAAGCGTATTTAATGCGTTTATTTTTCTTGTGACAAACTTTTTTACAAGACGGACTCAAATTATTTAATTCATTCCCATCGAAAAAGAAGAACTGTCATATTAAATGCAACTTATCTGTTTTATTGCTCAGATTTTTTTTTTTTAAACTGTCAAAAGTTGGATGTTTTACCACTCCACTTGATGTGTCACTAATTGGTTCGAGATTAGCAGTCATAAATACTAAGACAAGGCAAGGCAAGCATATTTGTATGGAACAAATCATAAACAGGGCAACTCGACATGCTTCACGAAACAAGAATCATAAAAAATTATAAATATAATACCATTAAATAGATTTTAAAATGCACAGCTAAACAGAATTGGTTTAACCTGTATTTTAACCTTGTCAGAGACCTTCAGAACCACAATGTTTACTCTCGTCTCTAGCACCAGCAGGAGGGTTAGTCTAGTCTTGTTTTTCTCAATTTAGTTCCACAGATTTAGAATAAAACAATCCTCATCAAACATCCCCAAATTGAAATTGATCTTTGGAATTCTTGTCATTTTAACCCATGCAATATTTTCCCTTTTTGCAGTGCTGGTGAAAGGGGCGGATGGATGTGTGGGAGTTGAATGATAAAAAGGAGAAAAGAGGGTCTCACCATTAGTCCGGGTGGTGTTGAAGGAGGAGTTCGTGGGAGTGGGAGAACTCGGGGTAATGGGCGGAAGAGAAGAACTGTTGAAATACGGGATCTCTGGAAGAATAGGAGGAACCGAAAATGCCTCCGACAGAGCTGCGTCAAAAGGCTCTGTAATCAGCACAGGGGCAGTTTAAAAATAAATTAAAAACATAACTCTCACAATGGGTCTTCAGCTGCTGTGGTGGTGTATGTAAAATGTATTTCACATTTTGATTTGAACTTTGCAACTTCTAACAACAACAATTTTACCAAAATATGGTAACTATTTATCTAGAACTGCCATGCCTAACCATGTCCTGCTGTGGACAGTTCCATGTAGACAACATCAACAAAAGCCAACCTAAAAACTCTTCCACACAAACTTAAAGCAATGTTCATCGAGACCATCCCCTCTAACATACGGAGCGGTGATAGACTCCGCACCCTATACCAGAATGAAACCTTCTGGATCGGTATGATTGTAAAAGAGAGAGTGAATGGATGGTGTTGATTGGGGGCTGATGCGCCAGTGTGTTCGGCGACTCGCTTCCGTCATCACCGTGTGTGGAATGATTGGAACAATATCTGAACTTTGAACATTGTAAAGCGCTTTGGGTGACCTTGGTCTGTAAAATGCGCTATATAAATAAACATTACTTACTGTACTTACCATCGACAAACTACACGCTACGCATCCACCTGGCCTTGGTGGCCTTTTTCTACAAAGTCATGTGACTTTCATGTGATCTATCTTTCACATTATTGCCACCTGTAAACTACTTGACATTACTTGCCTTGATGAAGACCAGAGAGTGGTCGAAACGCGTTGCCATGTCCCTCCTACAGGATTTTAAGATAAGACAGAGTGCCTCGGATCTTTCCTCTTTGCATTCTACAAAAGTCAAAACCTAATGACGTTGATACAGTGAGTGAGGGGGCTTCCGTCCAATCTTTTGAGCAGTGTAAGTCCAACCAGGAGAGCTCCATATGTTTGTGAGAAAGATACGGAAGCATTATTAAAAGCTCCAAACTGAGATGAGTCTAAAATAAGAATGTTTTGATAATGGCATATTGTCCGAGCACCTGCCAGGATTTTGGTGATGAAGCCCAAGCTCTGAGTGCTCTCGGCAGCTCCGGTGTATCATTCATCAGAGAAATGGAAGCAGTCCAAGATCCCACCGAGCCGAGCGGCCAAACCATTTCAACAACCACAGGTGTGCGCACACACACACACACAAATATACACCAACACACACACCCAGACTGATTCTTATCACCACCGAGTGACAGCCAGGTTCAGCACAGAGGACAGTTTAATTAGTCGCAGCGGTACATACTGTATGTATGTACATAAGTTAGATTCAGAATGGTCCAAAACTGTTAAATGAATGGTGCCAAATGTATGTTCGTCTCTATACATTCAATACTAGTTTGGCCTCCTATTGCACAAATTACTGCATTGTTGTGTTGTGTTGTGGCATTGCTGCTTTTATGAGATGTACCTAGAAAGACTTGCATTAAAACCACTATAAAAAAATAAAAAAAATTGAGTCAAAATACCAGGTATCATCCATTCAATTAAATGCAAAGCGGAACGAGACTTGCCTTCTCAATTTAAACCAGATTTGGTTCTGGTCTAGTTTGAAGGACTCTGGTTCACTCTGGGCTACATTTGAGCCCAAAACAAGTGCACCCTTAGGCACATACACTTAAAAAAGTCCATCCATCCATCCATCCATTTTCTACCCTTTAATCCATTTCTGGGTCAGGGGGGTGGCAATCAGAGATGCCACCCAAGTCTCATAGCACCAGCCCCTCACTGACCCTCTGCAGGTGGTGAGTCCACAGGAGGACGGCTGCTCTCTGAGTGTGAGCATAGCCTTGATCTTTCAGTGGGGGCTTTTGGGCAAAGTGGGGTTAAGTGTCTTGCCCAAGGACACAACGACAGCAGTCATCAGTGGGAGTCGGTGGAGAAGGTGTAGAGGTGGGAATTGAACCCACAACCTTCAGGCCTTAAGGTCAATGCTCTACCAACTGAGCTACTGTCACATACACTTAAAAAAGTGTATGTGCCTAAATGTAGGACTACTTTGAAATCAATGTGTGTCTCAGTGCGTGGAGCTGCTGTTTGGAATGATTTATCAGATGAATTAAAGACCTGCTCAAACCTGATCACATTTAAAAGAATGTTTAAAAAAGATGTATTGAACAAATATGTGGAAGTAAGAGAGTGATGCCTTGAGCACTGAGCAAGTAGTGGGTGAGAGGTGTAGGGTCGGAGTGTGTTTGGGCCTGTGTGTGTGTGTGTGTGTGTGTGTGTGTGTTCAGTGTTGTCTGTCTTATACCATCGGTGGTAGTATTGTATAACTGTTTGTAATGTACCGTTGTATTTTCAAGAATTCTACTGCATGATATTGTTAAACACTTTGTCTGATGGGGTTGGAACCAAATAAGCATTTGCTTCATCCAACTCCTTTTCGAACCAGGTACGGGTTATTTGTCTGCTATATTGACATATGTAAAAATGTGTATTGTGCATGGTTCGAAATAAATAAATAAATAAATAAATAACCCAGGTCCACACCTCAGTTCTTCACTTTAAAACAGTTCAGTGACGTAGTGTGGACCGCTTTGAAGCTTGTTTTTTTAGTCTTGATAATTATCCTACTTTTCCATTTTTAAGTCCATAAATTAGACCTGGGTTAATCCTGGTTCGGTTTCCGACTAGTCTGATTTCAAGTATGAGCGTGGCTGTAATGTAATCCTCTATATTTTTAAGCTTGTGTTTAAGATACTTAATTACGTAACAGGTTTGTAATTATACTTTCAAGACATTCGTGACGCAAAACTTTCCATGGGAGAGGGGATTTAAGTTAAACTTAAATTATACACCAAAGCTGCACCATTTTCCTTTGTGCTTACCTGAGAGAAAAGATATCTCGCTAATGAGGAGCCAGCGGTCCGCAAAGAAAAACTTGCAGCGGAGGATCTGCGCGGCCTGAGACTTGAGAGGCAAGGTGACGGGACGGGAGGAGGGGTCCTTTAGGTCGTCGAGGGGGACTGGGAGGCTGAGGCTGGGGGAGGACCAGGGCTTCAGCAGGCCAGGCTTAAACAGACACTCCACTTTACTGAACACACGCACTCCCTGGGTGTGACGGTTGTTACTGTGGACCTGCAAGAGACAAACAGTGATTAAGCTAAATGTCTCATGACTTTTCACCAAAATGTGCAATGAATCTGAAAAGTAAGTAGTAATAAAGGCCACAGTCTGCTTTATCAAATTCTATGTTACTATAATGCTCTGAGGCAAGTCTCCTCCAGGCTATAATAGTAGAATAATGTAATCTGAGGAACAAACCATAGAAGGACAAACATTTGAATTGAAATGAAATGCAGTGTGTGGTTTAATAGTTTTTCATATAATAGGTATTTCCGAAAGGATGAATTGTGTTCCACACTACTAAAAACTAGCCACAACTAGTCATTTGCTGTAACTTTTTGGTAGGGGGTTCACCAACAGCTAATTTCACAAAGTTATAACTCATTCCCTATTACTATATCATATGCACTTCTATTTCATGCCTGCTCACACAACCATAAACAACCATAATTATACATGGTCTGTCCACAATGTCTTGGCCTGGACAAAGTTTTAACAAAATGACTGGTTCTGATTGAGACAAAATAGTTGGATGACATAGACTTTTTAATTTATGTCATTTGGAAGAACTTTATGCCAAATTTGCAAATTCAGTCCAACCAGACAATATGAAGGTTTTTGTATTTTTCCTATTCCTGTGTGAGACATGGGTGGTGCACAGACAGCCATTAACCTCGCACCTAATATGGCTCCAGCTGATCTAACTTAAGCCACATGTTGAAGTGGAGTCCAGAGCAACAGCTGCAGCAGAGGCTGAGGTCACATGGACTGGACTTCATATGCAAAAGAAACAACATTACTGTAACTGCGGAACATTCCAAGCAGTGCTATAACTTCCCCATGATTTTCTTGGAAAAAAAAACGTAGGACGATATTTAAGTTACAGCAAATACATTATTCTAAATGGTAAAGGATACAATTCAATTGAAATGTAATATTTTTAATATAATGCATCAATATCATAGATGTGTGAGATCACATGGGCGGGACTGAAACAGTGAAACCCCTTAGCTTTTTAATGGGCTCCAACTAACTCACTACTCCTTCAGCGATATGTTTATTACACGTATTACATTAGAGTTGTGTTTTTCTACATGTAATCTTAATCATATCCGCAAGCAGCTATAAAACTATGCCCTAATGTTGCTTGATTTTGAAAACGTTTGCATGAAATAAATCATCGCAGTCTATACAGACATATTTAAAATTCAATAGGACTGTATTTGAATTTTTTGTTTGTTGTTGTTTCAAATCAAGTCATTCAAATTATTCTTGTATAGCCCTGAATCACGATAGTAGTTATCTCAGAGGACTTTACAAAACTGTAGAATTTGCCAACACAGATCAGAGAATCAAACCTTTCAAGCACAAGAAATACAATGATAGAAAACACAGAGCCATTGGTCCATAATTTCAGTCTGGTAATGAATATGACATAGGAGCCAATTCCTTTTTTGTAGCATTTTTTTTGACATATACAGTATGTCTACATATATAGTTGACACCTGTGAATCTTTTTTATATCTTCTAAACAGTTCAGATATCAAAGATTTTCTAAAATGGCCAATGGCCGCATTAACCTAAACAGCTTATATGTGTTTAATAGAAAAACAAAAAATCTACGAATCAAGTAATGAAAGAACAGAGGGAATGCGGCTGTGAGAAATGAGGTGAGATTGCAGGAGGATAAAGATTCTTTAACATGTATAAATTCCTCAAACTCTCACTCAAAATAACATGAATCAATGTGATTGGTAAATATTGTTTGTTCCCATCCCACAGTTTGACGGCCCGGAGCTTAAGCCCCTAAGTGGATCTGTTCAGTGTTAAAAGTGACCTCACCAGGTGTCAGAAAAAGGCGTGTTTTGTAGCAGTTGTAGGAAACCTGGGTTACGGCTGATTCAAAGGTTAAGGAGCAGAGTTCCTTTTGGGAAAGAAAACCCCAGGAGAAAATGTAAGCCACAGTCGAGTTCATGTTCCTCTTTTATTTACGTGACCTGTGGGTCTGACACATGGACTCCGTGAGGTCAGGAAAACAACCAGAGACAGTGAGAGAAAGTGGAAACAGGGGAGGAAACCGCAGGAGAAAACAAGGAAAGACTATGAGGACATGGAGAAAACCTTTGGGCGCATTTAAAATGTACACTGCAAAAACTCATAATTTCAGCTCATCGTTTCCAAACCAGGATCATAGCTGTAGAAGAAAAGAGTAAGACTCTATGTGAAGAGTTCATTTGCAAAAACGAAATGTCTCCAAAAAGAGCTACAATATTCAACATGTTTTGTGATTGTCTGTATATTTGAAAGGAAGGGGTAAAACTGTAAGTGTATAGTAAAAAGATCTGGCATTTCAAAAAACAACATGGTAAAGATTAAATTCTTAGCCTTTTATTTCTAATGGCATGTTTTTGCAAATGAAATATTCATGTATACAAATGTACATGGTACAAGTGTACTAAGTGTACACGAGAGCCATCCTACAGCAGTCTCCCATCCAAGAACTAACCAGGCAACATCAGCTCAGCATTTGAAAAGCAGATGGCTATGGTTTGTAAACTACTCATCTTGCTCTAAATGCATCTGTCCAGAACTGGGAGGAATTGTGATCCAATTTGAATCTTGAGCTAATCCCTGAGTTGAACATTTAAAACCATTCTTTACAATGCTGCTTTGCTCATATATGCACTTCTTCCACCATTTGTTCACTCTCTGTAGTTATAAGCTAAGTAAAAATGAATTTTTTAACAAATGACAATAAAGCTGGGGTACTTAACTTTTATACCAATAAACTCCTTTTCTAACAGGATGTTGTGGTCTGATTTGTTTACAAAATGTGGCTATTACAAGACTCTTTCTCTTGGGACAAACTATATAGAGTATTTATGAGGGGAACAAAAAGCTACATACCTCAGCTTTGAAGAAGCTATACTCGATTTATTTTCTAATGAGTTCAGAAAAATGCGTTTTACAAAAGTTGTATTAAAATCCATAGTTTAATTGAAAACTTGAGCTCATTGATTCAGCTGTGTATGAATTCAGGCCGTAAAAAGTGCTGAGTAGAGACTTGGCGTGACGCTCGATCTCCTCCACTCACAGAGCGAGGGGCGTTACGAACAGGCTGCCTCCTCTAGCCTCTACAGCGCTGGTAAACAAGAGCAGCATGTTAGCAGAAAGTGGCTATACCTCGTCTGGCTGTAACTGCAGACACAGCAAAATAGCCCAAACAACGCAACAGTGAGGAAGAGAAGAGGGAACTAAAGCAAAAAAATTATCAATGGAGAAATCAAGCCCGGGTGCACAAAGCTAGCTTACATCGTATCCTCTGGAGAGACTTACAGTCTATGGGAGAGACCTGCGGCAGCAGGACCGCCTCAGACTACATTTGGACGCAAAACTAGCGGTTATCTTACAGTTATATATTTTGTTAGCAGTGCGTTGCTTGTGTACCATTTCATCAGTGATTGTTGTGCAGCTTACAAGAAGTTGTGCTAATGTTAGCATACGTATCAGATCGCAAATAAAACTAGATGGCTTCGTGGGATCAGAGCGTAGGGGAAATGAGAAGCCTGTGAGCGAGTCGAGGGGCGGTGCTAAACATTCAAAATGAAAAAAAATCTTGCAGAAACGGGTATAGCTCCTCTTAAGTGTAAGAAAATCGACCCGTTTACTTTTTTGCCATATCATCCACTCTGACCAAGATCCCAAGAATTCAAAGGAATTTGTGATAGCACCTTTTTATCGACTCCAAAATCTCAAAACCAAACAGTAGTCCCTGCTTTTAGTGTTTGTAAATAAAAAGTGCAGTCTGGAACAGATAGGGCTTACACTGGGCATTCAATTAAAACATGGCGACAAGTCTGGAATCTGCGGTGGAGCTGCTGTTACACCCAAAGCCACATTTGTCCACAGAATGAAGTCTGTCAAATTTCATCCTGGTTTGCTTCACATTATCTCAGTCTTCCTCTGTAGCATTACTATCTAACCCCAAAGCCACAGACGCTGATGCAACCCAGTGAATTCCCAATAACAGACACCCCGTGACAAACAATGGGACGTTAAACTAATTAAACGGAGCTGCTCCAGTTAAACTTTCTGCAGAGATGGATCATTATCAGTGTCGGAGCTGTGGAGGTAAACAACATAACTCTGGGTTTGTGATAGAGGTCACGCGCAGTGAGTCTCTAAACCATAATTAAGGAACTTCATCAACAGCAAAAGCGCAAGGAGATAATTGTCTTTTACAATACGGCAGAGTTCACTTGTACTTCCAACATCATTTTCCTCATTCAATTGAGACATAGCAGACGTTACACTATGTATGAGAAGTGTTGCTTTCACTATGAGACTGTAGTTTAAAAACATATGACATATGATGTAAAATCAACTTTTTCAATACAATAGTACAATTTATTCTTGTATAGCCCTAAATCACAACAGTAGTCATCTCAGAGGACTTAACAAAACCATTGAAATTACCAACACAGATCAGAGAATCAACAGTTAAGACACAGAAAATACAGATGTGTATTGGTCCATAAGGAGACCAATGTCCATGAATGTTGTCCTGGATCATCACCACAGACCTTTTTGTTAGACACTAACTGTCTAACAGACCCGCCTGTATCGGCAAGGAAAAACAAAAACCCAGTGGGAAAAAAGTGAGACACCTCGGGGAGATCCAACCGCTCAACGCGGACGGACGGGCTGTAAGATTTTAATCATGTTACAACATCGTTCCCTTAAGTTGTTTTTAGATCCATCCATGATCATCAGGAACTTCTGCCTAAAAAATATATAATTCCGCCCCCCCTCTATAAAAGCTCCTATCTCAGTGGTATATGACATCATTGTACCACTATGAAAAAAAGTACTGAATACATGAAATGCCACGCCAAAGTATTCTGAAGATAACATTCAGGCTCTATCTATTGGGCGCCTGTCAAGAGCAAAGCGTGGCTCTTTGTCTATGACGTCATAGTTGAAAGGATTCTTCATAGAGTCTACAGAGTTTAAGATATGAGCATTTAAACAAAAGCAGCAGGGAGACGTCTTCAAGGCAGACGTTCCTTCTATTAGCATGGATGGAGCTAAAAACAACTCCAAGTATGTTTATGAGGGAGGGAGCATGATTAAAACCTCAAAAAAGTCTATTTGCATACGCGTGTCCTTTATGTGCAAATTATTCAGAACTTGACTTTTCATGAATGTATCGTTTGATTTATTTTCCCGTGAGCATTTGACACCTGCTTTGTGTTTGAATACGGAGACATCTGGGATCCCGCTCACAGAAAACAATTTCTCTGACAGGTTTTGCGGAAAAACAAAATTTTCTCTTTCATGTAACAAAAAACCTTTACTCTTGACAATTCTTTTAACAAAACTATACCTTTATAAACGGTTGGCGCGCCGTCCGTTGATTGGAAGAAGGCTGCACTTTGTCTCAGTATTGGTTTGTGTTGTTGCTTGTGCACGGCTGTGGTTGTTTGGATAAGTCCTTGTGTTTTTCTGATAAAAAAAATCAGCCCTTTCAAATCCCACAGAACTGTCTTGGTATAAAATAACTGGTCTCTCCTGTCTCTTAGTGGGCGAGCAATCCAACGGTTGGCGAGTTTTGCCTCACAGTAGGCATCAGCCTCTTGGCCGTCACAAGGATGGGGGCCCCTTGCCAACAGTGGATGATAAATGTTTGTTTTATGGTTTAATAATGAATTTTCTAAAGGAAGACGAAGAGAATGTGAAACAAGAGTGCTTATGAAAAACTGTTGCCACTTGGAGCCCAAGGCAATTGTCACTATAATTACAGTATATCATTATAATTACAATCATAGTGAATACGGTATGTGCGCAGTAGAATAAACTCAAGGATTAACTGTTTTTCCATTACTATTAATCTGTTTGTATGTGAATTGTGCCTTGCATATTGTGGTGGCTCTGCAATAAGCACACAACACATGTATGAAATGCACATATCAAATTTATGGTTAGTGTTAACAAATTAGTTTTTTTGGCCAGTAATACAAATGATCTGAATGAGTGTCTGTCTGTGTGGTGCTGTGAGGTGTGGTTGGATGTGGATCAGTGTAGAGGGAATTTTCGGGTTATTTTTAATTTCATGGCATGTTATTGTATATTTTCTTCATGTAATCAGGGATTGCAAGATGGAAACTTGCTGTCTAGCTAGATTCTGGTGCAGAACATTTTTTGTCACTCTGTGCACTGTTCCTTTCAAATAAAGTCCAAACTAACTACTGTATGTACTCGGTCCAACGGCAGCACATGTGTCGGACTTGAAGAACACTGCTCTATCACTCACATAAAGACTTGAGTACAGCTAATCTCTGACAGGTAAATGTCTCGTGCAGGTAAATGTATTCAGAGCCGCACTCTTTTCTTTACTTGAAATAAACAAACAAGTCTGAAGAGAATAGGGCTTTGGAGGGCTAAGACGGAAAGACGCTGTGAACTCCTCTCACTTCTTTTGTTTTGTTCAGGAAGAAAGCGGTGACAGCACTTCCAACATCATTGCTTTAACTGCATACCTGCATGCTGTGGAAGACTCTGGGTTTCTCAAAGTGGAACTCGATGTCCACACTGGGCTGACCGAGCGCCTCGCGGCTCCAGCCCAGGTAATCGTACCCAGGCCACACACGCAGCTCTTTAGTCTCGATGAAGTCATCTCCTCCCAGGACCCCGTCACACAGCTGCCCCAGGCCTCCAAACTGCACCCTGCACAAACCAACGATCAAATGTTACAGTGCATCACATTGAAAACATCTTTTTTTTTATTGTACATAATTCTATCCTGCACAGACTATCCATCCATCCATCCATTTTCTTCCCCTTAATCCATTTCTGGGTCAGGGGGGTGGCAGTCAGAACTGCACCCAGTACACTTAGGCCCTGTTTATACTGAGATGCTGCGCAGACGTTTCCAGGCTATTAACAGAAACGACCTGGCTCCTAATGCAAATTTCTCAGCGTTCACATGAGGTTGAAAAACGATGTAGTTCTAGCGCCCGGCCAGTAGTGGGCAGAGGAACTTTACAACACGACACACAACCCCCAGCCCCCCTCCCGGCAGTATATTCACTTCCTGTGCCAGACCCTCAGAAAGTACCAACATCATTCTGCATTTTAACAGCAGCTGTGAACATGGGAACTGAACCTAGAGCTTCGCGTGGTCTCGTTTGGACGAACGAAGGAGTAGAATTATCCTCTGTGCCGCGCTGGAAGCCCACGTAGCTAGTTAGTGTGCGCGGCGCCATTGTTGTTGATGTTTGTTCTCCGCTACTGCGCATGTCCAAATTTACATGCGGGGAGCAGCGCGGAGGCGGGGGTCAGAGCAGAGGGGGATTTCACACCTTTCTCCCTCTCGTGGGTGTGAAAGAGAGCCCCCGCTGTGTTTCAGCGTTTCTGAGGCCCTGTTTATACTGAGACGCTGCGCAGACGTTTCCAGGCTATTAACAGAAACGACCTGGCTCCTAATGCAAATTTCTCAGCGTTCACATGAGGTTGAAAAACGATGTAGTTCTAGCGCCCGGCCAGTAGTGGGCAGAGAAACTTTACAACACTCACACGACCCCCAGCCCCGTGCCCAGCCCCCCTCTCGGCAGTGTACTCACTTCCTGTACCAGACCCTCAGAACGCACCAACATCATTCTGCATTTTAACAGCAGCTGTGAAAATAGAAACTGAACCTAGAGCTTCGCGTGGTCTCGTTTGGACGAACAAAGGAGTAGAATTATCCTCTGTGCTGCGCTGGAAGCCCACGTAGCTAGTTAGTTTGCGCGGCGCCATTATTGTTTTTGTTCGTTCTCCATTACTGCGCATGTCCAAATTCACGTGCGGGGAGCAGCGCGGAGGTGGGGGTCAGAGCAGAGGGGGATTTCACACCTTTCCCCTCTCGCGGGTGTGAAAGAGAGCCCCCGCTGTGCAGCGTTTCTGAGTTGTCCCACTCTGCAGGCTGGATCTAAACACTTACGTTTAGACCCCCCTGGAACACAGTCTTCGTATGAACGGTTGGTAGCAACCGACATCCAACTATACGGTTTTACTGCCACATTGTCTCCGTGTAAACTCAGCCTTAGCACCAGCCCCTCACTGATCCTCCTGCAGGTGGTGAGTCCACAGGAGCCTTGATCTTTCAGTCGGAGCTTCAGGCAAAGTGGGGTTAAGTGTCTTGCCCAAGGACACAACGACAGCTGTCATCAGTGGGAGTCGTGAAGTAGGTCTTATGGTGGGCTTGAACCCACGACCTTCAGGCCCAAAGGCCAATGCTCTACCAACTGAGCTACTGTCACCCCCTGCACAGACTATATTTTTTGCTTAAAAAAGAGCCCTTTGAGTAATTTTGAGGCTTTAGGTAGAGAGCTGACTGGCTGAATGAGGATGGTCCTTTCTTTTTCACTTTTTTTTTGAAAAAGTTGGTCTGATGACGTTACAGAAGCCAGTGAATCAACCAAACCGTTTGAAAGCAGGGAAAGAGAGTATTGCGTAGTTCCGTTTAGGTGGTTTAAAAGTTCGGGTCCCCAGCTTTAAATTAAACTCCATACTTTACGGATAAAATACTTCAATATTGGGATGAGATTCCAGTGACATTCGAAGCCAAGCATTGTAATACCCTCTATCAACTACACAAGATATGTCTGTAATGTGAACCATAAAAGCTACATTTACTTTCATTAACACTAAGTAAAATCAGAGTTCATCGGCTGCCTAAACGCTGCTGCTGGGTCAAGCGCATGGACACATCTGTTACGAGTGTGCCTGGATTACATCAGATAGTGTTCTTGCTCGCTCGCCTACAAGCAAAACATTTCAGCTCCATTAACCACCCAGTCTATGTAAGCGCGGATCCAGCCAGATTTTTCATGCCAAAACATTATGGTCAGGAAACAAGCCTCAAATCCCCAAGCACCAGAAAAAAGAGACAAAAAAATACTGTAATTCCCTTTCGATTAGGCGGACACCAGAAAAACCTAGATATTATACTGTTAACAGAGGTGACGACAGCTATCGACCAAAACCCGGGGGAATCTTTATCTTGATTAAGTTTGGGAAAACAGTGTTGAAAGTCCGACCACAGCCCCAAAACCTCAGCAACTTGTGTTCATACCCAAAGAATAAAACTGAGCAGGAGGGAAGTAAAAATTGTACCGTAGACTTTGCCATTTAAATGTCATTTCGCAGTGGTTAATACTTTATACCGTCGTGACGACTTGTACATGTAGAAAGTAGCACAAAGTTCAACATCTTAACTTTCGCACAAATGACCAAAGGAAGTATATTTTCTCGCTGAGGGATTGTTGAATGTGACGTCATCAGAAGAGTTTGGCTCCAGACGCGCTGAGCTCAAAAGACACACAACTGAAACTCAGCAGCTGTAACCTTTCTGATAGAAAGTCCAACACCTTCTTGCCTTCAAAGATGTTATCGCAATGGAATGTTCTACCGTATGGCATAAATTAACAGCTATAATTGAATAAATGTAAGTTTAATGTCATAGAGAAGTCCTTGGAAAAGCAATAATAATTCCATGGAGGCAAATAGATAGTATTTTGGAAATATCCCATTAAACTGCATAGACATTTTCATTTACCCTTGCTCTGTGCTTCCATCGTAGTTGGAGTCGTTGAGGTAAATGGGCATTCCTGAGAGGTGCATGACGTGACCCACAGGAGCTGTGTAGGCCTTCAGTCCATCTGGAAGACAAAAGAACATAAAACTTCACAGAAAGAGGAAAAGCAAATGTTGGTGTTTGCTGTCCCTAATGCTGCTTGGAGCGCTTCTCAGGAGCAGAGGGACCAATGGGACCCTGGGACCAGTTTCTAGGTCAGAAGACGTCTCAAAGAGGACCACCTGAGCTGGTGGATTCATAATGTTAATATTTTTACATTTTAGACTGAAAAGAAGCACTTTTAAAACTCATTGCTCCATTTGATGTTACTGCATCACTCACAGTGAGAGAAGAGGGTACACTTTAAATCAAGGGCATCAAAGGCCAAGTATAAACAACATTTTCTTAGTTATTTAACATACGTTTGGTTAATCTATGTTTGTATTGATCCAAAACTGGTTCAAAATGTAAGCCTTGTAACTGTAGACTAAAATGACTATTACTAATTGTGTGTTGTGTTTTAATTATAAAATGATTTAAATGATAAGGTTATTTTCTTTGTAAAATTAGCTTTACACACCTTTACTAAGCTCTAAGCATGAATGTTGCAAGTTATTATAAGTTATTACATAGTTTTGCAGTCCAGAATTGGTCTGCAGGCAGCTGTTTGATTAACGCACAGGTCATTAAAATATGTATCCAGTCCAGTTTAAACAAAACATAACAAAACAAAAAAATCCAAAATAATGCCCACCTTTGAGTTAATGTAACCTATTACAACCCATCCCTGATGAATTCCCTGCAAGGAATATTTCATCCATTTCAAATTAAGCAGTGAAAAATGGTGTGGGGATTGGAAGCAGGCACAGATTGGAAAAAATAAACATTTTCTGTTCAACAGGCTCTAAGGGTCCAAAGTCATTAGAAGAGTGAAACACAATCCAGCATTTTACAATCTGCAGCTAATCAGCCGTCACACTGAGAACAAAAGTTACGTCAGAATAAAGATTTACTTTGAGAGTCCAATAATAAACAACACAACCTGTTACATGAATCAGTGTGTGCGCACTGATCCAGAAATAAACCACCGGCTGATTGTCGGGGGAAACAGATTCTTAAAGTATCCAATAGCACTTCATCCAGTATATTTTTGGGTTGTGGTTTTAAAAGTACTTTTTGTATCAAAATTATTGTCTTTGGTTAATTCAATTATATCTGCCAGTTGGCCAGAATTGTGTAAGGCAGCTATTCCCAAAGTCTGGAGTGCTTCGGTTCACCTTACCTCACAAATTTGAGGGCCGCCACCTACAATCAGCAATTTCCTTTGAAGAATATGTAATGTGTTTTTCCCTTTAAACCTTAAACAACATACATCAACTCCGCTCAGTTTGTGACGTCAGGATCATTAAGCACATGATCCACCCATGACAAAAGTGTAGGTGAGGAGCCAGAGACTGAGGTCATAGATGAGGAAGGCTGATGTGTGGACCATGTTGACAAGGCAGTTGTTGAGTATTTTTCTAAACAGACATGGAACAATAAATGGCAAAAATGTTCAATAAATTATGAAAAGATTAAACATTATACTGTATATGCACTTACTTTAATTACTGCATCATTAGAAACAACATTTAACCGCTACTGTTTTTTGTGGTTCTTTTAAACTCAACAAATTCAAATGAAACTTTCTGAATCTTGACATACACAAGGATCACTACACAACATTATTGAAAGCTGTGGAATCAAATGATGCGGTCAAGATCTCGACAGTATCATCAACGTTAACATGCTGCTACTCTGAACTGAAAAAAATAATTTGAGTCTCACGCTCCTCGTGAAGCGGAGAGCATAGTGTCTCCAAATGTAAGAGCGTCTTAGCCAAATCAGCCTTCTGTTCAGCTGCTGTGAGTCATCAAATCTCCTGATAGAGAAACTGACCTGCACAGGTTTACAAATGTTGACACGTTTACAAAGAAGTGGCTGAGATGAGATCCAAACAACTTTACAAACATTAGATCTGAATGGTGAATGAGTACAATGAGTGATGAGGGCGTTATAATGTGACTGGAGGTAAAAAAAAAAAATATGATGCCATCATTGTATGTTTTAATATAGATATTATTCTCTATGTATTTAAATTTGGGACTATATGTGTAGATTAGCATTTATGTTATAATCAGTGTCTCTAGTATGACTGCAGAGTTACTGTACAAATGAACAACTACCCTAACCCATGTTTATTTGTTTTTTATTTAAATGAATGACTCAGACCCCACTTAGGGAAGCACTGGTCTAAATTATACTGTCCAAGAGATAAGCTACCATTTTAATGTTTTCATGAGGAATCAGTGAAGTGATTCAAGTGAAGTTAAAGCGTAGTACATTGTGAGCGATTTAAAAGCAGACTTCAAAACACAGTGCACAAAGGCTCATGGCCATTATGAATGTTATGTTCATTTCAATTCATAAATTAGGTGTTTATATGTTTATTTGTTTATTTGTGATGTGTTATTTGTGTGTTTATAGTCATGTGGTTTATGGAACACTTTAATCTAGAGGATGGGATTATGATCAGCAGACAGAAAGTTTGTTTGTGGTGTTTCTTTTGTGGTGTTATTTTTTCTCCTTTACACACTCAAAATTATATTTAGATTCAAGGTACCATTGCACCAACAACCCCCGTTTTCACTGTTATCAACCTCTAATACGTACATCAAGGTACATATTGTAATGTGAGGTTCTTGTCATAAACAGCCCTTATTTCCATGGAGACAAGCGGTCTACCCAACTTCCAGCAGCATGGTTATGCAGTACATCTTCTAACAAACACAGGGGAAACCTGATCCCTGATGGGAGGCTGAAAATGCCCAAAACTTGACATTCAATCCAGAGCGTGTCATTCATTGCTTGCAGATAAACTGTGGAGCAGCGCCTCCAAATTCCCAGTGGGGACATATTTTAAAAAGACGATCTGGCCTCAGATTTTCAGCCTCAGCGACAGCCTTGATTTACAGCAGGTCCGGTGCTGTGTGAAGATGGTGGATGGGCTAAAGCAGCCATAAATACTCTGTTAGTCAGTGTTGTGCTTGGGGTAGCACTGGGCCTAACACCATCTATCATTGTGTGGCTTCTTTTTTAGTGGTGCAAACCCCGAAGAGGTCGTAAATTTGATTAAATGCTACGCGTCAATGCATTGGTTAAATGAGGAAAACATGCACATATTATAATCATTACAATGGGGTAATTCTGCATTGCAGCATTAAGACAGTCAGTATAACCAATAACCACAGCCCTTTTATTGATCTAAATTCCACATTTGAAAACAGCTTTACTCTTTTTTCAGGGCTTGTTACAAAGCCATCATTTAAAGTATTGTCCCTCATGTGACTTGTGTGTACTATTGTAACCATCTTCACCTCCCACAAGAGTCAACAACAGCAATAAACAGGTTCATTTTATTGCTGTCTAAATTACGGCTATATTTAGTGGTAGTGTTCCCACTGAACACGCCTCAGCAAAAAGACTACCTCCCTAAGCGGGCTAAAAGGCGAGTCGCTTCAACACACCAGCATGTGACATTTAGTGTGTAGGGAAAAGGAGGGATGAGACTATAGATTATTCCTGCATCCCTGTGGCACTTACCGGTCCAAACACAGCCATAGAGCTCCACCCGGAGACAAACGCTCATCACGCGGTCAGACAACGGGTGGAAGCGAATCATACGAGCGACAATCGGAGGACCCAGATCCTTCAACACGACATCATAGGTGTTCTCATTCCCCTGCACTACCTAGAGGAAAAACAGATCATTACAGATTTACCATGGGCATAATACAGCATTAAAGACGCTGTGACTGAGGTTTACACTCGCGAAAATCAGTCCAAGCCGTCAAAGTTGAAGACAATTATCCCTCATCTTAATAATTCTTTTCACAGATTTAAGAGACCGGCGTGTGTCGAAGCATGGTGGTAAAGGTAGCAAGAATTAGCTAAAGTTATCCAAATTAGCAAGAAAGACTAAAACTAATAATCATTAATAACCAGAGGGAAAACTGTGAGTACAGGCACTACATATTATCACTGGGACATCTCATTTTACTGAATCACATGGAGCAGAATTGGATAAAAGCTCATTCTGTTTGTTTTTAAAAAAAGAGTACCACACAGTAACACACATTGACAGGGAAGAAGAGTGAGCCTGGCTCCTCTTGAAAATATAATGACCTCGCTAGAGGCCACCATGTCTAGGAGTGAAAATTACCATTAGAATGTTGTGCACCTTCTCAGTTAAAATGCATAATACTATAGTATATACTGTAACTATTTGTATTTTGTGGCAGCAGTAAATTTTAAAATGGAAATATTTACAAATCATTAGGTTTGACAGATAGGTTCTTTTGAGGGACATGTTTATTTGGCTTTTGTGACATGCCATTTTTGTTTTGGCTCATGTAAAAACATTAAAGCCACCTACATCTGTGCCCCAGCGGTCCCTCCAGGTGATCCATTTGACTCCATCTCTGGAATAGCGCAGTCTGTAACTACGGGCAAACTCTCGGCCGTGTCCATCAGCGTGGCGGCCCTGAGTCCCAACCAGAGCCACGAAATGAAGCTTCCGCAGGTCCACCTGAGACAAAACACAGCTCATGGGAACCTCTGGGCCAGGCTTTTATTGCAGAAGAGAAAATGCATTGCTTGTCATTAAATTCCCATTAAAAAATACATTAGTAGTAGCAGTTTTTTTGTAATAATAATGTTTTCTTTTTACAATTTGGTGCTTTATCGAAGGATATTGTTTCTTCAGAAACAATAAAACATAATGGTAAACTTAAAGACGCATACTGTAACACTTCCTGGTAATCCCAACCTGTCTCAATGTCTAGAATATTTCAGACATTATTGGATGACTTGTTTTTGGAGTAAATCTTGCATCTTCTGTTAATTTATTTGAGCTTATATCTGTTTATGTCAGTATTTTTCAACCAGTATACTAACCAGCACGTTAGTATGCCTTGAGGTCTGCCTTTGAAAATGATCTGATACCACCTAATTGGTCAAAGAAATGTAAAAATAAGATAATGTGAGATAAGAAAAAAAATGTGCAATAGATTTTTTATTTAGATTTTCTATGATACACTTTGAGAATGACTTTGCATTGTGAATAAAGGTTGTAGACTTTCATGTTGAAATCAGCTTCAGCTGGTAGTACCTCTTTAATGGAGATATAAAAACCTCACCTGAAGATACTCTGACCCGGTGGGAAAGACAGCTCCAGCGGGACACCAGGCTCCATCGCCCTCTCCGGTGCTCAGCCTGAAAAAAGTGAAAGTTTGCAAATAAATGTATGAGGAAAAACTTTTTGTCAGGGAAATGGGTGAAGAGCTATATTCCAGTTACACAATAGCATTCAACCAGAAATACAAAAACACCCACAAAAAGCCGAGGAGAGGAAAAGTCGAGAACAATGGACTTTGATACTCAGTGAGAGATTCAACATAAACTCAATTCGTCTTTACAGCACTAAGAAGCAGGTGCTTCTTAGTGCTTCTTTGTCGTAAGGCTAGATATACCAAAAATATACCAAACTTAACTAATCAGACAACGCACACTTAAGGCACATATACACTACTAACAGTAAGAGGGGCTGTGCTACACTACGAGTTCTGTGCAGTAAACTAAATAACTGTCATTTTTAGTTTCAAACAGTAAGCGGCTGTATGTGTTAGTGTCCAAAATCATCACTGTGGTATATTTCCTATTATTCTAATAACAAGTGATGAGAAGAGAGCTTTTATTTGTCCCACTGGGGCATAATGGCACAAATAAATCCCTTTAGTTTTGACTCGAGTCAAAGTTTTGCTTTGTCCTCTTTTCGTCCGATAGAGACTCATTTCTTCAGCCTTTTTTAATGTTGTGATTTGATTTAAATTGTCTTCAAGCACATGTACACATTCAGATACAGAAGGGAATGTATTTATGCTACTTCCCTTCTCCTGCATTCCATTTAGTTTACCCCAGATACAACAAGTTACCCTGTAAACACCTCCATGTCCTTCACTTCGCTGTCACTCCAGTCTTGTCTGTATTCCAGACACAGCTTTGACCACTGTGGGACTCCTCTGACCACTGAACAAACCGCTGCATCAACTCAACAGCTCTGGCACTTTCATCAGTCACATTCATAAGCATGCCTTTAAATCACTGCAATTCAAAATCTGTGAGAAGATGATAAAGATAGACCCGTATGTGATCTGATGTGTCCAAAAAACTGTAGAGGAATGAACCGCTGAGAGCAGAAACCGCCATCCAAAAAGATTGACTTACAGTCCACTGAGCTGCCAAGTAATGCATTTTCTCCTTTATTGTTTCTTTTCTTCTGAGTTTCCAGCCAACAAAGGTGGGCGACTTGACAAAATATTTCAGAATGTCCTGGGTCTTGATTTCAATATTCTAACAAATCAGGCACACACTTGGCACTTGGCCCATTATATAGTTTATAATAAATAAATACTTTTTTTGGTTCTGGTTTGTCCTAATCTATTTACTTAATCATTCTGGCAATTTGTATGTGCTGCATGTATGACAGCAATCCCCTAGGTAACAAAATATGTACCAATGCATCAAAAAGTGTACAGAGCACTGTTTATTCTCCTGTTCAGAGAGCTAAATTAAACAGAAATGTCTGTTTATTTTATTTAATTAGACATTGCTATTCTGACCACCCCCACCAGCCTTACATGAAGGCCTCTGAAGCAGAATAGTTAGACAGTGAACTCAAAATGCTAGACCAGTTTTATGCCTTACACCTTGATACGAGCGTCAACAATGAGCTTTTGTATGTGGCAGCCTTTCTCCATTTCCCTCCCTTCTCCTCTTGCAAGATTTGGCTTGTTCTGTTAGCGGTGCACATTTCAGGAAAGACAAGAAACCCCAGAGAGCCAGGTGATCCAAATGGTAAGGCTCTTTTGATAAGGCTTTCATAGAGGAAACAGAAGGCAACAATGTATTTTAAGAACTTTTAACATGTTTATTGTTATTCCGGTTCACACATGTTTAACTATTTTTCAACAGACTCGAGATTGACCAAAATAATACTTTGCTTCAAGTCAGTGCTCGTGCTAGAACATTGATCAAAAATAATGTGTTTAATGCAAAGTAGTGGTGATTGTATGTTTTGCGTTTTTTAAGTGCTTTTGAGAGAGCCACGATGAACTAGTGTTTCTGAGCTGTTTGTCGCTCCAGTGAACACTTTACAGGCTGTGTTGAGGATCATAAAGGCACAATTGTATCTGGCGACTCAACACGTCAAAAAATGAAATAATATTGGTGCTGACTAACATCGTGTTCAGTGCCAATTGATATCAGTATTGGTACAACTTGGAGAAACTGACGTGGCTGGCTTTTAAAGGCATAACTATGTTTGTTTTGTCGGTCTGTTTTCAATTGTCTGTAAAGAAGTTGAATCGAATTTATTTAAGTCTCCTTGAAGTGGTCGATAAAGTAATCTGCTGTTTCGCTGCATCTGACAGACACTCAGAGCCTCACAGCAGCTGACCAAAAGGATGGGTGCTTAAAAGTGTCTCTGCTTGATTATACTGTAGAGCTGCATTAAACAGAAAAAAACGTGATGATAAATGATGACCTTTTCACAAAACACTCGCCCATCAGATCTATATTGATCTTTCATTGCCGTTTTGTCCAGCCGGCAGAGCTCCCTTCAGTTTGCCGTATAACAAATCGGGCTGTTTAGTAAAAAAATACATATATAGACACCAAATATTTAAAACAAAAACCTCTGTATTCTTAAAAACGTGATATCATTCTTTATTCATCATTGCACTATTTCACCTTCTGCAAACCCACGCTGAAACATGTGTGGGTTAACATCGTGCTGAGCCATTTTGAATTAAAAAATAATAATAATTGCAAGCTGTTGCGAGGTGCAGCTATTCGTAGGAGTAAAGGGACAAGCAAGAATCATCTCTAAAGTTTTGAAGCAGAAGTTAATGGACCCCTTTTTCAAGTACTTTTTATATAGAATTTATGTTGCAAATTAAATTGTTTCTGGCATAATGTGATTTTAGGCTAATTACATTTTCCACAAACCTTTCAAATGTTTAACTTTGCTGAGTTATGGAATTTATTTGGCCTAGATATTGATAATAGAGTCACTTCCTCAAACAATCAATACCTCTCATAATAAATGATTTCCTGGAAGGTGAAACTGTAAACTAAGCAATAACAGCTGCCCAAAGCTCACACTGCTGACTCTCTGCAAAAACACAGAAATATAGTGTTTGAGTGAAATTACACTTGAGATAACAATTTACTCAAACGCTATGCTTCATCTTGTTTGCTTTTAGAGCATGGAAACACATTTGAAATGTCTGTAAATTGGCTCCGTCAGGACAGACTCAAGCAGTATCACTTTGGCTTTGTGTGTAAAATATTACTGATATAAGCTACAATATTTACAGTGCATTCTCCAACAGCAGAAACATAGGCAGACACACATTTTGAGCAAACTGGACATCTACAGATATTTGAATTATTACTATTATTTATTTATTTATTTGTTTTATATATCAAACTTCTAAGCTACATTTCTTGGGGAAACAACCAACATATGAAACTGCATTTATAATCTGTTAATCAGCTAGTCACATCATCATAATCATAGAAATCCCATATTGGTCGATCTCTAGACATGACTAGATTAGAAAGGACAGGACTAAACTGTACTTCGCTGAACAATATCACAATGTCTGGAGGCTGCCTTACCCAGGGGCCTTGGTTCCATTCTGATTGTGAATACATTTCTACAGCATTAGAACTCCAATTTCCTGCTTCTTTCCAACACTCTCCACTCCTTCAATAATTTATTCAACAACAGGGACCCAGAAATCATCTAATAAGTAGATAATGGGCATTGGTGTTGTTTTAAAATACAGGGGAACTTGAATGCCTACCTCCCATGTTTAGCCTCAGTAGAGTCGGACCAGGCACTCGAGGCGCTGACGTCCGAGTCTGGGATGGTCCCGTCCTCCATCCCCAAAGCATAACGACACTGAGCTGCAAGACAAGACACACAAAAAAATGTTTGTGTGTTTGTGAGGAATGTACCATACATTTATTAGAAGCTTTCACACACACACCACCATATTCAGCCTTCAACCCAGAATGACAAACCAGGACAGGACCAGATCTATTGAACATTAGGTCTACACTGGGATTGACGAGAGTTCATATTTGATAGTTAAATGCTTGTATTTGAGCTTAGTTTCACATAAAACAGTCATTTATTATGTATAATCAACTTTTAAGAGTTATTTTTTTACGCGTTATGATTTCCCTTCACATTTCTCCACTTGTTTTGGAGGGATTAATGGATGTTTAATTGTGCAATATAGGGGTCTTTTAATCTTTTGAAAACAAGGGAACCAGCCTTTCCCAAGTCGCTCCACAAAAGACAGGCTGAATATTTAAATAATAATATTATTCACAATTTCACGACTATTGTAAATGCAGACTTTAACAAAAAATGCCTTCCTAATTCTTGTCATTTTCATATTTTAAAGAAAACAATAATTGTTTTACTTGTTCCATTGGTAAATCTTGTTTATTTGTTGGCAGTGTAGCATAACATTACGTCTACTTTCTTTCAACTGCCTATAGCTCACTGCCATTTTTCTCCCTGATAATACAACTCTCTGGAGGAAATGGTTGGAGACACCAGTTTTAGAACAAGACTGAGATTGAAAACGCTCCACAAGTTTCATAAAACAAAGCTGCCAATGTGGCTGGCTCTCACATACTGCACATGCTCCAGCTGAGTATAACTCTATCAGAAGGACTTTGATAATTTGTTTACTCAGCTTTTCCTTATTCCAACCAAAAGAATATGCCAGGACAGTAGATAATGCATCTTGAATTGCCACTTTTTATTGTTCATAATATATCCTGCTTTTAACATGTTTGCACATTTCTTTCTTTTTGCACAATCTTGAGTGTTTCTATCTATGCCAGATGTGACATGCCCTGTCCACACGAAGTCAAGCTCAGGCCTAAACGCAAAAATACTTTATCAATCCAGTGTATCGTCCATACGAGGCCGGCGTTTTGGGGGGGTGTAAACGAACATTTTTGAAACTAGGTCCCAGAGTGGAAAGATTTCAAAACTCCGTATATGCCGCTCCGTGGTTACTGCCTCTCCGCAATTTATCTGAGACGCTTGCGTCATCGCCCCACCTCTTGTTAAAGCACGCATGCGCCGCACTCAGAAAATAATGACAACAACAATGTAGCTTGTTGGTTTTGTAATCCAGTGTGACCCGAAGCAACAGTTCAACCTCATCGTCCGTCCATACTAATGTAGTACCAGCTCGCCCACTCGCCATGTTGTCTGTTTACAAAATTCCGCGCGTGCCCACGGAAGTTTGGGCTTGATCCCGTCATTGCGTCACAGCGCCACCAACAGGTCTGGCATAGTTTCACAGCGTTTTCAGGCGTATTGACTACATTCATATGGACGCACACATTTACTGAGCTAACTCCGTGTTTACAGAAAAAGTTTCTGAAATTATAAGCGTTTTGTCTTCGTGTGAGATCAATAAAGTCTATCTTATCTTATCTTCAATAAATAATAGCCAACCTTTAGCCCCGCCAACATACAATTTCAGCCTGGTAAAATCTTATGAAGGTGGAGCTACACTTTCGGAGCCAGGCTACTAGAATCCCACTGTTATGGGTAGAATGATTTGTAATATTTGGAATGTAAAGTTAATTATGTACAATTTCTTAGTCAAGTATCTATAGCTTTTAGATGCAGTTTTCCAACCTTTACCACCAACCTGCCTAGTGGTACAAGGCCTTTTTTCCTTTTTGGATCAACATAGTACACTGTCCCTATTAAAAAAGAAAAGGAAAATCTACATTACCATACCATCCTCCTCTGTATTGAAAAACGATGAATATGGCAGTAAATACTGTATTTGCAGTGTCGGCTTCATAAGTGACACATCAGAGGAGGACAGGACCAAACATACTATATCCTGTGTTGCTGCTGCTCTCTTGGGAACTGGCACTAATGAGTTCATGTAAAAAACAATTGCATTGTTTTGCATCATTACCTTTAACCAGAGAGGTACGCCATCACTCAGGTTTATGTGACAAAAGCTTCTGCAAGTAAATTTAGTCGACTTCAGGGACCGGGGTATCTGAATAAACCTGAAGTTAGCTGCACCAGTGGCACTTAAGTGGAAAGTAATAAAATCTTCTTTATAGCAAATCAGGTTTATGCTTCAAGGCTGCATTCTCACAGAATCACGTCACACAACCAAAATTGGGACTAAGCATGGACAAGTCAACATCAGCCAAAAAAGCATCTGGCTCAATGATAGATATTATTCAAATTTGGGTATGTTGTTTGTCCCAACAGAAAGAGTCTTGTAAAAGTAAAATGTAGTCTTGATCTTAATAGAAACATTTCTTTTGCATATTTGTAAGAAAGAGTTTGACTGAGAGCTGACTGGCTCCGTGAAGGTGGTCCTCTCTTTCACATTTTTGTCTGAAAAGCTGATCTGAGATGTGATAGAGGCCAAAGTAAACCTGCATGAAAAACAAACTGTTTGGGGAGCTCCAAACTATTAGATGGATCTGATTATTTAGTAAGTGAGTTCTGTACGATGGGGTATATCACTCTTTCTTTCTAAATGTTGTTATTCCCAACAGCAATAGTATGTAATAGAAGAACTTTGGGAACAATTGCAAAATTGTAAGAAAAATCCCTCGGGTAATTTAGTTGAAAAAGTTGTTCTAAAGCTAAAGGACAAACTAATCATGTGTGCAAATACAACAATGTACCAACTATTGGAGTTATTAAAAATATTTCAGTTGGAAAATCAGTGTACCTCAACTTTCAGTAATATTATGCACAGATTTAATAAGAAGTTTCACCAGTGTCTTGTTTCGGGGCCTGACTTGGATGATTTCTGGCACAATTATCAAATTATTGTATTATTTTGCCCTCTGTCGATGCCTGCTCTTCTGTCTCCATTAAAGGAAACGTTGAAGTGTAAAGACCTGACCCGACTGCTCATCATCTGAAACCGATCACATGGTCCCAGGCAGGGATTACCTCAACCTGTTATCTGCTGAGAGTCATGAGCCCACTGGACTGAGCACCGTCACGAGAAAGAGTGACTGGAGATTGTTTAGAATTATGCTGTTAGTGCACCTATTTATCACTGGTTTACATGGTTCGTTTTCATTGTTTCGGCATTGACTTTGGCCAAGGCTAATGAGATTTTTTTTTTTTTTTTTAAACATAGAAACAAGAATTAAACCATTTGAGTTTTACTGGTATTTAAGCCACAATCAAATATTTCTCAAAGAGGATATACAGTACATTGTTTTCGGACATGTGTCTTGAATTGTGCCTCAACTTCCCATGGTGGAGGGTCCTCGCTTTTCTTGGATCCATCTAAATATCATTGTTTTTTTCCTTATGTGTTTCCATCTACATTGGAAACACATAAGGAAGCGTGCGACTCCATTTGGCTCAGTTACAGGCCATAAATGCGGAGAGCAGAGCCCACCCAATATGAAAATTCAGGTTTTTGAGCGGATATTAAAATGAAGAACATTCCAAGCAAAGAAATAACATAAGCATGGCAACAAGGAGCAATGACACCATCAGAAAAGTTGCGCAATGCACCTTTAAGACTCATAAACTAGGGCTGGAAACCACTTACATGTTGTTTCTTGTGTGAATGCAGTCACTTTCTACAGCTCTCTCCCAGAATACACCAGATTATCCAATATCTTGAATCAACCTCAAAATAACATTGTGAATATAAAAGGGAAAAACTTGTGAAAGTGCAGATTGTCGTGTAGGTTTGCAGTGATGTGGTGGATGCTGGGTGATGCGTTGGAGGTGTCAGAATGAGGGGACAGGGGTGTGGGTGACTCAGCCCAGAGGAATGCACAAACTATGGGCCCTGGATAAACCCTGCTGCCTGATCATCCACACCCGGGACAGGTGCCACTTTTATCACCAGCAACATACGGGCAACAAGATTCATAGCAATCCAACACAAATATGCAAAATTTGCAAATCCAAAAGACTGATTTTAACTTGGAAAAAATATGTCCTCTGCAAGAAGAAGAGGAGGCTAATGTGTCATCTACAAGAAAAGTTATGCAAACAGAATGATAGGAACTAAATGAAGGCTGCGAAGAAAATCTGCCAAACTATTAAACTACAGCAAATGCACAACACTTTATGTGTAGTTAGTCAGTCCGTTAAATTGTGTGTGTTTTTGATGAAGGCAGAAAAGAATTACATTTTCAGATGTATATACCTCATATTATTTATATTTAGTAATGGTTTAGTAACTAAAAGCAGAATAGGTCAAAACTACTTCGCCAGAAATTAAGAAAGAACAGACAAACAAGCATATACAAAAGGAAATGTAAAAACTTTCATTTGATATTTTCAACAAAGAGTAATTGTTGCTTGTACATAATTTGCTAAAAAAAAAACACTATCACTCTATCAAAGTGGGACGGCTGAAAACTGTTAAGTGTAATGTAAAGACGTTGTCTGATGTCTAAATGATTGGTGGTCAGAGGGTCTCAAATTGGTAGGATTGCTTCAGTAAATCTACTCCAGGGCAACTGTGGTTAAAGTAGTTGCTTGTACTGTGTACTATTACTGTGTGGAATGAATGAATAGATACACAACATTGTAAAGCATCTTTGTGACTATCTCTCTGTGAAACGTCCAATAAAGATTGACTTGTACTGAAATATATGACTCCAGCATGAGTGCTATAACACTGCCAAATATATTACTTCTGTCGCCACTTCTGCAAGTTATTCATTCTCATCATTGTCACCCACTCCAACCATCACACATTAAAACTGAGCAGAAAACAGTTTTATTATGTCATAAAAATTGTAATTGGTTTCCTTCATTAGTAAGAATATTGTAATTTTCTCTCTCAAAATTACAAAATCAATATCACCTTGCAGGCTGTATTTCTTCCACCTTTCTTCAGTGCCCCATCTGCCCCCAGCAATTCATCACAGCCATCTTCCCCTTCCTTTCATCCTTTGGCTTTCGTTCATTTTTCAAACAACTCTCAAGGTAAACCTGCGAGACTTTTACTGCAGAGTGAAGTCTGAGTAATCAATGGTCAGTCCACCCTTCAAAGCACCACCACCTTCTGATGGCAACTGGGGCTTCAAGGTTGCAAGAAAAACTCAGCTATAGTTAACGCGGCGGACTGTTGGGCCCTTAAGACTCTTTATATGCTCACTGTAATAACTGCAATTATTTCTTCACTTCTTAAACCTAGAGCTTTTGTTTCATTTTATTCTAACTAACCTGTATTTATCCAGGATAGTCACTGAAATTTTAAGTATCTAAAGGAAACCAGAGCAGCCAGAGGAAAGCAAGCGGTCATAACCTTTTTTTCAATATATTGGTATATCTATAGATATCTTTGTGGGCCACTTTCTTCAGTTCAAATAACAAACCATCACAGCAATGACCTCACATCAAACCCACATCTCTTCAGTGTTTATCAAAAGGGAGAGTTGAAGCTTGCAGTTGTTCCTCATGCCCATTCGGGTCTCTGGTTTCCCCAGGCTAGCTGTGCGTTGGCTAAGCCCCTCTCACTGTTGCTCCTGGGCGTTTTGACAGACAGTTTGATGGGCTGAAGGTGCATTAACAGTCCCGACGAGCCGAAGGGGACCGCCCAGAATCGCGCTCTCCGATTACGCGGGACCGAAGGGCAGACAGACACGAGAGACTGGAGGGGCTGGGAAGAGCGCGCAAAGAATGAGCCGTACTAAAGCTGAGAATGTGGATGTAATGTCAGACAGAATCTTACTGATGAGGCAAAAAAGAAAAAAAGGAATGATAATAATATGAATATCAATAAGATCTAACTTTCGGTGTGGACCTAAGGTGTTTTCTCCTATGACTGGGCGTGTGAGCCTAGTGAGTGAGGTGATAGTGGAAACCTCACTCAGGTTTTCACTATCACCCAAAAATGCACATTAACAATAATCCTTCTCTCACAGCCACAGCCACACCTAAATGTAGAGTGTCCGCCTATTGCTCTCAAAGTCCAGTACATTGTCCAGAAATAGGGAACACTATTTTCAACTGCAGTACATATTATAAATGTTTTGTCCATGTTCCCTGACACAAGGTCAACATGAAAATCTTTTTGGCCATTCCTATGTTTCCTATCTTAATGCTGAATTATTGATTATTACAAATACACCGGTGGTCACAGTATCTGTTAACAGTGAGACCTGGTTAGATCACTGCCTGAACTTCTGTAGCTGAGGATGATTGGTTAAGGAGACCTACCTGAGTGTGCTTCACATGCAGGCGATGCATGATTAACACATTTTTATTTCTATTAGTATCCTAAAACCTTTATAACTACATACAGTTTAATTAAGTGTGTGTATTCTATTATACATTGTAATACTCTATTACGTGCATCACAAAGCCATTAATCACATTACACTAAAGTATTATTCATTAATGTTAAACTTAAGTGTATTGGTTCACAAACTATACAAATTCTGTGAATAGGCTTTTCCATCTCTACAAAGCAGGTTCTATTGAAAGGACTCACCATCTCAGGCTTAACCATATACACCGGGTCTAAAGGATTACGGTACATTACTAAGTTAGTATTATTCAGTCATTCATTCATTTTCTACCCCTTAGTCCATTTCTGGGTCAGGGGGGTGGCAGTCAGAGGTGTACCCAGTACACTTAGCACCAGCCCCTCACTGATCCTCCTGCAGGTGGTGAGTCCACAGGAGCCTTGATCTTTCAGTGGGGGTTTCAGGCAAAGTGGGGTTAAGTGTCTTGCCCAAGGACACAACGACAGCTGTCATCAGTGGGATTCGTGAGGTCGCCCCCTTGACTGAGTTAGTATTAGTTAATAATAATATACAAGGACTTGAATTCAAAAAGCCATACGGCCCTCTTGATCGTTCACATTAGGTGACACTGGATTCTGTCAGCGAACATTAATCTAACACTTGAGCCACTGTATTATCATCATGCTGCTGAGCCAATACCTGGGTTAAAGTGCCACTCATGGTCCGGATTGTCCGGGGCAGACGCGGTCGTCAGAACTGCAAGTGATGAGACGAGGAGGAGCTGCAGAACAGAGCAGGCCATGACCACAGCGGTGCTCCTGGTTACCTGTCCGGACTGACCACAGGCATCCCTGTACACACACAGACGAGACATATTCTATAAGAACATTTGGCAATAATGTAGTAACAATACGGCCTTTGTTTTACATATAGTTTCTGTGTGGAATCAATAGTCCACTCCAAGTCACTTAGCATGTAATCAATAACCCCACACCAACAGGTACATTGGGACCTGAATACTTGACTGAAAAACAATAGCCTTTTCGACTGCATACTAATAAGATATAATTGCTCTCGTAAATAATTTGCATTTGTTTGAGTCTTTGGTTAAAATGTGAAAGACAGTCATTACATATTCACTTTTGTGGCTCATGCTCAAAGTGTGTTGGGCATTTGCATACACATGTGCATTTTACACGCTCCCACACAGCGCTCGCCTCAGGGGTTCCTATAATCAGCGGCATACGTCTTCATCAATAACTCCACTCAGTTCAAAGCAGCTACTACCTCATGTGGTTGTCAGGCCAAGTAATGAGCAACACCCCATAAAGGAAGATAATGCAGGAAAACAAACGCACTACCATTACCTCACACCAGGCATTGTGCATCAAAAGAATATAGTGAAGAGGAAATAGAAAATTGTGCGTTCTTATGTCAAAGTGAGTTCATGGGAACACAGTTTAATCTGCTCAAATCCAGAACGCAGACACCCACTGAGAAAATTTAAACGTCCTGGAACCAGATTATGGGTGGGTAATTTTGCAAAAAGGTTGAGATCATAAACACATAAGTTCAGTGTCATGCAGCCAACTTCAGTTCAGTCAAATGGGAATCAAACAAAAAGGACCAAATCAGTCAAAACAGTTTCACTATTCGGGTGGTCTGCTTATATAAAGTGGCCTTATTACTTAAAGTTTTAGACACCCCTGTCCTAGAGCCTGCTACATATGAGTAGGAACAGGCGTCATCTTCATCTGTAAGCACTTGGACAAAGGCCTTCAGTAGTGGAGCAGCAGGGAGGAGAGAAGTGCAGCTATGACAGTGGAGTGACAGCTGGAGGCTTGTCCCAGAGGCCCTGTGTGTTTGGTCTTCACACACATCGGATGGGACAGAGGACAGCTGACATGCAGCTGCACAGAAAGAGCAGAGCAGCGCTGTCCAGGGACGAGAGGAGAAAGCCAAGACGAGAGTAGCCGTGCGGGTGGAGTCCAGAGCCGAGATGCGATGACATACTACATATGTGAGTCTGCGAGTGGAGGGTGGTGTTCAGATATGACTTATGACCCTGCGTGGTGTGCATGTGTGTGTATGTGGGCCGCGAATGTAGAGCACGCCGGCCCCCGCAGCTGTCCGCAACAAGAGACACCAGGGCCTCGAGCTGGACAGACAAAATACTGCCGGTTGAGAGCGTTTTGTGATCAACAAGAACTTGAGAGAGGAAAATTACAAAAATGAATTACACACATTGATGAAATTACATACAACAATAATGATTGGTTACTGTTCCTCAATTATGAAATCCAACAGGAATACGACGTGTGCTGCGAGGGCACATGTACAGCAAGGGACAGGCGTTCATAAAGGGGCAAGTGGTTTGCTTTTGTTAAGGAAAAATAAATCAATGGTTTTATTATAGTCATTAGATCTTATAGCTGGCTTTGGTAACCCAATGCCTTCTCTGTATCATCAGTGGACATTATTTTTGGATGGATCGTGGAGAATTGGGCTTGTTCTAGGATGATGGGAAAGTCTGGCCAGGCAAAAGGAAAACATGCAATCTCCACAAAGAAATGAGCCTCATTCTACAGGAATACAGTCATTTTAAAAGTGAGGCAATATATAGAAACTTAACCATGTTAAAAATCAGAGGAGAAAAGTTCTTTTAACAAATCATTTGAAAATCATATCATTTCAGTGAGAGGGAAAAGTCCACACAACAAAGGCATGAGGAGGGTAATCTGAGCACCTAACAGGCTAACAGTTTGACAAATGTGTCTTTGAACGGGAACAAAAGTGGACTCGACTCCAAGAATATTGTTGTTGGGAAAGTCAAGTGGTGTTGAACAGCTGTGGTCGGGCCTCAGAGAATCCAGTGTTCTTCAGAGGGCGCGTTGTAGAGGCCAGTCGGTCATCGTCTGCAGTGAAGGCTCAACAGTGTCACTTTTCTGTTGAGTCTCATGTATTCAATTACAGAATGTGATATTGTTATAGTGGAGGAAATACCACAAACATCAACCATCAACATAACATCAAATGTGTATAACGTCGCCACTAGTGCTGTCATCAATAAGATGCCTTACTGTGTAACATTCCAGGTAAAAATAAAATGACAATGGATATCAATTGTTGTAGCCTACAAAGGTAAAAGAATAATAATAGTATTTTTTAACAAACCAGATTCTGAATCCATGCTATGTGAAATCAGGGTACATTTTTCAACTTTTATTACAAAGCCTTGTGTGTCAATATATGTGATGTTGAGAGCTGATTGGCTGAAGCTTATCTCTCTTTCACTTTTTGTCCAAAAAGCTGTAAAGGTAAAAAAGGATGATGAAAATGAGAAAGGAAAAATATCTTCTTTTTGTTCCTTGTGTAAAACCGGAAGCAGCTTTCTCCTGTTATACTCCTTGTAAATGGAACACATCAAATAATGACGCTTTACTTGTCTTACAGTGGGAATATGTCAATGTCATCGACTTTCAGGAGTGGGAAATATCACTCAAACAAGATGATGATGAATAGATGAGCTCATTTAAGAGTGTTCAAACTTTGTCTCCAGCTAACTTTTGAATGTGTCTCTACCTGAAAAAATATCTCTCCTGGTCCTTAAGCACATTGAACTTAAGTCTTATATGTGCTATACAATCTTCTGTCATATAGTTTCCTCTATTTTATTTTATCATGATTATATTTTATGTGCCCTATTGTTGTTGACAAATAACTTTATTAAATTCTGCATCTTTTAAAAACACATCACCTCCACATAGGAATTTTGTTGTTACATGCACAACAACCTGATTTGCATTTACTTGACTTCTATGCAGACAGAAAACTTTTTGAAAAGGGAAAAGCTGCTTCTTTCAGTCGTATTCTTATCTTACTGTGGCACCTTATTATAATATCATTGTAAAACATTCTAGCACAGTGCACTCGAAAGACAGACACAGGAGCAGTGCATCGCAGCCATTACATCACTGCAGACAGTCTCTATAATTAGCCCCCCACAGAAATATAGCAGCAGTAGTGTCTTGGCAAAGGCCTGAGGCATTTCTAGGACACCTCTGAAGTAACAGCAAAACTGAAGCAAAAGCAAAGCCACATTCAAATGTTTTTCAGTTGTGCACCAGAAATTCCCCACAAAGTCACAGAAGCTTCAATACTACAAGAATTCAACTTCAACCTTGCGGAAAATGTCTTTTGCCGACAAAATGGTCCACCTCATATTCTACCCCATTATCTAAAAACAATAACAATAACACAATAACCGCATAAGAAAATCCCATTTGGTTAGAATAGAATCACTTTATTGTGTATTAGCTCAAAATAATCAATACACAATCAACACTTTGGGTTAGGGTTAGATAACAATCCGTACCATGAATATACTTGCATCTTTTGCTCTAATCATCCCCAGAGAGAGTACAGCATAAAACTTTTCGTAGTATGTCTATTCCCACATAATCAAGGGAGTAACTTGCCACCTCAAGAGGGTTTTGTACAATTGCATTAATTAGGGAAATAAATGGCATCAGCCCACCCTCCACAAGGATAATTGTAATAAAACTAAAATGTATGAAGCTACAAAAATGTATGAAGCTTCACTTTGATTTAGGCAATTCGATATTAGGCAAACAAACTGTAACCTTATCCTGTCTTGTGCATTGAAAAACACATGCATTGATTGAAACATCCATTAAAGCTTTTACTATTTGTAATGACAATTACATTAAACCTCGTAATACAAGCAACAATAAACTCTCTGAAACATTAACCTGACATAGGACAGCTCTGTATTTATTGTGTATCTAACATTGCAGTCTGAAGGAGCGGCTTGAAGGTCTCTCATTCCGTCTGCTGTCAGGTGGTACAATGAACAATGAATGCTTTCCATGTATCCTTTACTAGTGAAAATAACATGCCATATTGCAGAGATGGGGACTTGTGACTTACTCAGTTTGGAGTTGAACTTTGGTTATTTGACTTGCAACGGTGTCTTTTAGGGATTTGAAGCCTAAATTGCTATGATGAAAATACAACAAACATCTAAAGTTCTCTAAAATTTTATTAAAATTTAACTAAAATTTATTTTATATTCTTATGATATATTTTTTCATATATAGAAAATGTTTGTTGATCCAAACAGTATCTCAGGAGGTGGACAGACAGTGCAATGATATTAATCTATATTTTAGGAACAAATCATCTGCAAGGGATTTTCAAGTTGTATTGTGCCATATTGTTATTGCAAGAAAGATAAGAAGATTTGTTTTATTTAGTTCCATTCTACTGTAGTTTGAAAGCTAGGTACCCCAGCTTTAACATATTTCAACACCTCTTTCCTTCATCATGAGGGACCTGAGCCCACAATTGTTGGATGATTGACGTGTGTGAAGCTGAGTGCTTAAACACATGAGGGCCCAGTGTGTCGTCTTGTGTCTGGACCTGGTTGAACATGACTAATGGACGCTCGGTGGTGAGGTCTTTGTTTTGAATTTCCGTCGACATGAGGACACGGCTCGTGCCCCGCTGCCCTCTGAGTCCAGCCGCCACGGAGGACACGCTCATTAATCTTCTGAGCGGGGACAAGAGCTCTTCCTGAACACTACGGATCTTCTTTGGGTGACGGGGATGAAGCGTGACTGTCTGGGGGCAATTTGGCTACGGAAGTGTGTCAGTGGGCTTTATCTTTTGTCCTTTTTGCTTTCACTGAACACTGAGTCATTGGCAGAATATTTCAAAATTAAACTGGATTTTTGAGTGCTAGACAACAATCCGAATTGTGCTTTCAATCACACATTACAGCCATTATGTTTTTTGGAGAATGTATTATCAAAATACCAGCTCATTTTGA